GAACTGTGGGTAATCCACTAGTAACATCAATGCTGATTGGTTAATCAAATGTCTGACTTCATAGGGTCATAAGTCGGTCTTTTAACTCCTGACGTGACCTATGGCTATAACTTGTCAGATCTTCATGTAGTGTAGGCCATCGAAAGTATAAAAAAAACGAAACGAAATATAGAGCTGTATTTTAATCAGATTGCAGTCAAGTGTTATACCAGAAAGATGAGAGGTGGTCACATTAAAATGCACACTAGTGAAAACAAAACAAAAATTCTTTTAAAGATGCATTCCCACAAAAGTATTTATCGGGTGGTTATTTCCTATAAAAGTATCGCTATTTTGGTATATATGGAAAGTAGAGACACCCAATCTTACTAGAAATATGCTAGATTCCTGAAAAAACAGCCATAAGCATGCATGTCAGTCCGTCAATTAGGGCTGACTGTTCGAGTGACGTCAAAGGTTGCACGTAGAGATTGTCTGACCTCTTTGCATAAAGCGGTGGACACACTAGCCGAATGATTCGGCCGAATCAATCGGCGTCGAAATTCGCCTAGTGTGTCCACTGTTATTCGGCCGAATGATTCGCCCGAATCAAACATGTTTGATATAGGCCTATTCGTCAAGTGTGTCCGCTTCGCCGAAGCATTCGCCCGATTGTAGAATTCATTAGCCAATCACCACTTAATCACGTGATTGTTTGAAGAAATGATCGTCGCCATGTTTAATCATGTGACGCGAAAGGCGATGCAATCGACTAGTGAATCGGGCGAATGATTCGCCGTGTGTCCACCCATTCAGCCGAATAAAATTCGGCGACAAATGATTCGGCTAATGTGTCCACCGCTTTAGGGAGCACTTAATGGTTATATTGATAAACAATTACATGATAGCGAAAGGACGTGAAAAAAGTGAGAGACTTAAACGTAAAACAGAGATTAAACTGCGGAAAAAGAAGTGGACAAGAGATAATCCCAGAATTTATTTAGACTTAGATATTTATGGTAAATGGACAGCCATTAAAGACAACACCATCTGTTAAATGCAATGAATTCTCCCTCGGCTTGACTAGTTTCCGCGACCGCTTCTTTAAATAATTTGTTTATAGCTTGGGGTATTTCCTCACGAATACAATGTTCTGAGAGTTATCTGAAGCAAATTTGTGATAGATTAATTAGTTTGAATATGTTTTGAGTTCAAATATATCATCAAATCGCCCAGTTTGTACATGGGATGATATTTAAGATATTTAGAATGTTTATGAATCATTTGCTATCGTTGGTAATAGTCAATCTATAACTATTGTATTACTGTATGATCCAGATTATCCAATAATTTCATTACAATCTCCTACAGTACTTCTGGTCTGAAGTCAATCAAATGTCTACGACATGGCTATGACTTGAATACAATAATAATAGCCTAGCTATTACTAAGGGTAGCAACTGATTGGTAAGACCAAGACAATATTATTTATGTTATTAACAGGTATTTTGTGTATAAATCAAGCTTTTAGATTTTGGGGGGAAATGCTATGAATATTGATAATATAATATACATATAAAAATGATTGCTTTGAGTGGATCTAGACATGTAGAAGAAAATATTCAGCCATTCTCATGAGGAGTTTTGTGTTCAATTCTAGAAGTTACTGTTCAAATATTTTAAGTCACTGGAATGCCATTAATGATTAAAGTAAGCAATTTTGTCATCATTTTAGGAGTATTTTGTGATTTCTAGCAATTGTGAATCTTTTAAACCAATATATTTTCCTTGATCTGTTTAACGTTTTTGAATGTTAGTTTATTTTATTGAATAAATATCATTAAGTAGACAAAAACTGACCAAATTCTATTAAATTGAATGTTGATTTCCTTAAAATTCAATATGAAGTCTTTGAAAGACGACATTTTGTCGGACTGTATCACAACCACCTAATATTTCATTGATATGTCCAAAATTCTATGCTTATTTATTTATTTATTTACTTAAAGGAGCTAAATTAAATCACTAGATAGTGATTGAATACATTGCTTGTTTTTCTCTACACATAAATTCTTCCAAATTGAGTTAAATATTGAATCATTCAAAATAATTTAATAAAATGACGCCAACCTTTTCCTGTATGTTTTCTATAATACAGTACTTTTATATTTTTTATTTCTTCTTTAAATTATATTGTTATACATTTGTTAAATATGTTATAAATTTAAACATCACCAAATTTATAAAAAAAAAAACAATAAATATTTTTCAAAAACTTTCTTTGGAATATGATTGAAATAACGATTTTTTTTGTATTTGGTGGTCCCCGATTTCACACAGATCTGATGTGTTCGCATGAGGGGTCAGGTCATGGGTCATATTGGTGAATTTTAACAGAATGATGTAGACATTTGTATTTAATGTGTGATTCCCAGAATTGTATGTATACCACACATAAAGCTTGACTAAAACCACCATTTTATTGGCTAATCCCCGACATTAAACAAAACAGGGTCCAGTCAAGATCCTATTGTCATAAGAGAAATTTTGCTTGGACAGCACCGCTACAGCAGATTTTTATTTCAAATTCTAACTGTTATGGCAAAAAGTTAAAAAGACCTTGGTTTTCTGTCCCATCCGAACCATGAGACACCAGTTCTGGCCAGGCCCCCAAAATTATGATGAATTTTCTCGGCCTAGTGGGAGGAAACCGGAGGACCCAGAGAAAACCCACGAGGTTGGACAGGCGACCCTACTCCTTGTCACGTACAACCGGGGATTCGAACGCCAGGATCAAACCCGAGACCTTTAGGTTTGCAAGCCAGTACTGTAACCACCGAGTCACTGCAGCTGCTGGTAGTATAAAGAACATGTTAGGTGGACAAGAGTCAACAAAAACAGATAATACATTAAGAGGAAGTATACATAGCAATGCAAGGGAATCCATAAAATAAAATGAGAATTATACATTAGAACTAGGGGGGTTGGATGGCCGAATGATTAGAACGTGCGCCTTGTATCATAAGGCCTGTCATTGAGTCAACTGGCGTGGTTTTGAATCCCCGATTGTACGTGACAAGGAGTAGGGTCACCTGTCCAACCTCGTGGGTTTTCTCCGGGTCCTCCGGTTCCCCCCCCCCACTGCTAAAGACCCCTACCCACAAGCAAATTATTGAAATAAAATTAAACCATATGTTAGTCCCGAAATTACCTAGTGGACGTTAAACCCCTTTTCTCTCTCTCACATTAGAGCTAAAGTTAGGGGCACTATAACGTTGCATAGTAATAAATTTAGTAATTGTGACATTAAGAATGTTCACAAAAAACCCTAAGCCATTAGCATTTAATTCCTACTGCAAACAATTTCAATTTATTTTCCACAGTCCCCGATCCATTGTCTGGCTACTGCTAATTAAAGGAGCTAAGTCGCTAATATTTGGGACTTAGAAATTGACACAAATGGGTCGCAACGCATATAATAATGTAATATGAATGTATATAAATTGATTAAATCGTTAATTTCTAATCAGTTAGGTTCATCGAAATACGCCAGTATTCTTAATCGAATTTAAATCTCTAGCGTCTGGTTATTCCAGTCTACGCCGATAGTATTTATTGGGCATGCTCTCCAGATAAGAATATAGCGTCACCACCGTTTGACATGACTTGTGGAATATGCCTAGCCTCGTTTTTCGATTCCCTTATTACAAATAGCGCTGAAACTCGTGCACCAATTGTTAAATGTTTATTTTGTCTTAAATATTGGATATCAGAAGGCCATCTTTTCCCGGTAACATCAATGTTGATTTAAACCGACAAATAAATCGTGTTTTCAATGTCGAAGATTTTGGATGATATTGAGTTAGAGACTTAGCTACTTTAACGCCAATCCTATATCTTGATATTTATCAATTTAAATAAGTAGATATTTATCAATTTAAATAAATAGTTATTTATCAATTTAAATAAATAGTTATTTATCAATTTGAATAAGTAGTTATTTACAATGTATCATGTAAAAATATATAATTATTTATTGAGTAGAAATTTCGAGCATATTAAGGTTATCTTTTTGACCCACAAAACTTATATTTTATCTGAAAGTATTGACAAGGAAATATTAAATTACATACCATAGATGCAAATTGCCTGATAAGCTAACAGTAAATTGAACTAATTTATTATTACAGACTGGTAACAACCAGATTTAATACATTCATGGCTTGTACTATCAAGTTATCACAGCTATGACATTGGAAATGAGAGAGAGAGAAAGAGAGAGGGTGTGCGTGTTAATATCCACTCAACACAAACTAGGACATTTCGGGACTAACATATGGTTTAATTCTATTTCATTAATTTGCTTGCACGTAGTGGTCTTTAGCAGTGGGAGGAATTAGGTGGACCCGGAGAAAACCTACGAGGTTGGACAGGCGACTCTACTCCTTGTGATGTACAACCATTCGGCCACCCAACCCAACCCCCCTAGAGTAGAAATGAAACAAAGTTTAACGTTTATACTTGTTTGCCCCAATCAGGCTAATGAAGACGGCACAATATGCTATACAGTTTGAAATGACAGAAATTTTGCCTGGACAGCGGCGATTCCCCTACCAATACTTAAATTCCAACTGTTATGGGTTTTTTTTATGTGCACACAAACAAGTACATGGGTAAAGATCATTTTTTTTCATAACATCCAAACAACTAGAGGCTGACGAGGAAATAAAGCTGGAAAGACCAGAGCATCGAACCCCCCATATTCACCGTGGCTCCCATCAATATTTACAGAGTGTAAATTGAGGTTTTCTTGAAGTATCTCGTAAGATATTATGTTTTTGGTGACAAATATGTCTTGCCTGACATTTTGACTACATTTTCGAATTTGTGGTTATTATTTCAGATAGTGATAACATTTGTTTATACTGAACAAAATCAGATGTTTTGATTTCATGGTTATGTATTTCTTCGGGTTGCGATTGTTGAGGAAACATCTCTGTTAAGAAAAAACCCCAGGAAAATTGAAGATGAAATTTGTTTTTACTGAACAAAATCGGATATACACAAACTTCCATTTGTGCCACCAAATCCAAAAGAATTAGTTAAGGCTATTTTTCTATTGAACTGTGCTGACCAGGGAACACTGTTTATAGCCACATAGTTCAGATCACAACCCGTGTTGGAATTCTTTAAATTATTTGTAGGCGGGATTTTTCCAGACTGGCAGGCTAAAATGGTAAAAACAGCTTCCACACTACCAGCAGCACCCAATAAATGACCCACGGCACCTTTTGTAGACGACACCAATAAATGTTTGTTTTCATTGTTAAAGAGTTTTTCTATAGCTCTAGATTCTGCTGCATCCCCAATGGGTGTTGAAGTTGCATGTGCATTAATATAGCCAATATCCTTTATTTCAATGTTGCCATCTTTAAGTGCGGTTTGCATACACCTATAAGCTCCATCCCCACCTTCACTAGGAGATGTTATATGATGAGCATCACCTGAAAAGAGACAAGAACAGAACATTCTTCAAACACTGATTCACAATTTTTCTAACACAGCCCTTCCTGCAGAAGGTCTATCTACACTGCTGCCATGGCACCAGGGCTTCCACTTCAAAAATTTCCCAGACGGTCATTTTTCACACGGTGAAAGTGGTGCTATTTTTAGCACATAATAAACAGCCACAAAATCCCCCCCCCCCACACACCTCTTTGTAATCTTTGAAATTACAATAACTATAAATTAAACTTCTAGATCTACTATATTCCTGTATCTACAATGTTGTAAAATCAATGAGATGTGGGGGGTGCTTGACCGACACAGAATTCAATCCCGTCACAGTTCTGTCAGTCCCGACAACGGAAGTGGTATGCGTAGAATCGTGACATAATTAAACCTAATGAATATGTTTCAGCTGTCAAGGTTGGTTGAGATATTTTCTCATGCAGTCAGCACATACTTTCTAGCCCCAAAATCCCATTTTCACTCGATTGTCACTATTTTTGGGTTTGACAGAATTAAATTCCGGAACGTTCAATGAAGCATCCCCTTGGTTTGCTGTGTGATGGGAGGTAATTTAACAGAAGAGATTCCCAATTCAAGATAATATTGAAACTCCAGAACATGAGTGGCTATGATTTATACATAAATTGCATCAGACTCATTTAAGCATTACACATCAGGCATGGACCCAGAGTGGAACAGATAAGAAAAACGAAAGCTAAGATCTCTGGGAATGAATTATCGAAGAAAATGGGGCTCTGAATAAAAATTATTATTATCTAAATAAAACAACACAGCTTTAAACCATAATCAATGTTCATCTACTACGAAGGCCCTATCTTTCACTGGGAATGGAATGGATTCAAGAAGAAAACAAAATCTAAACATAATAATTGAATGTCCAAAAACAAACAAATGGAAAATACTTGGAAATAAAAAATTAGTGAATGGTAATGTATGCTATTTTAAAGAACAACAGTAAATATAGATTAGTATATTCTGCTAGAGTTTACCTGAAAGTCCATAACCCTGTATTTCTGCTATTATATCAGCCCCTCTATTTATAGCATGATTCATTTCTTCAAGAACAACAACACCACATCCTTCTGACATTACAAAACCATCTCTATCTTTATCAAACGGTCGAGATGCTTCTTGAGGATTATTGTTAAATTTTGTACTCAAAGCTCTCATTCTACTGAAACCTGCTATAGACAGGGGGCTTACAGATGCTTCAGTTCCTCCTGCAACCATCACATCAGCTACACCTCTCTGTATAAAACTATAGGCATCACCAATGGCATGTAGTCCCGTCGTACAAGCCGTTGAAACAGCATGATTAGGACCCTTTAAAAATATATATTGAACATACAATTCGATATTTATTTTAAATGCACTGTGCATGTTTAGAATGGAACACAGGCTACACAACTGTGTTTTTTGTAAAAGAAATTTCTAAACTTACTGTTTATCAACATGCCAAGATGAACGTTTCTTACAAATGAAATGAAATAGGGGTTTAATTTCCTGCTTTTCTCCACCAAATGGACTAATGAAGACAGACATACGGCATACTGTACACCATGGGGGAAAGTTTGCATGGACAATATCACTATAGTGCCTACTCCATGCATGCCAATAAATACACAGGACCCCTATCCTGCACCACTGACAAGGGGAAATCCTGCCCAAAAATCCTGAAGAACTTTCTCAGTCAACACTGGGATCAAATCCAAAACCTCCTTGTTTGCGAGCCAGTGTCTTACTCACTGAGCCACTGCTGTTCCGAATTTCTTAAAAGGGGAGCCGATCATATTTTGTGCAATGATAATGATACACTTAAATAATATAATACATGTACTTCTTTTCAAATCCTTACACTTTTCAAATGATACACTTAAATAATATAATACATGTACTTCTTTTCAAATCGTTAGTTATTGCCATTATAGCTAATAATCTGACATTCTAGCATTGTTCTAGTACTGTTTTGTACTCAGTGCACTGGTACTTGTGTTTTTTAAAATCATGCTTATGCCAGCCTAACATTTTATTTAATACATTCATTTCAATATCATTATTCATTACTTCCCTTGTTTGGGGTTTTACATTTGTGGATTGCTTCACTTCATTTCTACAAATTGAATAGATCTAATAACATTTCTTCAATGTGCTAATAATGACATTAGCTGTAAGCATACGCCAATTATGGCATGCATTAGAATAATGCAGTGTTTGGGAAATGTGTCTTCTTTTGGTATTTGGCGTGCATAAGTTGTCTCCCTTGTTTATACATGTGTGAGAAGGAATGAATGAATGAAATGGGGTTTAACATCCTACTTTTCTGCTCCAAACAGGCTAACAATGACGGATGGATATGTGTGTATATCGATGACCTAAATTTACATAAAGCAAATGTAAGATTTATACACAGGCAAATCAAACATTATACTACTATAGGGATATACTGAACTTAAAAGGCTTGATGCATCATTTGCATTTTCACTAAAATATCAAATTTCTCACAAATTTCTCCATGCTAAATATATACACAGACTAATTATTTAACATTTAATTAAACATACATTATGTAAGACTTAGATGAACAGCTGCTGGCTGTTCTTGCTATAATAGTTCAGAAATAGATAAAAAAAAATGAATATATTTGAAATTTCATTCAAATTACTTTATTCTGAACAAAATTATGATTGTTTGAAGACATAGCATAGACTGGCGGTATCTTGTTATAGAGTGCAGCATAGATCGATGAAATTTAAATTTATCATAACTTTATAGGTCTGAACAGAATTGAACTATTTTTGGACTTTGGAAATTAAATTTTCAAAATATTGTAGTTTGCTTGGGATTAATAGCATTTAAGTGTAATAAAAATACACATGCTAAGTACAACAAGGGCATGATCTACAGGAAAATTAAATGCTAATTAATATGTTTGGAACAAATATAAGATCTGGTTTTACAGTAAGATAAGTACTTTGAGTGTATTAAAAACTAAGTGGACACATGTGTAATGTTTTTCTAGTGGTCATAAAATCGCCTACTTGACTGTAAAAAGATCATTAATCTTAATACATCATATACTTTAATCTAAACAAACAATTGGTCATCAAGCACTTATTAAATATATAAATCAAATAGATTGATCTAAGTACAAATATTAATCATAAAAGTTTTATCTTTTACTGTCCTCATGTCAAAACTCACTGTACTTCATATGTAATTTAGGCAAGACCAATTTGGTTTTTCGTTCCATAGGAAATGAAATGAAATGGGGTTAATGTCCTACTGTTCTGCTCCTAACCTGGGCTAATGAAGACGGGCATACGCCATACAGTGTGCTATGAGGGAAATTTTGCCCGGGCAGCGGCACTATCGCCTACTCTTATATCGAATTCCAACTGCCAGGGGATCTTTTACATGCACGCCAATGTGTACTTGGGACCTCGGTTTTCCGTCTCATCCGAACGACTAGACAGCTGTCCTTGTCAGGCCCTCCATCCTGCATCACTGACAAGGGGAAACCACGCCGGAAAATCTGAATGAACTTTCTCGGCCAATGCAGGGATCGAACACCCGACCTCCAGGCTAGCGAGCCAGCATCTTACCCACTTAGCCACGTGATCCCTCCCGTTTCATAGGGGCTTGATCACATGAAAGATGGTTTGTTTAAAATTTCAAAACTTAAAAATTGGGATCTAAAAGCTTTTAAAGAGTACTTTCTGATTTTAAATTACTAAAGAAATAAGAAGAAAAATTTTACCAGGTTTTCCTGGAGAAAAGAAAATCAAATTGGTGTGGCCTTATTCTAACTTCAAATAATCTTCAACTTTCTCAACAACTTTGATAAACACTAAAAACCAACCTTGAGTCCATGTTTTATACTAACATGTCCAGCAGCCATGTTAACCAATATACGGGGTATGAAATGGGGCGATACTCTATTGTAACCACGCCCTCGCAAAGCCTCACCAACGTCTGCTATCTCTTCTAATGATACCATACCCATACCAATTGCTACACCTACCAATATACAAAGAAAAAGTTTCAGAATGCTTCATTCTTTCGAAATGAATTTGAAAAAGCTTAGATAAGGTAGGGAAACAGCCAGGTACTATTGCATGTTCAATCCCGAAGCTTAGCATTAATCCTTATGTTCATAATTAATATGATTTATCTGTGTATTTGGATGGTATTAAGAAAATTGGTATCACAACATATCAAAAATAAAGAAGAAACTGTTGATTTAATCTTAAAAAAAAAATAAAAAATTTATTTTTGCAGCTTATAAAGATTGGTAGTATTATTTAAGAATATTTCAATGGAAGGGAGATAACTCTTTCTGTCATACAATATGCAGACCACCAAATATTCTCCAATTGACTTTAAAATAAATGTTGATACTTCATTACAGTTTTACACAGTAGTGCACATATGATATATTATTTGTTTGGATATTAAAAGACTAATTAGTAATAAACTTGTCAAAGCGGATAATCGACTGAATGTTTCGGAATTGAATTGCGGCCATCAAAAGTTGTGCAATGTGAAAAATAAAAGTATTGGTCCAACTGAATATGAAACTATCACGACCAATCACTATAGCTGACAAGTTCGATTATGTCAGGTTTCTGCACACATCTTTTCAGGACTGAAATGATTCAATTTTGTGTCAATCGATTGCAATTCCAATAGTTTAGAACGTTCGAGACTGACTATTGAGCACATCAATATTCTAGTTTAGTTTAGGGTTTTTTTTCCACTTCTCATTCACCCACTAAACTTTTGAGACCTAAAATTAGAATCATCAACAAGAAACCTGTTCTTATTCTCTCTTCCTCCTGGTCGGGTTTCCACTTTGCCATATTCAAGGCTTCTTCGGCTGCTATCATAGCATAAGCTGAGGACAGGGGTAATCCTCGTAATTCAGTTGGAGTAAAATGTTTAGCAATATTAAGTTCCCCATCCTTGGTGCCACATGGAACTATACCGGCCACTTTACATGGTATTTTATCATATTCTACAAAATAATCACATTATATATCAGTTTTTATCACAGCTGATATGTTGGCTATATCTTATCAAACAAAATGAAGATATAAAAATAAAGTTTGAAAGCACAGATTCTGAGGAGGTGACCCATGCAGTCCGAAATAATCAGAAATTACATTTACAGCATTCCATAATTTTTCTAAATTCTCTGGTGTAATCCTCCCTATTTTGTGTGCTTCTTCAGTGCTTGAATAATTTCTGGACCCCTCCCCCACCCCCCAACTCCTGCTGCAAGTCCTGGATTCATTCTGCTTTGGGCGTGAAATTCTGTGCCTTATTCATTCATAAGGGCATTTAATTTTGTTTAGGTTTTAGCAATATCAAAAAATAGTTCTATAGGAATGTGTTTTCACATATGAGAAATAGAAAGACAATTCAAACTATCTGACTTGGGATAGAGAGATTATTTGCTTGCTAATAAACAAAACTCAAGCACTACATATTTCCAAAGAAAAGGGCATTTGAACCTTTAGTTGGTAGTTGAGTTATTCCACATTGACCACTGATCAGATTCTTCCATGTTTTATCTACACCAACCCCAAGACATGTGACTAAACCTAGTCCTGTTACTACTACTCTAGATCTCGATAGACTTGACATTACATGTCTATTCACAGCCATTCATATACTCAACTATCTAAAATTAGAATTTTCAAAAAAAATAATACAGAAAAAAGGTAGACTATTAAGTAAAGAATTACACATCAGGGTATTTCTTTACATAAAAAGAGAAGTATGAAAAATATGTACCGTAATAATTTTGAACAGAGTGTAACCAAATATGTTCATTTACATCAGTAAAGGAAAAAAAGCATAGTGCACTGAGTATAAAAAGCAGAGTGGAGAATAATTTGGAATATTTCTCTGTGACAGCTGCCTTCCAATAATTAAACCATGTCTTGTCAAGAGTGACAGAAGTCGGAAACATGTCATAAGCTTCATAACAATACAGTACATGTTCTGGTCCTGGGTTCAGATCCGGTTGTGGCGCGGAAAGAACTCTTTGAGATTTATCATCCCCAGGTTCTACTACATAGTTTGCAAGGGTTAAAGAAAAGCCTCCATGCTACCAATATAAACAAGCATTTCTGCATGATAGATTAAAGTTTTCAGCAAGTTTTCGGGTGGCAAACCTTGTGGGATCAAGCAATAACGTGTGTCTACTATTTTGAATCAATAAACATTGATTTGCAGCAGACAACAACAAACAAATCTCTCCTTGACAGTTGATTGAAATCTGAAAATCTGTTGTTCTTGAGGTTTGTCATTAAAATATGGACGACATGTTGTTCTTTATTTTTGACTTTTGAGTTTGAATACTTTTCTTTTACGCCTTTCTACGCTTTCAACGAATAGACGAAAATGTATAAAAATAGTACGGTACATAGAAATATAAGTACAGTTTCCGATTCTAACTTTCCAACTGTCTGTTCAAACTGTTACGCAGCGGTAATGCAAATACGTACTGTCTGTTGGTCAGTTTGTTGTGTTTTGCTTTCGCTGATGGGCGCAGACATCTTGTAGGACCGCAGTGACATTAGAATGAAATTCTTTTAATTTTCTGTTGGATTATCGTGACTTTAAGGTTTAATGTCAAGATCAATGCATTATAGTGCTTTTGTAATTCTAAAACATTTTATTCGTCTGATAAATCAGAAATTATACCAATAAAATAAATAAAAAATGTTTTCTTCTGCCTCTTTACCAACGTCAACCTTGACCTTTTTTAGTTTACATGCAGGCAAGGTGACGAATATCTTATCTGATCGATTAACAATAAACGCGGGTTTATATACAAGAATTCAAGTTGATAAATCACTATTTGGCATGACAAGCGTGTTGACCATGCTTCCCACTACCCGACCATTAAGCGGGGCTTCTCAGCAAACAAATTCTAGTGATGTAAGTCGGATAACTGAATTTGGAACCCCCAAAAAGACTGGACCATATTTGGAAGGAAATCTAAAACTATTGGAAACACTGTAAGTATTTCAAGTACATGCATGATATGTACACGTACATGCAAACATTGACCTGTCACGCCTTGTCGATTTTCTTAAAATGTTTGCAAGGGGAAAAGTCTGTAAGCTTACCCTATTAGTATTAGATAATTTAATTATAAAAAATTTAAAAAGGTAACTTAGTTATTAACATTTATTTATTTATTAACATGACAATGTTAACAACAATAATTAAATAAAGTTACAGTAATTCCACTTTAAGCACCAACTTTTAAAGTATTTTTACTTTATGAAGCTTTTATAATTTCATATGAAAGCTTACTGTTTCTCTTGCGATTATTATTATTTATTTATTTGTTATGGATGGTGGCTGTGGATTAAAAACCATGCCAAAATCAAAATGTACGAACAAATTACAAAAATCGTAGCTTTATCTTTATTTAACCTATTTTGCTAATTCTTTTTTCTTTGAGTACCTTGACAAAATTCATTTTCACCTGCAATTACTGATTTTCGAATTTCAAACAACTTCTTTAATATTTATTAGCACGTTTTTTCATGAAATTTGGCTTGTATAGTTGTAAGTAGTTCTGACGGATTCAGATTTAACAAAGTCATTAGAAATTTTCTAACTTATCTCTACTTGGAGAAATTAAGGATCAAAGTTTTATAAAAAAAAAAAAAAAAAAAAAGTAGGTCAGATTGCCTTGAAATTTCTTTTTGGTAGGCCTACTAGCCCAGACACTACTGATGGGTACACAAAATGTGAAGTTTGTCAATCAAACTGAAAGTGCCACCATCTTGAAACATGTTAAATCCCTAAGATTTTTACGAAAGTTTGGAGAATTCGTCTCCGATTTTCGAAATTCATTATCAAAATTTTGGTATTTATCAAAATTTCGAATTTCCACATAAATGAAGTTTTTCGTGCAGACAAAAGTTTTTTCCTTAATTTCAAAATTTACAAATTTGTGTTGAATACTTGAACAGCTAAGGTCAACTCGATTCCAAAAATATAAGTTTCATTTAAAGTTATCTTACTTTGTTTTTCACTATTTTAGTTCTTTCCCCTCATTTTCATTTCATTTTCTGATTCTTCCAGTTTTTCTGAAACTTCTGGAACGGGAAGTCAGTCTGATTCCATCAAAATAAGTCACAGTTATCCCCTTTATTTTTCAGATTATTTTTTCGCAGAGGTGAAATGTTTTTCGTGATATTTTAACTTATAACTTCGCAATTTTTTTACCAATTTTAATAATTATTAATTTTTTTCTGAGATTCTTTATATCACCCATATGTGACAGGAGACAGGAAGTGACCATGTTTTTTTATGATAATTCATGACATGTACTGATCTAACTTTAGATCTAACAAATACTTATTTATTTCCCCTTGCTGTCATCATAAACTGATTTATAAAATAAAGATTAGTTACCGTAATCATATTCCTTGGCTTGAAAATGATTTCATAAAACAGTTAAATTTATGGCACTCCTAAATATAATTATTTTCAGTATTATTACAAAGCATAAATATAGAATTGTCTTGACAGAAATGCTTTCGATCCGTTTTACATACATGTAGGCCTACAGTTTGTATGAAAAAGAATTTAGAATAGAAAAAAATTAATTAAAATAAAAAAATATTTAGATTAGATAGATATCTAGGTCTAAAAAAAATATTTATAATAAAAATAAATAATTTAAAAAAGATGACTGGTAAACACAAAGTATATGAAATACATTTAACATAATAAGAAGTAAATGAATATCATTTGAGAGCATGTAAACTTAAATGGATTGTCTGTGGCATGTATGGTCTACGCCTAGTTTAAATTGTTTCTTAATAATAAGTATAGATTGGCTGTGACATGTATGGTCTACGAGTTCAAAGGATGACTGTTCCATTAAGAACTAATTTAGTTACATGTAGCCTAACTAGTGTAATTTGATCGAAGTAAGAGAGTGGTATTTTAGTGTAGATGTAATAAGTCTTTGTTCTTTAATTAATCTTATACCAATGTCTGATCCGCCACATGCAATATAATATTCATGAATGAAAGCTTGCTCATGTTATTTTAAAGTACAAATCAGACAATTTTTATTTATTAAAAACAACCTATTAAATCCTTATTTTAACAATACCAGTAACTTTATTACTATTGTGATTTATGAGCCAAGAATATGAATTGATCCAATGAATTGCAGCCAAGTATAATTTTACAAACTATTTGCACACTATACATGTATGTATACCAGACAAACTAAATGTCAGTTGTGTATGAATGTATGAACTTACAATAAGTACAAATATAGATGAAATTTCATTAAAAAAGACTCTGAAGACGTGAAGAGTGTTTTATTCGACACTTTGTACAATTGCTGTCTATTTACATTGTAATTGAGTTACAAAGCTAAAGGATATAATGGATCCCCACCCTGCTTTTTTGACCTTTCCATTGTTTGTTTTTGATCTGAGTACAGCAATATTATATTCGCTTTCAAAATACAGATGAAGAGATATACATATATATTGCAAGTCTGGTATTATGAAAGATCTATCATGCTTAAAACTAATTGATTTGAAAAGATTACTACGGTGCGGCTTGTTATTGACGTTTTGTTTACTTATACCATTGAAAACTAATAAATTCCCGTCATTATGGCCGTATAAAACAGTATTTTGCTATGAAGATATACGAGTCCTATATCATGAACAGACACTTAAAATGTCTGTTTGAAAGAAATTCTGTGTTAATAGACATTTCTGTGTTGACATAAGTTTGGTTGTGATTTGTGAGAAATTGATTTACGTTATTTTAAGTACCAGTAAACATGTATGTCTTATGTGTGTTCATATATTTAAGAAGGGATTTTTTTCTGTAGAATTTAAAGTAGCTAAGTCTCTAACTTAATATCATCCAAAATCTTCGACATTGAAAACACGATTTATTTGTTGGTTTAAATCAACATTGATGTTGTGATCTTACGAATCGTGTACCATAATGCGTTTCAGCACTATTTGTAATAAGGGACTCGAAAAACGAGGCTAGGCATATTCCACAAGTCATGTCAAACGGTGACGCTATATTCTTATCTGGAGAGCATACCCAATAAATACTATCGGCGTAGACTGGAATAACCAGAAGCTAGAGATTGAAATTCGATTGAGAATACTGGCGTATGTCACCGAACCTAACTGATTAGAAATTACAGTAAAAACAGAAACGATTGAATGTAAATCAATTTATATACATTCATATTACATTATTGTATGTGTTGCGACCCATTTGTGTCCATTTCTAGGTCCCAAATATTAGCGACTTAGCTCCTTTAAGTTAAATATTTCACTAAAAACCTCTAATGTAAAGAATATTTCCAAACAGCTGGGATTTCTTTTGTTAATATTTGATTAATTACATGTACGTATCATCTTATAGCTTTCATCCACAAGAATTAGAAGAAATGGATTTTTTTCCCAGTTTCTTCCCATCTTCTGCCTGTCTTCATTAGCCCAAATTGTTTAAATGGCATTTAGTAATTAGTGGAATACAATTCACAATTCTATGGAATACTGCTTATTACTGAGCGACGTTTCGACTAGGCTTCTCTAGTCTTTATCAAGCAATGAATGATTGCCTCAACTCCATACTAGAACTTAGTAGAAGCCTAGTCGAAATATCGCTCAGTAATAAACAATAGGTATTCCATAGAATTGTGACCTGTGCAGAAAAGTAGGATGTTAAACCTCTTTTCATTTCATTTCCATTCTTCTGGAAGGAAATAAACCCATGTTAAATGATTAAACTCTATTGATAGTCCCTGACTGGTTATTTTGGATTAATTGTCCCTATCATCAAGTGTAGTGCTAGACAATTATTTCAATAAATCAATATATCACAGTATGTAGACTTTATTGACAATAATTTTTTGACCGTTTAAAATACCTCAATATTCATATAATTTCATTTGACCCTAGATTATGGCCATTTCTTCAATAATATTCTCTGAAAGATCATTGTATTTTATTGAAACATATTGTTAATCAGATTGGTCATAAGAATTCATACTTGACAAATCCACACACAACACTAATGCAAAAACCTTGTGTTTTAACTATGTTTGAACAATAATTTCATCAATATATCGCAATATTGACAATAGTTTTTACCTTTGAAATGACATAATAATAATAATTCAATATATTGTTTGAACCTATCTTCCTTTCCCTAATAATACTATCTTCTGATAGTATGATTCAAATTTACTTGCTTCTCAGAGAATTTATTTTGATAGGTGCACCATCTTATTTCGAGTCTCGTTGCTTGAAGCACTATAAAAATGCAATAATGACAATATTTTGTGGATTTTTATATCGTTATCGCAATAATGAAAATTGCAAATATCGCCAAGCTCTTAGTCAGTGTTTGTTGTTTTTTAAAAATGGGGTCAATTATAAAAAGCTTGGAGGCGCATTTCATTGCCTCCGGTTTTCAATTGACCTGACATGACCTTTTATCTAGCAAATGAACAAATGATTGGCTGGAGCAAGAATGATTTTATCCAGACATGGTAGACATCAGAAAGAACAGAGAAATGATAAAGAAGTAGTTACATCTCCATATACATTTAGTGTAGGTACATGCATAGGCGTACAGGGAAATTTTTGACTTGGGGGGGGGGGGGCGGTGGTGGTTGGTGCCCAAAAAATGTAGTTAGGTTCTTAGTATGTTACATAATAATAATAAATTCACTGTTAAATTGGACACATTCAAGAACACAATATTTTTTTATACAACTGTGTGCCCAAATTTTCCCAGCATTTGGTGCCTATGGGTACATGTAGGCAACCAAAATTAAAACTTGAATGGAATTATAGTCAAATTTTTTATTAGATTTTATTAATTTTGACTTCTTTCAGTAAATGATGACAAACAATTTCGTATATTTTTTTTATTTCAGGGAATGTCCAGTAGATATTATGTGTTGTCACTTCAATCCATCAGGGACTCACCTAGCTGTTGGATTATGTGACGGAACAATTAAGGTAAATATATTAGTATTTTACTATACACAAAAACTACTATAAGATTCACACCTATAGCAACATAAAGGTTAGATATATATAATAGATCTATTTGTACAGGTCATTGTTAGTGATAAAGCTGACTTATTGGCTTTTACGGCCCTGTATTGTATGAATACAATAGATGACTATCTCTTGGGATCATCTGTATATAGTATTAATCTATAAACTGGTTTAATACCTAAAGCCACATGGCTTTATGAATACCTTTATTACATACTAATGATGACTAGCACTCATAAAATCTTACAAATTCTATACTAAATACAAAAATATAAGTTGGACAAGGTTTTCAGGACATTGTCTGACAGTTTTTATTACCTCAATTGGCCAAATAATTTTGACATCAAGTGAAGACTAATAGAATAAACAAATCTTCCTATAGGTAGCTACATGTGTAAATAAACAAATATTTTTGTCACAGTTCGATGTTTTTTTTTATTACCCTCTATACATGTAGTTTTACTTTAGATGAATATGTTGTGTCCAATAAAATACATTATATACTGAAATACACATTACTAGATTTATCTACATTGTATAGGCTTGGGCAACTGAAGCCTAATGTCTCAAGATCTAGGGCACCTCCTGCAAGGTGTATAATATCGCCATGGACCTTATAATACATGTATTATAAGGTCCATAATCTACTGAGCAATATCTCCTTAGGCGATATCGCTTTACATGAATTTGATTGGTCAGTTAAAAAGGAACTACTTTTATTAAAAAAGGAACTATTTTTTGGATCCAGTAATATTATTGGAGAAAAGTTCTCGGTTACTAATATAAACAATAACAATAATCCCCATAACCTTAAAGCAAACACCAGGTCTATATATAGGACTTTGCAACGGGTAAATTGCTGTCAAAAAATGATATATTAGGCCTACTATGCCGGGATGTAATCTGGTTAATTAAAATCTATACCAAAGAATTATATTTATTTTTTTGTGCACGTAACAAAGGATTAGGTGATAAATAAAATCTCCTACTCATCTTTTTTGACATCAAAAAATATCAACACTCGTCGATAAAGTAAAAAAAAAAACTTGGCAAAGCGAAGTAGGAGAAGGAGATTCTCTATTTATTACACGGGGTCACAGTGGCTAATTGGGTAAGATGCTGGTTCGCTAGCCTGGAGGTTGGGTGTTTGATTCCTGCATTGACCGAGAAAGTTCATCCAGATTTTCCGGCGTGATGCCCCCATGTCAGTGATGCAGGACGGAGGGCCTGACAAGGACAGCTGTCTGGTTGTTCGGATGAGACAAAAAAACGAGGTCCTGTGTACACATTGGTGTGCATGTAAAGGATCCCTTCACAGTTGGAATTCGATATAAGAGTAGGCCGTAGTACCGCTTTCCGGGCAAAATTTCTCTCATAGCACACTGTATGGCGTATGCCCGTCTTCATTAGCCCAGTCGAAGCAGAACAAAGATCTTTGTTCTGTTGATAATTCACGCATATCCGAATATAACTTTCTAGATTATGGCCACTGATTGTTCGTAAAATCGCACGTTTAGCTTGTGGACCCCCCTCGAAGTCACAATTTGTATTCAATTTTAAAAAACCTTTAAATGTATCCCCGTTACAAATCAATGAAGGTTGAGTTCGAATTTTGTAAAAATCTGACCGAAACTGACAGACAAAATGGCCGCTCCTTGTACACAAGGCTGTGGACACTCTAGAAGTCACAATTTTTATCCGATTTGATGAAATTTGAAATGTATGTTTATAATCTAAAGATCGTGGTTCTTTATGATATTTTCGCATATCAGACGGTAACTGGATTATGGCCCCTGTTTGTATGAAAAACCACTTTTTTTAGCTTGTGGACTCTCTATAGGTCACAATTTTTATCCAATTTTAAAAAAAACCTTATAAATTGATCACCGTTACACTCTCATGACGGTTGATTTCCAATTTCGTGAAAATCGGATCAAAACTGCCTGACAAAATGGCCGCTCTTTGTACGCAAATTGTGTAAAAGTATGTAATACGAAGGTTGTGGACACTCTAGCGGTCACAATTTTTATCCAATTTTGATGAAATTTAAAATATATGTTTATGTTCTCAGTCCCTGTCGATATTTGCGCATTTCTGACCATAACTCTCTGGATTATGACCCCTGATTGAACGAAAAGTGACTTTTGTTTTTAGCTTGTTCTCTATCCATCTCGTGCTAAAGGTGGGCGGGCGTATCTTGCCTGGCAACCGCTGTTTTTAATAGTTGGCCAGCTCATCCAAATAACGGAAGACAAAAACACAGTGCAACATTTAAAGATAACACTAGTGTTATAGTTCCTTTCTTATTTTCCACCAGTGTTAACACTGGTATTAAACTAGTTTAGACACTGGTGTAAACACTAGTGCTAAATCAAGGGGCTCAGGTTAAGGCACTAAAGAGAACACCAGTTATACACCACCACAACACAACCCTAGTGACTTGAATTGACCCAATATACACATTGTATCCACCATACTTTAATATACACAAGTCAAGTATAAAAGTTCATCATTTGTTTTTTTTTTTTAGACATCTCGTTTTATCCACCATACGTTTGTTTACATGTATGTTTTTAAGTCTAACTGTTAAAGCCACTGATCATTATTTGTTTTTTCAGACTATATCTAATTTTTCACAACTTGCTTTATTTGGGCATTATCTAGTTTTTCACGACTTATTCCATGGTCAGCCCCAAATGGGAACGGAAAATCTGCAGGCTATAATTTTTCGAAAAATTAAATCAGCCTGAACTGAGTTCTATTCACTAAAATATATAAGCTTATAGGGTTACTCTTTTAATACTATTACTAATAATAACTAAGATAACAGCCGTGCATTCGTCTCAGAAGGCCATACATATAATTGTATGTGCACTACATTTGTATAATTACCTGCACTTTGACTAAGCTTAACTTACCTGTACATGTACTTTGTTTAAGATTTATATTGACGTTACCTATCAGTATCAGTGATCAATGATTGGATATCAATCAGGACATATTTGTATTTAATGAGTTAGAATAGATACTGGTATTGATATTGATATTAAAGTTAGATAAATCTGACACATTAATCCATTGACCTATAACCTTTAAGACTGTTTATATGGGGGAGGACAGCAATATTGAATTATTAGACACCGATCTATGTGACAGCAAATGGTAAAATCGATAAATATTCATAGCTCAGTAAATAAATTCTAGTAATCATATAAGGTAATTTATCATGTATTTATGGGAACGACGTGAGAAAAACGATACCTGAATGGTTCGTAACGAGATCGAATAACTCAGTTGATCACCATGAATTAAATATTGATCATGGTGTGTTTACGGAAGGAATTATTTATTCTTTGCTAATTAAAGTCTGTAGTATTGCCTAAATCTCGTCTGGACTGAAACTTGATCAGTACTAATCAATATCAAAATCACAGCGATTTCTAGTATTGCCTAAATCTCCTCTTATTATTGGACTGAAATTTGATCGGTACTAACAGTGCCAATACAATAGGTATTGATCTTGAATTAATATATAGGTCACTGCGATTAAATTTTCTTATGTAGACACAAGTACCAAACTTAAAGAAAAGTTCGAACTCTTTATTCATTAAAAAATGTTTCGTAAAAGAACTGGATCCAGAGCCATAAAAGTATACTTTACTCAACTAAAATTTCAATTACTCATTACTATATATGATAAGAAAGAATATACAATTCAAAACAATATCAATACCATCCTATTCTATTAAAGCTACATTCCCAGAAAAGTATTTATCGGGTGGTTATTTCCAATAAAAGTATGGCAATTTTGGTATATATGGAAAGGACAAATATCCAATCTTACTAGAAAAATACTGGATTCCCTGAAAAACACTCATGGAGCACATACAGGACAAAAATGTACGGGTTTCCCTAATCGACACCCCGACGATTAGGAGTGTCTGCACGCGTAACATCAAAGGTTGCATGCGGAGATTGAGCACTTGATGTACATATTAATAAACAGTGGATAAACCGAGAATTTAATTAGGCTTCGATATATGTAATAAATAGTCAGCGATAAAGGCAACATCGTCTTTTGTATGCAATGAATTCTCCTCCGACATCGTACCCGTTGTGTCACGTGACACAAACATGACCTCGTTTGATCAAGTTTTTATAGCCGGGTATTCCCTGACAATTGCAATGTTTTGAGAAGGATTTGAAGCAAAATTATGATAAATTGATTAGTTTGAATATGTTTTTAGTCCAAATATATCATCAAATCACCCAGTTTTGTGAATGTATCTCAAGGCTATCGTATTTTAATCCCACCTTATGTTGGCCTAAAATGAAATGAAATTGGGTTTAACGTCCTACTTTTCCTCACTAACTGGACTGTCAGTAGTGTAGTATGGAACAGCATCTGGTTGTTCAGATGGGACAAAAAAATGAGGTCCTGTGTACAAATTAGTTTGCCTGTAAAAGATCCCATAACAGTTAGAATTCAATATAAGAATAGGCCGTAGTGCCACTATCCGGGCAAAATTTCCCTAATAGCAAACTGCATGGTATATGCCCATCTTCATTAGCCCAGTCGGTGCAGAAAAGTAGGATGTTAACCCCAGTTCATGTATGTTTTAGCTGATTAGTAAGTATATAATGTACATATTTGTTATTGTAATTTTTCAGATATATGACAGTAATAGTTACCATTTATTGTATAGTCTATCAGATGAAGATACTGTATCCAGTCGTCTACCAGTTACACAAATTCGCTTCCGAACAGCTGTATTGGGAGATAAACCTGAATATGGTCATATACTTATAGCATCCTGTAAGTATAGTAACAGAGACAGGGTATTTGAATCGGAATCAGAAAGAGTGTGAATGTAAATGCAGTGTGTTATGTTAAGGAAATTTTGCCTTCACCGTGGCACAACAGTCTACTTTTAGTTTGATTTGGGTGGTTTAAAACGTGTGTGAAATCACAAGATCTGTCATTGAGTCAAGTGGCATGGTTTCAATCCCATGCTTGAATGTGACAAGGAGTAGGGTCACCTGTCCAACCTCATGGATTTCCTCCCACTGCTAAAGATCCCTACATGCAAGCAAATTATTGAAATAAAATTGAACCATGTTAGTCCCGAAATGACCTAGTTATGTCGAGTGGACGTTAAACCCCATTTCTCTCCCTCTCTTATTTTGATTCCGAACTGTCCGTGGATCTTTACATGCTACCCATGGTATGTACAGGACCTGCTGTTTTCTAAACAACTTAATGCTTTTCCCTTGCAAGGCCTTTTGTCCATCATCACTGACAAAGGTTAAACAGGTTCAAAAGTCCCAAGGGACTTGTTTGGACATTGGAACTTCCTAGTTAGTGTGCTAGTGTAAATGTATGTGTGGAGCCACAGAGACCCAGTTAGTATTACACTGTAGTAATACTAACTGGGTCTCTGTGGCTCCACACATACATTAAACATAGCCCCCAAATTATTAGAATACTGTAGCAGGGGCGGATCCAGGAATTTTTGCAGGAGGGGGTTTGCCAGGTCCCCCTCCTGCATGGTCATTTTGTCGTATATACATACACATTGAGCTTTTTAAACAGAGAAATTCAACACCTCGTTTGATGTCAATTTTTATTATGAATTAATACAATGACTTTGTCATTCAATTTCATGGATGCAAAGCATTAATTGTGATATCACATAATGTCTATATTTAATGTCTATAGTGCTTTGAGTGCCCATGGTGTCCCACATCTGACGATAAAGGATAAAGCACACGGTCGAGAAACTTTTCTCATAAAAAGTACTGATTTACAAAAAAAACTATGTAGCTGTCGACCCCCCCCCCCCCCCCCTCTGGATCCGCCCCTGTGTAGTGGAGAAATTAACAGGATGATAAAATCATGCAGCACAGTCTCAGCTGGGGAGAGGGTTATGATACATGTATATCAGAGTGTAACCACTGTCCACATATAATAACAGGTTTTCATAGATAGTTCAATTGTTATTGTAATGCCTCGATTGTCAATGTCATACATGTTATTACCTGGAATTCATTCAGAATTGTCAAACAGATTATTACTTTTTACAGTGCGTCACTAAAAATTCTGACATGTTTTAGTATGAATTAGGGTCTTTAAAGTCTCCATGCATCATTTAAGTGCTATAAATTAAATGAAATGGGGTTTAAAGTCCTACTGTACCATTTAAGTGCTATAGGAATCACTTGCAATATTGTGAAAGATGAATCTTTACCTAAAATAAATACAAATATCAGTCTATAAATGGTTCAGTTCTATTCACCTACAAAGATATGTGGAATATAAATGTCATCGATCTATGTAATAAGCCATAGGCCTATTTTGTATTTGATTGAATGCAAGTAGGTAGGGACATTATTTAGCATTGGTATTTTGATTTTGTTTTCTTAAATAAATGTTAGATAATCAGTCTGAGTACATATTATTAGCGTGGATTAAGCCATAAGAAATTTGATATTTTAGAGAAAAATGCCAATGATGTGCCATTACTTTAACATTACCCTTTGTTTTGTGGACACATTGTTTTATTGTTTCAGACGCATCTGGCAACATCAAATATTGGCATTATACTTCTGGAAAATGTCTAAGCACAGTTAATGAAAAACGGCAGACACTCGCTCTAGCACTCAATCCAGATGGCTCACATTTAGTTTCGGCAGGAGCTGATCCAGGGATGCACATCTATGATGTGGAAACAAAACAACGTATTAAAACATTAGAACCCAGGTAATTTTCTTAAAAGATTTTCAGAGTTTAGTGTGGTACATGACACATGCACTTCATTGGAAATGGAAAGCGAGTCTAGTCTAGGGTTCTCATTTCAGTCCTATTTATCATTATTCACTGCCTGACAGTGAAATTGAGTGGCAGTGAAATTGACTGGCTGGTGGAAGTACTAATCAGTCAATTTACATGCCATAACATTAGAATTTCACTGAATTTAAACTTAAAACACAATACAGTTAAAACCGCTGATTGTCATTTGGGGAATTTCAAATCTCTTGCATATTACAATATTGTTAAATTTGGATTTCTAAAAAAAATATCTGTTCAACAATGGTTCAATTCAGTACCAGTATTGTAATAATAAGATAAATTGAACATTTTCAAAACATTCATTATCCTCTACAGACGATATACTCATATAAACACAATACTACAAGGGAAAAAATATATTGCTTATAAACAAAATATATAAAAAAATAGACCAGTGGCAAAAAGCCCTGGACTAGTAGTCATTTGTGTGTGACAAAAAGAGGATCCAAGTACAAATGGGTAGTGCACATACTGTAAAAATGTTGTGGTCAGAAACATGTGACACATACATGTATATGTAACATAACAACCTATTCACATTAAATTACTGTATAAGATTTTTAAAATGAAATTGGGTTTAATGTCTTACCGTTCTGCTCCGACTGGGCTAATGACGGAAATTTTGCCTTGACACCCACACCACAGTTTACTCTTATATCAAATTCCAACTGCCAAGGGATCTTCTATGTGCACGCCAATGTGTACACAGGACCTCGGGTTTTTCGTTCCATCCAAACAACTAGACAGCTGTCCTTGTCAGGCCCTCCATCCTACATTACTCACAAGGAAAATAACAGACTTAAAGTGTTGTTAAACCCTTTCTGTTTTATTAGTTTCTATAGACATCCTTGTGTTACCTTTAACCTGTAATAAATCGGACACATTTTTTTGTCCTGTTTTCAATAAATCTTCAACATCCAATCATCAGTGATTTGTAGGTCATTAATACATGGAATGCTCAGACAACTGTGCTTCATTGCCTGCCAACCTTTCTTGTTCTTTTCAGTGATTCCCGAGATAAAATGGATGGACATAGATTTCGTGTATTTGCTTTAAAATATAACCCTAATCATCCTAATATATTTATATCTGGTGGCTGGGATGATACGGTACAGGTTAGTACAATATATTTATATCTGGTGGCTGGGATGATACAATACAGGTTAGTATAATATATTTGATTGCTTTAATGGATGGGATGATATGGTTAGTACAATAAATGTTTGCTTTAAAATATAACCCTCTGGGGTAAAATGATACAGTACAGGTTTATTACATCAGAGCTAATCGCCCCTCTCCCCTCCTCTCCTTTCTTTATGTGGACAACTTTATGTGATAAAGCTCACTGGACACCACATGGTTTGTTTTAGACTTTTTTTTAAAAAAAGATCAGGTACCTATTGATATTATTTGTAATTTGTGGATAATACTTCAGTTAAAACTCAAAAGCAGTATGATAAAAAAAAAAAACATCCATTTTTTAGTACAGCAGCGAGCCCTGTTCTGATTTTTAGTTATAAAATAATAACTAGTTTGTTACAGCTTAAATCTTAACAGAATAGCTACGTCATATAGTTTGTTACAGCTTAAATCTTAACAGAATAAGTACATGTAGTTAGTTACAGATTAAATCTTAACAGAACAACCAGTTAGTTATAGCTTAAATCTTAACTTAATAATTCCGATTGGTCGCTAAAACTTATGGTTTATTAAGCTTTTAACGTTATTTTATCTGGATTATCGCCCTTTTTATTGTGATTTTATATCACCTTCTAAGTTATGACGTCGTTCCCAGAATAACGTCACTCGGTCAGCAGACGGCTGTCTTTCGGGACAGTCTACATTTCCTATTCGCTTCTTTGTTTTCAGTTTTGTTTTTGTAACGGATGGAACATGTACCCTATATCATGTATTCAATATACCTCTATTCCATTGAATACTGAAACGTTTCTTGACTAATTTATATTAAGACCTTTGTACATTTTACCGATGTGGTTACTTGTATAGTTGAATTTTACTACATATGCTTACATTCGTATTTCTTGTGGCATATAGCAGATCATGACTCATGCTGGCATTACACAATGGTTTCTTTGGGTTGCATTCCTTATTTTTTTCAAATTTGAGTGAAGTCTGTGTCACTACAGACCCGGGACTGTACAGCGCAGTGGACGCTTACGGCTAGCCCCCGGATCCATTCACTTTTTTTTAATTGTTTGTCTATCTGTGTTTTTCTGAGTATGATGTCTTGTCCGTGTATTTGTTTTTGTGTTAATTTTGTGTGGTGCAGTCCCCCTGCACTTACTATTAATGAAAACTAAACTAAATAAAGGGGAAACTAACAATGTATTTATGTTTTATCTTTTAGTATTGGGATGATCGTCAAACACATGCTATTAGGTAAGTGTTATACCTCTCTCCAGGCAAAATTTCACACATAGCACACTGCATAACGTATCCCCATCTTTGTTAGTGTAGTTGAAATAGAAAAGTGAGAAGTTAAACAGAACACCATTTTATTTCATTTCTTGTTCTGCTTTATATCGGTACCTCAGTGTCATTCAATAACACTTGGTTACAGAGAATACCAATCAGACAGTTAAAGATACATTATGTAAGATTTAGATAAAGAGATAAATGTTCTTGCTATAATAGTTCAAAAATAGATAATTCAAAATTAATATATTGAAAATTTCAGTCAAATTACATTATTCTGTGCAAAGTTATTAGTGCTTGAAGTTTTGATAAAATGTAATGTAGATTGTTTATTATCATAGCAATGTTTTTTGACGATCAAGGCTAATCTCTATGTTGGCTGTGTTCTAATCTTCTTAAAATCGGAGCCAATCAAATGACCGTGAAAGTTGATTGGCTTGTCCATGTTATAGATGTCTAAATAATAGTTTATATACCATTTGAAGCCAGAAAAAAGACCTGCAGTAGGAAGATTTAGCTCTTATATAATGTATCTTTAAATTACTAAATGCTAGGAATAGGTCATGAGTCGTATACTTTGTTGTTGATCAAAAGTAATAAAAAAAAATACAAAAGATTGTAAGTCACAGGAAAGTAATTTCACTGTCTTAAAAAAAATATTGATTGATTTTAATCAGAGTAAAAGCTTTAGTGATTAAATTTAACCCATAGTGATTCCCATCATTAATATTCCATCATGTTGCTGAATCTGTCTATAAGATCTATGTTTAGTCATGCAATGTGCATAATTAATTACGAATAGTAACAGTGCAATTAGTTCAAAAATTCATACATAAAGTAATCAACTCTCTGGCAATAATTCCAGTTATTGTAGCTAATTGTGCTTCAGTTAAAACCACTGATGGATATTTGAGGGATATTTAATCCCCTGCAAACTACAATATTGTTCAAGTTGAATCACTAAAAAGAATATCAGTCTAAAAATTGGTTCAGGTTCTTCATTCTTTACAGTTTCATTAAAATGCTATTTAAAAGTCAAATTTATTTATTAAAAGCATAATCACTCATGATCAGTGTATAACACATATTATATTGTAAACAAAAAAATTAAAGATAGGTGCGGGGATGTCCTAAAGCTGAAATTGCAACTGCAATTTTAACAGAACATGAATTTTATGGGAATCAATTACTGGTTTTTTTATGACATTTGGACAAGTATCCTCTTATTGTTAAATGCCACATTTTGTAATTTTGATTCTATAAATCATTTGTGTTTCAGGAGATTAAATGGACCTCATATTTGTGGCGATGCTTTAGATATAGATCCTATACATAATCATATATTAACTGGTTCCTGGAGGAAACACAGAGTTCTACAGGTTAAATTTTACTGCCTTCTTTTATTGTCTAATTTAAAGCTAGGGAAGTCAAATTAAACCATATGTTAGTCCCGAAATGACCTAGTTTATGTAGAGTGAACGTTAAACCCCATTTCTCTCTCTCTCATTATTTCTTTAGACTAGCCTCAAGTGTATGGAAAAACTAGTTATTTCATGATACTGTTTAAATTTGATACTGTCATTTTGTCATAGACTGGACCATGAGAACAGAAATCATATCTCTGGGAGAAGGAGTGATTTCTCGAACATGTTACTTTTCGATGTGACTTGCCAATTCAAGCCACTTCAAAGAGAATATTTTCCTTGCGACATCTTGCAATCGCTACAAATGCCTGTCATCTGTCAGTAAAACAGAATCAACCACTTGGACGGTCCTTAGTTGTAAATTGATAACTTAAAAGCAACAAGAAGTATTAATAATATATGTAAGAGTTGTATACAGTCCTAGAGTTCTTGTTTACCATTCAACAGGGGTATATATTATTCTACAATGTACCTTTTTTTCTTCAATATGACTTCTGTTTTTCCCCCACATCCCTGCACTTTTCTTAGTAGAAAAATATCCTTCCTCATTCACAGCCGACACTACCTGCTCTCCCGACCCCAAATCCAAGTGAGGAATATAGTATTTGGTGTAATAGTGAAAGGATTAAGAAAGAAACAATTTCAAAAAGTCAAAGGGAAAAAAATTTCATTTACCTTTTCTTCCTCACTCTGTACCTTTTTTACCTCAATAGTTATTGGTGCAATGGAATTATATATACCCCTGCCATACGAGAGAGAGAGAGAGACACACACACACATCCTGCTCTTTAACTTTAAGATACATTATGGGAGATTAGATAAAGAGCTCGCAGTTCTCACTATAATAGTTAAAAACTAGATAATGTAAAGGGAATTTGCTGAAAATTTCAGTCAAATTGATCCACTCTGAACCAAGAATTTAGCGATTGAATTTTCGGCCTAGTCTCGGTCATCAGTATTAAAGTCTTCACAATAAAAAACATAGTCTCGATTATCCATTTCATGATTAAATCATGAATGGAAGTCGAACAGCAAATCGGATCCTAATAAGGTAAATATCGCAGGCTAGCGTTGACATCAAGAGTTGATTATGATCTGGATAAATTAATTAATGTCTAATTAATTTGTTTCCTTTTAATCGTTTTATGTTATATGATTATAGATCTGGGATTTTGCTATGGGTGTAAAGATTAAAGATGTACCTCAGGATACTCTCAACGCAAGTCAAGTAAGTTAATTCTAAACCATACCTGTTCAAAATATAAATTCAAACTAACTTGTAAAACAACATCTATGACTGCAACATTAAAATATATTAAATTTAATTGACTTGATCAGTTATTTTGATTGGTAGTGGGGCAATCTTTGCACAATTAAATTTATTGCCCCCCCCCCCCCCCCCGCCTTTCAAAGAAAAGAGGAACTATTAAAATGGATCTGTCCGTCACATTTTTTTGGACACAATAACTCAGCTTCTAATTGAACTAGAATGTTCGAACTTGGTGCAGGTGATTATTAGGTGAATGCCTTGATGGAGTTCGAAGATGAGCATTTTCTGCTTAGGGTAAGCAGAGGTAACTAATTTGATTGGTTGATGCTTTAAAGGACTCAGTTTAGACAGCTTTGTGTACAGGTGGGTGGCTGATTGATCTGAATATCATTTGTAATCAGTGTGTTCCCGAGTTCAATTCTTCAGTTACAGGTATATATGGCAAGCAGTAGGATTGTATGTCTAAGCATTTTGGATTTTCTCCACTTTCCACCAACTTCTAAACAGTCCCAAAATAAGTTAAATGTGTTGAGTATATGTTTATAAACTTCATTTTGTCTCTATTTTGTAGTTATATTGTGCCCAATGGTTAGGTAAAGATAGTATAATATGTGGTGGAACAGATCATAATATGGCTAGAGTTATAGATAGAGGAACACTTAATGTAAGTTATTTTTAAACTATTCATTATTTATATGCTTGTCATAACCTGAGATGTTGCCAGATACTAATTCTGAGCGGGTTCTTTTAAAACTTTAGTGCTTCAGTCCATGTGGTTGTCATCTATCACAATAATAGCAGAGTTACTCCCCTTTGAGTTATTGGAAAGAACAGAGATTTCTGTCCGTTAACAAACATTAAGTTCTACTGTAAAGAAATTCATTTATAATGATGTTGTAAAATAGATATTAGGATGTGGATGCCAATTGCTTCTTAAAATTGTAGCAATTACCAAGGGCTGTCCTCTTACTTCAGCTAAAGTACTTTATTGAAATATTAAGTCAAATTTAGAATCAGAATGAAAACAAATATCTTCTAGATAACTACTGAAAGTCAAATGTCGTATAGATAAATACTGAATGTCATATCTTCTAGATAATTACTGAATACTAGATAATTACTTAATTTCATATCTTCTAGATACTTACTGAATATTTTATCTTCTAGATACTTACTGAATGTTATATCTTATAGATAACTATTGAATGTCAGATATCTTAAAGAAAGCAACTGAATGTCAAATATATTCTAGCTGAAAGTCAAATATCTTATAGATAATTACTGAATACTAGATAATTACTGAATGTCAAATATATTCTAGATAAATACTGAATGTTATATCTTATAGATAACAACCGAATATTAAATATTTGAATTCTAATATACTGATATTTATGAACTAACCAAACATTTTAAAGCCTCAACAGGCCAGAATAAATGAGACCGTCTTATTTTTTTTATTTCAGACTACAGGGCAGCTTGTTGATTTACCACAGGGAGTTTATTGTATAGATAATGACCGAAATGTTCCCAACCCTAAAATAGCCATAGGTACTAATCGACTGATCTTCCTTGTAAAAAGTGAAAAGAAAGCTCCTTCTTAGAACAACATAGTCAGTATTGTATTATATTCAACTATTGTAACCAGAGAAATAGGTCATTAGGTTAATATTCTCTACTGTAAAATTAGACATTTGTTGCTTTCTTTTGTAAAGCAGGCCATTTTGGGACAAAGACTTAAATCTGAGAAAATTACACAATTATAAACTACTTCATTTTCCTTGCTTTCGAATATTACATTCAGATGGGGACTTATATTTCACATATTTCTTAATATATAATAGACTATGTTTTTTACGGAAGGAAGGACATTGTTTTCTTTTCATTTTTACACTTGAGCCAAACACTTTTGCCACTGAGAATAACCATGTCAAAACTAAATGTCAAACATTGTAAAATGCTATGGGTTTTTTTGTGAAAACAATTTGAAAAGGTTTTTAAATATGAAAATAGTGTAATCAAAAGAATTCACACAACTTATACTGTTATAGAAAAGGTGAAATTATTTTGAAATCAAATAGTAAGGTAATTTGTAGTTTTTACACCAATTACCTGAATATAAAATTGCAAATAGCCTATTTTTAAAACATACTTGAACCTGGATGTGAGTTTACCACAGTTCACATAATCTTCATTGAAACATTAAATTTTGTGGCTCACTAAGGGGGTGCTTGATTGTCGTCCAGAATTGCAATCTAGTGACACAGAATTGAGTCCAGTCCCCAAAACTGAGTTAGTTTGAGCAGAATCGTGACATAATGAAGTGTTACAGCAATGGTGATTATTCAGTTTCTGCATGCCTTGTCACCAGATATTCTCATTTTTACTTGATTGACACCTGTTGAGGGATAGGGGGAATTCAATTCTGGCACATTCAATCCAGTATACCCTAAAACACCGACATTTATAATTTGAAGCAATGCTAACTTCAGTTGTTGAGAACCTGAATTGTGTATCGGTCATATTATATTTGTAGATAATCTCTCAATTTAGAAATCAGAATTCTATTAGAAAAGTATATTTCAATGTATTATGCATTTATTGTAAAAGAGCAAACTGCTGATGTTAACATGATAAGTTCCAGATGATATATAAATTTGAATTACTGTAAATTTAATATTGTTGAGCATTTAAAATTTAAAGAATTTGCGTATGCAGTGTTGTATGGAGACTGCCTATAATAAGAGTTGTTATAGAATTGTTAAATTAATGTTATTTTTGTTAACATTCCGTCCTATATTATTTATTATATTGCTTTACTTATAGCATTATTTTTACTTTATAAATAAAAATTTAACAAACAATAATTGAATTGTGTATACTGTATGATAACAAGTAGAGATGTGTGCTGCAGTATTATATATAACATTTCCCTTTACTCTGAATGGAGACATGGTGGCTCAATGGCTTGTTAACCAGGGGGTGCCAGGTTTGAGTCTTGTTATTCAGATGATATAAAAATTGAGGTCCCATATACAAGTTGGCGTGCACATAAAAGAACCCTTTGCGGTTGGATTTTGAATAAGATTAAGCTATAGCACAGCTATCCAAGCGAAATTTCCCTCAAAACACTGCATGGCGCCATAGATACTGATGGCACATTAACCAGGATGATGCAGAAAAGTAGAACCATGAACCCCATTTCATTTGATACTCTCAACTAAAAGCATTTTGTGATAAACTCTACTATGAAAAGGTTTTTAGTTAAAAAAAAACAAAAAAACCCCCATAAATCCAATTTCTCAAAGCAAGAAACTATGTTGAAACACTAAACTTTTTTTTAATTTAATAAGTTATTTTTGGCAGTATTAACCTTTGCCCCCAAGAATTTGTTATAGGGTCTACTTTAATAGATGTAAGAACTTGAATGACAAATGTCTACCTTGTTAAATTTCATTGCATTTCAACACTTTGAATCTGTAAAGGGAATGAAATGATTTATCTCCCTAAGATCTCAGTCCCTTTTGATATTGGCATGTATTGTATCATATCGGACCGTAGCTTCATGGATTATGGCACCAGATTGTACAAAAATATGTTTTTAGCTTGTGATCCCTCTAGAGATCATAATTTTTATCCGATTTAAAAAAACGTTTGAATATATCACCGTTAAACCCTAATGACAGTCAAGTTCAAATTTCGTGAAAATGAAACCTAAACTGCCTGACAAAAAGGCCACTCCCTGTTCGCAAATAGTGTAAAAGTATGTAATACCAAGATTGTGGACCTTCTGGAGGTCGCAATTTTAGCTTGTTTACTTTTTAGCTTGTTCTCTGACCATCTCTTGCAAAATGTGAGCATATCTTGCATGACAACCACTTGTTAAATCTAAAGCACAAGGAAAACTTTTCCTGTCATTGCTCAAAGTGCTTCACCCTGTAATCTATGCCCTACAAAACACAAGAAATTTTCTTGACACATGATGTCACATGATTATCACAATTTTATTAAATAATATAATGAACAAATGAAAATGTAAATGAAATATTAAAACAATAAATAAAATAAATTATCAATAAATTTACCGGTCCAGTTGATGAAAAACAAAATTTTAAACTGTTTTCATAATTAAATGCAATATTTCATTAACACATGATTTCACTATAAAAACACTTAATTGTGCTGAATATAGCATACAAAAATACATTTGCTAACATTGTTCACAATGGCCCATGCATTGTAGGATTTAAATATCTTAAAACCCCAACAATTACCCTTTAATATTTTAACAGTGAAGATATACATGTAATGTAAAGTTGATATCGTTGACTTATGAATAAATAACTTTTAGTAGTGACAATATTTGTCACAAATGGATCAAAGTCCTTGTTTAATATATATAATGTTTATTAGTTCAAATTGTTAGCAATCAGGCAGTAGTCAGTAAGTAGGTGTTATGTCTGTAAGGTGTTAAAACCGTGACTATGGATTGATATACACCACTATTGGTTAGGTTTGTGTATTCAATAGTGATGGGTATTAAAATACATGTAGTCACACTTTTACACTAGAAATTGCATCATTTACACCTTGTTACACACTGTCTAATTTCTGAACACTTTCTTCTATGCATACTAAACATCAATTAAAAGTAATAATCTCTAAAATGCCCAGCTTCATAAGTCAATGGTATCAGATTAACAATGATGTAATGTCCTGATTAGTGTTCAGCATTATTCTGCTTTGTTCTCTGATTTATATTTTAAAATGGTATCAATGTAGTCTAATGCTAATCTGTCAGACCAAGATGTTAAACTCCAACCTTCTAAAAATCCACAGTGACCTCCCTTGTCTGTAGTTACCAACATAAAAGTTTCATTTTCCGGTAGTTTATCAAATGGAATATTTTCTTTAACACAGACTGGATCATCTAGACTACTTATAAGTAACACAGGAACAGTAATCTTCCCAGCGTCTCTCATAGGATTATTTTCTTTCCAGTATTGTAAAGCAGAACTCTGACCTCCAAATTTACTATACACATGGTAATCATATTCAGAGAAAGACCATGAACTTAAAGCAGATGAGTAATTAACAATATGTCCTAGTTTATCTTGGTGCTGTTTCAGTATTTTCTTCAAATTGAACAACAAAATAAATTCATATAATCTGGGCAACTGGTATCCAAATAAACTAACCATATCGTAACCAGGGGATATAGCTACACCAGTTTCCACAATGGCCGAACTAGAATACTCTCCAAGATATGATGACATTAATCCTGATCCTGCACTTGATCCAATAATGGCTAAACGTGCCTGGGGGAATTCCTTGTGGATATGTTCTATTGCTTGTCGTAAATCCAATGTTTCACCAAATCCTTGTAATTTTGGAACTTTTAATTCGGTATTACCGTGTCCTCTCTTATTGAAAACGACAGATCGATATCCCCGAAGATGTGCCTGGTGACAGAATCGACTACAACTATCTAAATCTCCTGTTAAAGTTGGAAGAACAATTATTATCGGAGCGTCTTCAGATAAATTAGGTGTTTCTTCAATCCAGTCAAGAGCAATGTGGCCACCATCGGTTAAATCTATATATTCTCGTCGTGAGGTCAGCTTGACGGGAGAAAGATACGAAGCCAGTATACTTTGTATATGACCATTTGAGAACAAAAACGTTGGCTTACATTGTGTAGATAGAGACTTGCAATTTTCATATACATAACTATTCAGCTGATTCGGGTTATAAAAAAATCCTGCTGTGTATAATTTCTGAGAATTGCGACGTCGTCGACAGTACCACAAAATCATGGTACTAAGGACAATACTACCGGATAAAATATAAACTGGATTGAAAATGTCTGGAAAATCCATCATTATTCTGCTACTAGAAGACTTCATTTACTGAAAAACGAAAAACAAATTATATATAAACTTGAACATTACCTCAATTTATTTTAATTATTTGAACAGGGCTGTTCATTCAGCTTTTTGAGCTATAAGTATCCTTTTCAGTTAAATAAAAGTTACCAGAAATTATCATCAACTTGTGGTTATAATAAGTTATATATAGGAATATAGGGGTCTGATTCTGGTCACAAACGTACTGTCCACAAGAAAAGAAGAGAAGGTAGACAATAATGTACCAGAGTAAAAATTGGTCTTTCTAGAGATGACCTAGTTTGTGTTGAGTGGACGTTAAACCCCATTTCTCTCTCTGAGTCTCTCTCTCTGTGTCCATTTCTAGTTGCCAAAGAGATTTAGTTCCTTTAAAGAAATGAAACGAATGTAATTCAATCATACCTAAATGGTAATGCAATTGCAAACCTACAGTATATATCTCCCACCTAATTCATAACCCTGTGTCGTTTAATCAACCTGCAGTCATCTAAATTTATATGTAACCGGCGTTATCCTTTGTAACCTCTTCTAACATTATCCAACCATCGGTGCATAGTCCATTCTGACCGGTTGGATGAGTAGTCAAGGACACCAAGACGTCAGATACTTTGTTAGTCTCACAGTTTGTATGTTACCAATAAAGTCTTGATGACCTGGACTATAAAAGGGTTCAACGTACATTGGGTCAACAACTTGTACTTTGCAGATGGTTTTATTAGGTATCAAAGTCCTTCTGTGTCATGAGAGGCATTTATTTAGTAAGGGAATAGGCTACCCTTCGAAACGTCGCCAAAATGAATTAGTTCTTCCATTTTTGTGTTATAGTTTATTATCATTCAAAGTCAAATTTAAATCCTTTTTTCTCCATAATATTTTATTTTTGGGAGTAAAAACCGCCCTGCCTTCTATCAGGCCCGTAACTATAGGCGGGGGGGGGGCGCAGGGGGGGGGGCAAAGCCCCCTCTGCAAAAAGTCCCTGTACAGTCTATATAGTCTGGAGCCGCTCTGCTTTGTGCGACAGTTTTAGGGCATTATTTTGTTTCATAAATTTTTCGGGAATAGAAATTTCGTTAAATTTATTGGGCATCGATCATTATTTGTTTCATATAGTGTCTAGCGCCAGCTAGGCTAGAGTGGGCATATAATTTGTTCCATTAAAATTTTGGGAAAGAAATTTCTAGTGTCCGATTGATTGGAGTTATTTTGTAACGATCGACACCTGAGAATCGATTGATTAGTACCCCTAAACAAAAGCGTTAACGTTTCTGATCCTCCCTTTGAGAGATCTGCCCACCAAGCTCAACGCCTTATTTTCGTCATATTCCAGTTGTCAAAAGACCTAGGCGTACGAGCCCAATGAATTTTAAGAAGGTGTGTGTTGGGGGGGGGGGGGTAGAAATGAGATTCCCTAAAAAAAAAAATCCATTTAGTTATCAGTGTCGGTGGTGCCGGTTGCCAGCGATATGTCAAACCGCGAAGCGTTCAGCCATCGGAATTCAGGCAGCTTTTGGGTCACCTAGAAAGAGAAATATTCTTTTTGCTTCATCCGTCTGCCCCAAAGTCCTTTTTTCCGAAAGTTAGAGGTCAACAGCCCCCCCTCCCCCAACGCGAAAGATGGCCATTTTAACCTGACAATATACGATATTTTTTACGCGACATTACATTTTTAATCAGTGTACATAACCATACTGTATATTGGGAGGAAGATGGACATTTTAAACCGACAGTGCGTCATTTTTACGCCACATTGCGACATTTTTAATGAAGTGCTGTCGGGTGAAAATGTATTGTCCGATTAAAATGTGGTGTCGGGTTGTCGCCTTGTGAAGGGCGATACCACGACATCACGACATCCTAATCAGCCAGCATACCTCAGGCCCGTAACTAAGAGGTGCCCCCCCCCCCCGCCCCGTTAAAAAATTGTCGAACATAAAAACAATAGATATACATTGTCCGTCAATTTTACAGCACCCCTGAGAACACCCCCCCCCCCCCTGTTGCTCTGAGCCATACCTGCTAGGGTTTTTTATACCCATGTTTATAGAATTTTCTGTAGCGGCGGACTAGTGCACCCGTGGACTAATGAACCCGTGGATTAGTGCACCCGCGAACTAGTACACCCCTCTCAAGCAAAACACTCCCACGGTCGGCTTGACTTGTCAGGCTTTAATAATTTGTTTTATAGAGGTACATTTTACATATGGATCCCGTTGTATGATATTTGTAGCGGTATATAGACATAACACAATTAAAGACTTATAGATTTCTGGGCAAAGAAAACCTGGCAGTGATTGCCATAAATTCTTGAAGTGTTCTGAAGTGGACTAAGGTAAGGAAATAAATCTTCTATTTTACTGGACCCCGAAACAGTTCTGCACGATTTAATCGCCCCTGGTCTCACTACACTGATCCCGAGGCACATTAAGCTGTCTCATGTATCTCGGATAATACGTCACAGCGATTATTTTTGAGACTAATACGAGAAAGACCGGTGTCGATAGTTTATTATTACTACTTCAATACAGGTAAGACTTTTCTCAGACGCAGATCGATCGACAGGTGAGCTTTGTTGTCACTCGTGGTGTGTAGACGTCCAATGAAAAGTGGGCCATCATCATGTAGCATACAAGTATGTGTCCTTTATCTAGTTTATCATGTCAAAATAAGTGATATATAGACACGTATAAGGTCATGGGCGGGTCTATGAATTCTCCTACAGGTCTGTGATGGGTGAATGCGAACTGTACAAGATCACACGGTCTCGAAGTCGAGTCAAGTTTTGTTTTATTGAAACCAAACGGGTTAGATCTATTTAATAAGAACAACTTCCAAGTTTGGTCAAAGGTCACGAGATGTAAACAGGGCTAGCGCTAATCCTAACGTTAACCCTAACCCTGGGCGTAACCCTAATGTTTACCCTAACCCCAATCTACAATTCGCCAACAAACACGTGCCCAAACCTTATTTAAATCTCAGCTCCTTGACGAAAATTGAGCTGGCCTTAACAAAAAGATTTATCCAACGAAACGGGGCTGTATATATACTGCCGCCTCGGTTCAGTCCAAACCGGGTTAGTGAAGACATGCTGTATTGCTGTATGCTTGGAGAGAAATTTTGCACAGACAACGGCCTATATTCGTTAGATTCCAACTTTTAGGGTTTATTTTACGTGCATGGCAACGTACATTTATACATCCGAACAACTAGAAACTCTCCTGCATGTCTTCTGCTCTGCGGTACACCCACGGGATCGAAACTGGGAGCCACTGTGGCTCCGTTTGTTTTGTTTGTTTGTTTTGTTTGTTTGTTGTTTTTTTCCCCATTGAACACGTTATAAATAAAAGATAACATCACAATGCACAATGATATTTAGGCAGTTTTTAATTTTTTTTAACTATTGATAAAATTGTAAAACACTATTATAAATATCCAGTTTCACTGTAATGTAGGACAGAGAGCCTGGCAAGGAACAGCATCTAGTCGTTGGGATGGGGAGAAAACCCTAGGTCACATTGGCGTGTTCTTAAAATAACCTTACCCATGACAACTGGAATTCTAAATCATATTCATTATCCTGAATGGAGCAGAAGAGTAAGACGCCCACATACGCGTATTACGTCTTGCTCGCGCCTGGCTCAAAATCAAGCTCAACTCCAGGTTACACTTTCATATTATGTAGCTTAATTTTGGACTGCCTTTGTTTACAAATATACCATTTTATAGTCAACTAGTTACAATCCATTATATACTCTTCAAAAAAAAGTAGGGGATATTGAAATGCAAATATGATAAATAGTCATGGACACTTGACATGCTATGAGAGTATGTTCAGAGATGAAGAACTTATCGTCCTAAAAGAACTACTGAGCTGCACATGCGACACGCAATAGCGCCATACACGTGGGAGGGGTTGATTGTCAAATTTGACACCTCAAGGAAGGGTTGATGAAAACTGCCGCGTGCTGGTTTATCCTATCCATGTTTGCTTTCCTAACGGTTCTTGCATAAGATTTACTGTTTAGCGTATCTTTGCTTTAGTGTGTTACGTTTAATTTGCAATGAAACGTCTTCAACATGATGAACGTCTACGTGCTACTGGCATGCTTCAAATGGGTTCTACACAACGAGCAGTAGCCAACATGCTTAATGTGCCACAGGCTGTGATCAGCAGACTGTGGAACCGGTACCAACAAACACACAATGTTAGTTTAAACAATATTTTATTCATTTGAAAAGGCATTTCCGCAGTTTTGTATTGTTTCTGAATAACCCCTACTTTTTTTTAAGAGTATAATTTAAGCAGAGCCAATTGCATCTAAATAAACAAAAAAATCAACAATATCTGTTCCACTGCAAACGTTTAACTGTCTCCTTTAAACGTTATAATCCAAGTAAGTCACACTGAATCATTATAGTTTCAACAGTGATCAAAGTTTATCTTCAGAAATTTAGATTTACGACCCAGTGTGTATTATAAACTCCACACCTTTAGAACTCAGGAATAACCTAGATTGAACGTAAAGAAGAGTTTGGTGTCTTTATAGTGTTTGAACAAATACATTTTAAGAAGAAATGGCTAAAAGTTTGATAAACTGTGAAGATTTGTATAAGGAGATAAATGCTGGTTTACCTAAAGACACAGTGATAGTGGATGTCTCATGGTCCAGTAAAAAGAATTGCTATGATGACTACTTGAAGTAAGTTAAAGGCCCAATATGCTCGGCGAAGGGTAAATATAGAGCTTTAAGTTATACGGTCATTTAAATGGGGGGGGGGGGAGTCGCTACCTCAGTATCATCCACAGTCTTCGACATTGCTATCACGACTTATTCAAACTTATTGGTCAATTAAAATCAACATTTATGCTGTTGTCTTACCGTGAAGAGATGGGCTTCTGATATTCAATATTTAAGACAAAACGAAATATTTAAATTGGCACACGAATCGCGTGTCAGAATGCTTTCGGGTCCCATTTGTAATGAAGCGACTCGATGAAGGGGCTAAACATATACAAGAGTATACTACCTGTGTAGACTGGAATAACCAGACACCAAAGTCGACTGCCTTTCAATTTGGACTCTTAGCGTATTTCGCCGAACATTACAGTAAAATTAGAAACGACTGAATGTAAATCAGTTTACAGACATTCAGATTACATTATTAAATGCGTTGCGACCCATTTGTGTCTATTTCTAGTTGCCAAAAAATAGAGATTTAGCTCCTTTAGTGTTTACATTGCTTTCTATTGATTTCAATTTATGTATCTTATAGACACATAAAACAATGCCAATTGTGTTATCATTTTGATGATTGGAGGTACGTGACTTAAAAAAAAACCACCATAAAATAGCATATGAAGAACGAAACAGTATGCATTTTTCAGGAAGACAAAAGCCCAAACTAGTTCTTTTTTGACTGCTGCCATTTCCGAAACTTCGTTTTGATTTTTCCAAAGAGCACTCGGGATGATGGATGCGAATGACATTCTTTCCGAGAATGACATTTTTTATCGTAAGATATTAGTGTTTTGGTAACTTAGTTTAAAAAATTTAAATTTATTTATTAGGTGTCACATTCCCGGAGCAGTTTTTGTTAATATCCTGGAGGAATCCGAAAATACAGATCTATATCCAAGAAACATTCCAAGATCTGACGTTTTTGAGAGAAATGTTCGACAAGCAGGAATAAATGACAACTCCCGGGTCATTCTTTATAGTGAATCTGATAATTATGGCTTCTTTACTTCTTGTAGAGCTTGGTGGACATTCATGGTACTATATTCTTTCTTTGAATTGTATATAGAAATAACATTGGCTTGGCAATTTGATGAATCAATTCAAGACTTCACATTCCTCATGTTATGCTAGAGCATGCATATTTAACGATGACTTTTATCAAAACTATTTCACTATAGTTTAACATAGAAACTTGATATTAACATTTTAATTATATATTAAAGGTTTATGGTCATTCCAATGTTTCTGTTCTAAATGGCGGGCTTCCGAAATGGAAATCTCTTGGTTATCCTGTTAGCAGTGATGTTGTTGAAATATCGGTATGTAGACTTTTCTCACTAACACAAAACTTATTATTAGACAAAACCCGATAACTGCTATTTTATACTCTGTGGAATCCGGAGAAGGCGAATTTCAATTGACGTACAATGGCGTCGCCGCAAACTTCTATTCAGACTATTAGTTGGCTTTTCTGGTTCAAACATTTATTTTGTCTTCAGAAGTGGGTCGAAAACTACTACATACCTGTATTTATTCCAGCCTGGTTCGTTCACTGCTAAATGGACACCCACACACTACAAAAAATTTGAAGAAGTGGTAAAGAATGTAGAACAAGGAGAGTTTCAAGTTTGTGATACAAGGCCTTCAGGAGCATATCTCGGACAAGGTTTGTTGTGTCTCTAACGATAAAGCATCTCGGGACAACAATCCTCTCTTCCCAACACATTGAGAACCTACTTAAATGAAGGTTTAAGATACATCATTTATATTTAAAGTCTAGTCGATGAAATTTCAGAATTATACATCGTGCTATGGGGGAAAGCGGCACAACGGCTCTTATTTCCAATTCAAACTGTCACATTCCCTTTAACGCACAAGCTATAATGTGCACACAGGACCTTGGTTTTACGTCCCATCCGAAAGACTATACCTTATCCCTTGCTAGATCCTTCTTTCCGCCCCACTGACAAGGGTGGGGGGGGCACGCCGTAAAATCACGATGAACTTTCCCGCCCAACACCAGGATCGTATACGGGACCTCCAGGTTAGCGAGCCACCGCGCTCCCAAATTTCAATTAACATCTTCCCAGAGACAAAATAGGCAGTTCGCAAGTTTAACTTCAGTCTGAATTATTTATTAGTAATATAATAAAAAAAATTTGAGGCTATTTATTTTATTTTCAGATTCACCTGGTCATATTCCTGGTGCTTTTAATCTTAATTATGGTCAATTAATGGACACAGCCAATCAGACGTTATTGTCTCCAGATAAAATTAAAAAAGGTGAATTATAAAACAAGATATTTCCAATCCAATCTATTTTCAGCAACATTCTCCGGCGTATTTGGAATATGCGTTTTATGCTTGTCCTAATGTCGTATAGAGAGTATAAATAAATTTAGAATATTATTATTATTATTATTGTTCGATTTATATAGCGCTTCATTACACGTGACCCCCCCCACACTTTAACTTGCATGGATCGCCATATAGTCCCCATTTTCTTTACTTTATTCAATATATTATATTATAAGCATGATGGCGAATGTTAACATCATTATCCATTTTTGAATCAATTTATTTTTATGGATCGGCATGATCGACATCATCACTAATCTAGCTATTCATCTTGAAGCTTTCTCTAGATTATATTAAAATTATAGCGATCGTTCATTTCAGTTTTTGCTAACGCAGGAGTAGATTTGAGCCGACCATTGGTAACCCACTGTAATAGTGGAATGTCATCCTGCTCAGTTGCTTTTGCTGCTAGGCTGTGTGGGTCGGAAGACGTTTCTGTGTTCCATGTAAATATAACTTTAAATAGCTTTTTCATATGAGCGTAACCTATCTGGATGAAAATGCCCAAAAGATGTAAGAATTGCACACAATTACACAAATTTTGGGGGGAAAGAAAATGTCGCTTGTCTAATGTCTATGGTATGGATAACTCCTCTTTAGCGCAAAAGTTACGAGTGAACATTTTATACTCGCTATCCCCTTAAGTCACTTTTGATATGATATAGGATACTTTTATATCCCAAACTCTCCGTACTAAATTATTGATTGCGCCAACGACAATGCTATATAATTATGGTAAGATAAATGGATTTGTTTTGCTTTATTTAACATGTTCAGATACGACGGAAAACTGATTTCCCGTGTACACATTGGCGTGCACGTATAAGAACCCTTGACAGTTGGAATTCGAAATAAGAAAATGCCATAGTGATGATATCTGGTCAAAATTTTCCCCGTAGCACATTGCAAGGCGTATTTCCGTCTTCACTAGACCAGTCGGTACGAAAAAGTAGGGCGTTGATTGACCCCCATTTTATTATTTATTTCAGGGTGGATTTACAGAGTGGAAAGCCAAAGCTGGTCCTGAACTACTGACAAAGGAAACTGCATAAACAACTGACTATTATTGAAAATGGAATGGAGTCTATAATTATATACAAAAAAAAAAAAATAAATTAAGGTTCCTTCATTTAGATCGCTGTTACATACTGTATGGTCAAATGTCATATTTTCGATCCCAGGCTTGTGATAACCAGTATAGAGATGTCTGCCTAACATCGTATTTTTGTATGTTTTTTTCCCCCGCTGCCACAAGTAAATTAAAGAAATAAGATATATTGTCATATGTTAGTCCTAAAATAACATAGCTTGTGTTGAGTGGCCGAAGTCCTGTACCAGTTATTTGACCCCTGTGGTTATTGTACGTCCTACTTGCAGTGTTTCGCTCCGCTATAATGTGGTTTTTGGCATTTATTTTTCCCATTACATTTTCAATTTTTTAAGATTTCTTGGAAAAACTTGCGGAGATTCAGAACTATTATTGAATTGTGATTAAATAGAGACTGTCCGAACTACTTACCTTCTCGTTGTCGCATGCATCGTTGTCTGGCAACCTATTTCATATAATAGGAATTTGTGTCTTTGTGTCAGTCCATTAACCTGATTAATGGGGGTGGGGCTGCTTAAAAAGCACCACGGCCCCTTCTAGTTCTAACTAAATTCAGAGAACGTATTTAATTGGTTACCGGTTGGTTTCGTGAAACTAATACTTACTACCGCCCGGAGGCAAATGGCTAATCTATTAACAAAGTATTTTTGTCATGGTATTAAAATTCTAGCTTATGTCTGTGAAATATCAAATTTTCAACAGCTTAATCCACGCTTAAAGTTAGTTATTTAAAATTTAATTCAAAGAACAAAATAGTCTCCAGGCTTGGAATCGATCGGGTTTAAATGGGACACATCAAAAGATTGAGGCCAAGATTATAGGTAGGTGACGTTGGCTTTTGAATTATCCCGTTTATATCATGGCAGAGGATTCCGCATGTTGACAAATTTTATTTCATCATACCTTTATACAGGGGCGTAAATGTGGGGGGGGGGCGGTACACCCCCCAGGAGAAAAAAATAGTCGGTCGCAAAATCAGTGCAGTCGGTCGCAAAATAAGAGCAGTCGCAAAATCAGTGCAGTCGGTCGCAAAATAAAACAGTCGGTGTCAAAATAAGTGCTGACTGCACACGTCACGCTACTCACGCAAAACTTTAGTATAAAATAACCTTGTCAACTTAATGTGTTTCACTCTTATTCTGTTGTGAGTATGTAGGTCTAAGAACAAAATTTCCCCCAGGGAGAAAAATAGTCGGTCTCAAAATAAGTGCAGTTACTGCAGTCGGTCTCAAAATTATGCATCGCCGTCTTAATGAATTAATGAGGTAAACAAATAATGCCAGAATAGATCTCAAAGTCGGTCGCAAAATCAGTGCAGTCGGTCGTAAGATATGAGCAGTCGGTATCAAAATAAATGCTCACTGCACACGTCACTCTACTCACGCAAGACTTTAGTATAAAATAACCTTGTCGACTTATCATGTTTGAAAAAAATGTTTTTCAACCCATGGCAGAAAAATAGTCGGTCTCAAAAAAAAAAGTGCTCACCGCAGTCGGTCTCAGACTAAATGAATTAATGGGGTGTTTTCTGACCATCAGAATTCTGCAAAATCTCTCCACAAAGTCCAGGGCATTTCAGAGACCAAGTAAGCGCCCCATTGAGGTAATGTGCCCTCAGGCCCAGTCCCCAAAATTAAAAGCCCAGTTACATATCGGCGCTCAATTCCATTATGCCATCATTCTTCAACTCCTTCTCTGACTTTTACTATCTCATCACTATCATATTCACAGTTACAGTGAATCGCCCAGTTAGTAGTACCACTAGTGAGTGAGTCGTGGGTCAAAAGACTGTAGAATTATTAGTTCTACTCTCACAAAACAGGCGACATTGACAGATAGGCCTCAAGATTCTGTCCCATTTCTTATCCTCTCGTTAACGAGAATTTGGATCCATTTGCCATGACATTGACTAAAATTGTCAGGCCCAGTCCCAAAAATTAAAAGCTCGGTTACACATCTCAAATTTTTTCGCGCCTGCGGCGCTCGATTCCATTATAACATCATTCTTCCACTCCTCTGTTGTCTTATACTGTCTCAGCACTATCATATTCACGGTGATACTGAACTGCCTAGTTATGTTAGTAGTACCACTGGCACTGGTGTATGGGTCGTGGGGCGTCAGACTATACAAAAGTTCTGTCAACTCTTGCAAAACAGGCAGAATTGACAGGGCCAATCTCGAGATTTTGTCAAATTGACTCACATTTCTGGCCCCCTCGTCCACAAGAATTTCTCCCAGCAATGACCTCAAATGCCAAGATATTGACTCAATTTTTCAAAATTTTCTCAGGTTGCTCAGTGTTATAGGCACAATCATATATGACATAAACTTTATGTCAACTTAAATAAAACTGCTTTCCAGCGAGACAACGATCGGCAAACAACTATATAATTATACAATACCATCTATGTTCTACCGGGACGCTTAATGTTATAGCCAGTATTTTGCTGACATTCATTGTGGGGTGGGATTGTGGCTGAGGTGGCGCCCTAGATTTGCCCCCCCCCCACCCACCCCTATCTAGATCCGCTACTTCACATGGCCCCTACAAAACTCGCACCTGTGGTGCTCGGTTCCTGATTGCGTCACTCGTACTAGGGGTATGGGCATCAGTCGGTCGCATTTTCGCTAAACACCCCCCCCCCTCAAACAAAATCATTATGTACGCCCCTGCCTTTATAAATATTGATAGGAATTAATTATTTTAAGACTGATAATCCTTTCAGAGATTCAACTTTCTCAATATTGTAGTTTGCTCAATAGATCAAATGACATTCAGGCTTTAATTGACAAGACCTCTTTGATTCTGGGTGGGTTTTTTTTTTTGTTTTTTGGGTTGTTTTTTTTTAAAGAAACCTTCGGACATGCGTCTTTCCTCTCGTAAGGTGAACAGATAGAGAAATGGGGGTTTACAGTCCACTCGACACACACTAGGTCATATCAGGACTAGCATAATTATGGTTTGATTTTATTTCAAACCTTCGCCTGCGTGTAGGGATTTTTTTTTTTTTTTTGGCAGTGGGAGGACGGGCGATCTTACTCCTTGTCACGTACAAGCTGTAAAACGAAACCACGCCACTTTACTCAATATCAGACCAGAAAATATGATCTAACTCTAAGGGGTACCCATTAAGACCCCCACTCCATCATCATAAGCTGAACAACATATTATAAACGGAACGTCTAATTGAACTCATAGACCAGTGGGAATCTCGGGGTCCTCTTACGATAACATTTTAAAAGATCGCTGTGCGAAGGTTTATTTCTGGCACATATCCCAAACACTCCCAGGATAACAAGTGAATTTCTTTCTTTATTCTATTGGGGGTGGGGGTGGGGTGTCACTGGAATTTTAACAATTTCAAGCAGATCGGATAACTTGTGTAGCTAGAGCATTCATGGTATGGTAGAATACCAATTGACAATACAGGGGGAATAACTTTAACAGTAACTGTTGAAACCTGATACTAGTATAGTGGTCTTGGTTCTCTAACAAATACCCGGTACATAGAGATGAATTGATGGACCAATTGTTAATATATCCAGCTGTTCAGGCCCATAAAAGAAACGAATCATAGGTTTTAAGATGTTTATCCATTAATAAATGCAATCAACAATGTCTCTTGACATGCTAGGGTAAACTGAGACCAACCATAACTTAAAAATCACAGATTGTTTGGGGTTTTTTTTTTTTTTACAAATTGTTGACATGGCCATCCATCTTTTGATTTGAATATTTTTTTCTCATAATAAGTTTGATAAAATTTTTAAATAAATAATTTCATTACAACATATTTAGTTCACTTTCCATGGTTTATACAATTTTAAGATGTCTAGTTGATTGCTGGAGAAAAGTCATTTCATATATAAAACAGTTCAGCATTATTAAGACATGTTATAAGATTGATTTGTTTATTTTGTTACTTTTTTTGTCCTCTGATACATTAAAGGACTATTAAATTGTTCAGGAGCGCGGGCCTTGTAATTTTCATTAAAATCTAGACGGAAACTTAAGAAACGCAGGTTTACATCAGGATGGCATGTTAACATAACAAGAAATTGTTGCACCATATCTTGATAAGACTGAGACAATACAGTTAATTGAGCCCAAGTTGATGGAATAACCGTGTTGAGAAATTCTTCCTTTCTTTTCTGTTCTTCAACCACTTCAACTTCTGTAACAGCCCAATCTCCCTCCTCCGTATGTTTTTCTTTCATTTTTTCAAATTTATCACGGAATGCCACTTCTAGTTCAGCTGACTCGTAAAACTGATGCTGAGCAGTTTGAAACTGAATAATCAAATCAAAAATTGTTCGTAATTGAGTCAAAATGGCTCGTGATTTTTCATCTAACAAACATCGAGATATAACTGTATCTTGAAATACTTGATGGGCTGCAATGATGTGATCTAAATCTTCAGCCCCATGTACCTTAGTTAACAGCTCATCCCACGAACATTCTAAAACCTCAAAGTTTATGTAATATTGAACTTGCTGTATAAAATGCACCATCTCGGCACCTAGAATATGACATTGATGTAATATTTTATTTAATTCAGGAATTGATTTTAATGATTTAGCATATGAAATCTGATTTTTCCATATCATAGCCAATATATATTCCATGCGCTTTGCTCTCCATAAAAAGTTAAATACTCTCAAATACAATATCATACTCTCTGGAGTAAAAACTGTTTTGATTGGACCATCAACATGATAATCAAGGCTAAACACATCCCATCCAGTATCTCCTGGGGATACCTCAAGTAAACGAACATCCAGTCTCTTTAATGTGTCAGAATCATCATATTGGGCATTTGTGGCTCTAATGGCCATTTCTAATATTCCTGTCAAATTATGAAGATACAAATTACTAGCAGGTTTAGCAAGATCCTCTTCCAACAAGTCCATCAAATGTCGGATAAAATCCCCTTGTCCTAAGAGAAGATATCTTCTCATAGCTTTTAGATGGTCCAGAAATTTATATTTTGAATGGAAAACATCAAGAAGATTTCTGCTGGTTTCTTTATAAACTGTGTCAATCATTTGTTGAAAAGCACTATTAACGTCTTGGGTAAACATTGTCTCTGCTTGCGATATATCTAAATCCATCGCTGCCTCTCTGCCGGTCGTAGCTGTTCTGTCTTCACAGACTTGTCGCAAGAAGTTGATGGATTTCCCTGTTAAAAGAATACGTCGAGCTTGTTCAATGGATAAACAAGTTGGTATCATAGTTTTACGCAAACTATATTTATCATTCCACAACTTATCATTATTAACAGTTGGATCGGATGCAACAAAAAACTCATGGTAGGTATCTTCTAATTCCCCGTCATATATCCAGCGAACTAGAGTTGCATAAATGGGTTGGAAAACCATAGTTAATGTGTGCCTTATTAGTGACCTCACATAAGGATCTCCATGTTGCATGTAAGAATAAATAGCAGATGCTAAAGCACCACCTTTTTTTCCTTTACAAACATCAACTAAAGCCGCTAAAACCTTCAGTCTTACTAAAGGATCGAAAGTCCACACAGCTAAACGACGTAATGTTAGTCCACCATTTACATGCCCAATGCCTTGATCAAATTCATGCTGTACTTGTGCTTCCATAACAGTAATAAATCTGTAATATTCAGCTAATTCTTGATGTAAGGCAGCACAGAAACTTTGTCCCACTAAGCCAAAAGCCTTGTCAGAACTCCAAGATGTGATATAACTTTTAATTTTGTTATACAGCCAACCACATTCAGTTAGTTTGCTAATAAGCTGTCGTACTGCTTTGGGTATTCCCGCTTGGTATTCAATCCTGTAACCATCTTTAGCACTATTGAACTTGATCCATTGTCCTTCTATCCCTTGGAAAGCAAACATTAAATCTTTCAATAATTCATTTTCCGGAATTTCAAACGATGTATTCTCCTTATCACGAGAAGCCGGTGTTTTAGTTGACACAACAGTACCCAGTGTTCTGGGAACTACTGCCGATTCAAAGTTTTTATTTGTGATAGTTTGAGATTTTGTTCCAACAGTTTGTCTCTGGTTGATTTTGTCTTCATGTCTATTATTTTGAACAGATACAACAGCATTGCCTGGGATGAAGCTCTGTGCAACTGGTGTTGTACTATTGGTAAGGCCACTGTTTATACTGCTTATTCCACTACTACCACCACTTAGTATTGTGCTACCAGATAAAGTAAGATTATTTGCTCTAATAGTAGGGTGAAAGGGAGTGGACGTGGCATACGCTGGTAAACCTTTGTTAAATATGGAACTGTCGAATGAAGGGGCTGGTTGTCTTTTAATGCCAGTATCACTTAATGTCATTAATAAATGTAACACTGCCCATCTGTTATGTAAAACACCCTGAGCTTTAAGTTTTCTATGCAGCTCAGAAAATATAGCAGCATCCTTTTCTCTCCCTTTCCTAGCCAATTGTCTCTTTATTTTCTCACTGACTTGAAATTCATCAGTTTCGATTGCTGGGGCAAATTTACTGCTTATAATACGCAGAGACAGCTGATAATAAGGTAAAACGGCGTCATCTGGCAGTCCTGTTATTTTACAACAAAGCTTTTGAAGGATTGCTGACGGGGAGGTGACGGCATAATCTCCCTGTGATGCCATAACGCTCTTATTAAAACTGTTTCTAACTTATAACACCACGATTCCCATGTCAGTTGACATGTTTACCTCGGTTCCCGCGCTCGACCATACCGGTCAAAATGTTAGACAAGAATTTGATTGGATAAAACGGTATAGTTTATTACGAAACTTGCGCTAAGATTTTACTAATACTATAACTATATCATTTCATGTTGTGGAAACATTGTGTAACAGACATCAAATTTTTTTGCCCCATAATTATATAACTGGAATAAAGTTCTTGCGGGGATAATATGTTCTCGATTAACCAGATACGTAAGAAGGTAGCAACCACAGATGTGAGGAAACTGTTCCATTTGAAGTGTGACTGATCCTCGCGCATGCCCAGAATCGCTCCGCTCTGCTCATTTCGAACTCAGTACGAGTAACGTGGGTACAGGAGTTATGACGTAATAACAGGTGCCCGGTCATCTATTCTTCTATATATTTTATTTATGATTTTAATATACAATGTATCAATATCCACCTAGTGCAAGCGCAAAAACTCTGCCCCTGACCAAAATCCCGATGGATGGTGCAGAAAAATAGGACGTTATTCGTTAATCCAATTTCATTTTCAAAATCTACAAACAGAAAAATTGCAATTAGGCCTAATTCTTAATGAATTACGTTTCCATGGGTTACTAATCACTTGAACCCGGTTGTTTGGCTTTAAAAGATAGATAACCATCTAAAACAAAAGTTGTGCCCATTTAATCTTTACCGAGTTATTTTTGTCGGTTTTGATATTCCGTTATCCCGACTGTTTCATCCAGACGTTTCTTCGAAAAGACATGCGCACTCTTAAGTTAATTTGGTTCAGAGTAATGTCCCTTGAACTATCCAGAAAATGGTGCTCGATTTTTAAACCCCGAATTATTGTTCGCCAAACGTTGTAAAACCTAAACAATTACCTTTCTGTGGTTATCATTTTTATAGTTTTTTCATTTAAGAACAATTCCGCCAAATGTCGTCAGCGGCTGCAGCATTGTTGGACGAATTAATGGGCAGAGATCGTAATCTCCAGCCTAGTGACCAAAGAACTGAGACTCGGTGGGACGATAAGGACGTTTGCAAGTATTTTTTGTGTGGATTTTGTCCACACGAGTTGTTTGTTAATACTCGAGCTGACTTGGGTCCTTGTGACAAAATACACGATGAGTCACTACGGAAGGAATATGAAAAAAGTACTCGTTACCAGAAAATGACATATGAAGATGAATTTTTTAGATTTCTTACCAATTTAATAAATGATGTTGAGAAAAGAATTCGGAGGGGTCACCAACGTTTAGCATTAAATAATCAACAAGGAAGCCTGAATGGAAACATGCTAGGTGGAAAAGATGACCGAGTTCAGATGTTGACACAGAAAATCAATGAATTAGTTGAAAAGGCAGAACAACTGGGGTGTGAAGGTAATGTGGATGAGGCTCAAGGGGTGATGAAATTATGCGACCAGCTTAAGGAGGAAAGACGCCAAATAGAGGAAAATGATTCTGGTGATGGGCCACAGGTGAAGCAAATGGAAGTTTGTGAAGTGTGTGGTGCATTCTTGATTGTTGGGGATATGAAGCAGAGAATAGATGAACATCTATTGGGTAAACAGCACATGGGTTATGCACGAGCTAGAGCGACAGTCGAGAAAATGAAAGAAAAAATAAAAAAAGAGGCAGAGGAGAGAGAAGAAAGAGAAGCCAGACTTGTTAAAGAAAGAGAAGAACGAGAAAAGGAAAGGGAAAAGGAACGAGAAGAGAGAAATAAGCGTTTACGAGAAGAACGTGAAAAGTCTAAAAGTCACAGATCTAGAAGCAGAGAAAGAAGCACACATAAAAGAAGTTCACACAGTCGAGATCGTGACCGAGATCGTGATAGACATTCACATACATCCTCCAGAAGGTCTCGTAGCCGTGATCGCCATCGTTCTTCACGACGTTCACGAAGCAGAGATAAGAAATCAAGCACCCGCAGTGATAGTAGAAGTAAAAGATCGCCACATAAAGAGAAGGATAAAGACAGGCACAGGGATCGAAATGATGACAAGCGAAGAGATAGAGAAGACAAAGACAAGTAGGAGCTGACAAAAAAACACAATATGTACAGAAAGAAACCATTTCATCTTAAACAACACAATTACCCGTGCTAGAGTAGAAACACATCAACTCAACTAGAATAATTGATTGGTGTTCATCTCATTGAAAAAATGTACCAGTCACCGAAGACCACAAACAATGAGGTATACAAGTTCTCAAAAACAATTCTATAAGCCTAGACTAGTTGTCATATTTCGAACTTGTAAAATTACAAGATGTTCTTACCTGACGCTATGTAATATATATAGGACTTACTTCAATATTGAATGTTTCTTTGACAGACAATTATATGGGGAAAAGAACATTTAGTTTGAACCTTCTTTTAATTACTTAAACAGACAAAAGACTTGTTTAACGTTCAGCTATTTAATATTGGTTTTATTGAATTATTTTGAATGTATTGTTGAATGTTTTTTCTAGTTTTTCATCAAATTTAATTGCTTGACAAATACAGTAAAATCCCTATTAGACTTTGTTTTCTGTTTTTGATAGTGCTGTTTACTGTGTAAGCTAATACAATTTTCCTTCCAATTCATTATAGTTGTGTAACGTATACAAAAATGTTTGTCATCATTATATCAATTTAACATAGATACCATACATTAATTAATAAACATCTGGCTCCTACCTACAGTTTAATACTAATTACTGGTTTAGGCTGTTATTCATGGGGTTTGTATATACAAAGTAACAGTTGAACACATATTATGTCAGGCTAGGGTACATACATATTTTATTTACAAACTAGAATTCTTCATAAGAATGTTTGTATTAGAAAAATAAAATACCAATTTGTACAGTCCGGTGAATTGAAATGAACCAAAACAAAGATGCTGCATTACTTTATCCGTTAATTTATTATCATTTGTCATGTACAAACAGAAGATAGTTAATTAGCAATGCGTGCATGTTGTCAACAAACTGGATCAAAAAACATAACTCGTAGAATTTAGAAAGTGATAATCTGAAGTCCAAGCAATAAAACTGATTGCAGTCAGTATATTAATGACATGAGCAATAGTAAACATATATTTATTGTTGTAAACTATGGTAATTTCTAAAAAGTTCACTGCCAGGAAAAGTGTGCCCTAATTAACTCGAGTTGAACTTTTTAATAAATCCAATACATGTATGTCATTGTTCCATGTACACCTTGATGACACCAAATAAAAAGGTCATAATTTCTGTTCTGGAGACAACCTTTGATTATTCTCTTTTAGTCTAGAAATTCCAGTGATAAATACATGCATATTGAATAATTTGAATTAACATTAATCACAAGTACCTTCCCTTCAAATAAATTAAACATTGACATTGTAACATTTCTGTGAATTTTTAGTTGCATCTAGAGTTATTAAGCTTATAAACAACCATTTTGATAAACATAATGTAGGTATTCGATTGATGTGATTATTAGATTTAGGTTGATATATTATTATTCTTTCTTGAATGTTAATAAATGGAGCCAAGAATAATCATAGCGTGCTTCTTTTTTATCTCCGCCCATCTTTCTTCCACCTCATTAACCCAAGGTGCATCTCCTTCTTTCTTTATAGGTGTACTGTACATGTAAGTCAAAGTGCCGTCTTAAGGCTAACAACAGTCTTGTGAGCCAATGGGATAGTGAAGCCGAGTACAAGTATATTTACACATTGTGATTCAAAGGTATATATGAAAAAGAAAGAATGAATTTCTTTTAAAGAAAAACGACCTGTAAATTGGCCATGAACGGGCTTAAAAGAAGAAAATGTATTTAATGTGAAGGGTCGACCGATTTTAAATACATTTTCGATGAATCAGAAGAATTATTAAATGCGCATTTTTGAAGTGATAGATCCTACTTATAAAATGTTATCCATGAACTTCATATTATGTTGAAAGTTGTCACTAGTTTGGAATAAAAACTATACAATTTAGATGTAATCTACAGCACAGAAATGTCTTTGAATACAGCACAAACAATTTAAAATTGGCTGTGTTTAGAAATAAATTTGAAGGTTTCTCTGCTTCTTGTGCAAATGCCCAGCACTATCTTTTAATTTTTAAATATGTTGAACGGGAAAACATTTTATAAGGTGCATCTGTTTTCAAATTGATAATTATTTTTATTAAGAAATGAAGTTTATAGGCATCCAGTGTAGCTGATATAAGAAGAGTGGCGAAACACAGCGAAGAATAGTCAAGATTTTTGTGACAATACGAAGTAAATTTTTGTATTTTTCTCCATAGGTCCCAGTTGAATACCATGTAAATCATTCCAATATGATGTTAAATCATATTGGATCTATTGAGCATATTGTACATTGTTGTCCTCGTGAAAATTCCATTTTCTGGCAGGGTTGGTATTTGAACAAGAAAAAACAGTAGAAACCTGGTAAAAAAAATTGAATAACTTGGTACAAACTGTCAAAACTCTTGAGGGATGCATATCACTATTATATTATAAATCCACTTTTACATTCTGCTATTAAAAGTTGATCACACATCACATACTGGATAGAAGACAAAAATATGATATCACCACTAATCTTCTAACAAGAAACTTTAACAGTTATATTTTCTGTCAGCACAGGGCTTGGTTGGGTCTTAATAAACCCAATGTATCCTTTGTCCAGTTCTTAGATATTGGCTATAAATTTTAACCAATATCAAATTTTTTTGAGATCTGCTCATAGCTTTAAACACTCGTTGGCCTGACAGGGATGAGGTGGGACATAAAATAATATATAGGTCATTTTTTTAAATGATTTACATAAATTTACAAATTCAAATTTTTGAGGGTTCTTACCATTACATAAACTACAAACATTAATTTAAAAAAACTTTATATTCACGTTCAAGGAGAAGCTGAACTGAGCTGACTTTCTCTTATTTACTCTATTTGAAATAGTCATATAACTGGTCGGTACAAAAGGGTTAAAATTAAATGTAGAATTAAAACAAAGAGTTTAAGTTTCCTGTTAATGAATTTGTTTGACCTTGTAAGTTAATAAAGTATGACATTTCTAATGATAGATAAAATCAAATTATAGACTCAAATCACATGTACCAATTTATTCAGTTAATACAGATATTTTTTCACTGAATCATATCTTGGTACATATGTTACATATTAACGCCATGCTTTTCCATTGATTGTCTCCCACATGTACTAAAAAATGGCAGCTATATGTATGTTCAAATTTGAAAATTGTGAAAAATGGTTAGGTATTTCGGTGGAAATATATTATTATACCTTGAAATGTTGGTTACAGTTCCGAAGCATCATTTAGGGCTTATAGAAATCACTTGCAAAGTATAATTTTGTGTAAGTTGAATCTCTTAAATAGGAATATCAGTCCAGAAATGGTTCAATTCGTACAGTATTAAGTAAGTTATGATAAATTAAAATTTCATCGATCTATGCTGGTTGTGCATCACAGTCTGGGAGATTATATAGTAACAGAACACAATTTTTATGGGAAACAATCACTGGTTTTATTCTAAAAGCACGACGTTTCGACAAGTATCCTCTTATCGTTGTCAAGCACAATGACATTTAGTAAACTTGGGTTTAATATATAAGGGTTACACACTCTTATATACTTGTCTTCAAGTTTACTAATCTGATGAACACACTTAACTGCCACATCCCCATACTGACGTTGAACATAATCTTTAAGTGGCAATTAGTGATTGGGGATTATGTTCAACGTCAGTATGGGGATGTGGCAGTTAAGTGTGTTCCTCAGATTAGTAAACTTGAAGACAAATATATAAGAGTGTGTAACCCTTATATATTAAACCCAAGTTTACTAAATGTCATTGTGCTTGATAACGATAAGAGGATACTTGTAGAAACGTCGTGCTTTTAGAATAAAACCAGTGATTGTTTCCCATAAAAATTGTGTTCTGTTATTGTGTTCCCCAATCACTAAATGCCACTTAAAGTTCGAGATTATATAGTGTTGGCATTTTGAGTTTGTTTTCTTAATTGAATGTTAAATAATCAGTCTCAGTACATAATTAGCATGTATTAAAGAGGCATTATTCAAGATATAAATCTGCCCATTGCATCTTTCTTTAGGCCTTAGATAATAAAATATTAATTAGGAATTTATTAACATGCCATCACATAGCTTGGATTTTAAATAGATTAAAACGGTTTGGGCATTTAATGATTTAATTTAAAAATGGAGAAGCAAGGCTAAGCCTTGAATAACCAGCATGGTTGTTACGATAATAAACAATCAATGCACACATCTTGTCAAAACTACAAATGGTGATAATGTTGCTCTGGATAAATTAATTTAAATGAAATTTTCAATGTATTCATTTTCCATTATCTATTTTTGAACTATTTTATCTAAACCTTTAAACATGCATTATGCAAGAGCAAAATCTGCTTATTACAAGTCTTTCTTTAGGCCTGAAATGTTATCTAAATTATCAATTAGACATTAATTAACTTATCCAGACCATAATCAACTCTCGATGTCAAGGCTAGCCCTCGATGTTGGCTGGATTAGATTCCTATATGCCGCTAACGGCTATTGATAATTAAATCAATAAAAGCGGATAATCGAGACTATGCTGTTTATATTAATGATTTTAGTAATGATGACCGAGACTATGCAAAATTTTTACCCGCTTCTTTCTCGGCTCATAGTGGATCAATTTGACTGAAATTTTTTTTAGCATATTACCTTTACACTATCTAGTTTTTAACTATTATAGCGAGAACTGCCATCTCTTTATCTTATCTGCCATAATGTATCTTTAAGCTGTCAGAATTTTGATATTTTAACGAAAATACAAATGATGCAAATGGGCTTTCAACATTCATACTTTAGGATAACTTCTTAATTATTTATTTAATCTTATATACTGTATCAGACCATTACCAGTCACTGACAGGCCAATGAGTAAAACTAAGTTATTGAGTTCAACTTTGTATTCCTTGAACACATATTTTTAACAAATTGAGTTTTGACCATGAAATGGTGACAAAAGCTTTTAAGGGTTTTTTTTGTTGGTTTTTTTTTTCTTTTAACAACTGAATTAAGCTTTTAAAGTCTATACCAATATTTATCAATTAAGAACTGGATATGGTTTTTTTACTGGCCAACCATGTTTTCTGGTGCGTCAAAATGACCATACTCGACATGGAATTTCAATTATAATATGAATATCCAGATGAAACAGGCCAACATATTATATTGAAATAAAGGTATTAGTAAATAATGTAATGTTTCATTTGTGTCAAGCAAACCGGTTCGACAGGTTTAATGTCTGTAAAATCATGTACATGTAGTTTGAGTCTGACAGTAATTATTTCCAGGCCTGATGATTTTAGTTGTACCTGAAAAAATTTTAACTTTGTGCTTGACATGGAGGGGGAGTTGGGTGGCCGTTTGGTGGTGAACGTGCGCGCGTTGGATCAGACGGTATGATTTCGATTCCCGCTTGTACGTGACAAGGAGTAGAGTAGCCTGTCCAACCTCGTGGGTTTTCACTAAGTCCTCCGGTTTTCTCCCACTGTTAAAGACCACTTCGCGTAAACAAATTATTGAAATTAAATTGAACCATATGTTAGTCCTGGAATGACCTAGTTTGTGTCGAGTGGTCCTTTCTCTGTTCATGTATTAAAAACCTCAATAAAAACACTGAAAAAGAACAAATCTGGGTTGGCATCATGTGCCCTTTCTCTCGTTACATGTGCAAATTTGACTACTTTTCTTGGAATTCCATCTGCAAATAAATTTTGTATGAGCACTGCCAGTGTGTGCATTGAGCTCTAATGTTAGTCTCAAAATGAACTACAGTACTTGTATTTTGTCGACATTTAACACCTTGTCTCTCTTGGGACGCTATACCGAACTGTGCAATGCAAAGATTTTGAGGTAAGTCGATCTCTTATATACAGATATGAAATTATGGTCATAAAGATTAAAAAAAAGCAGAATTTAATAGGTGAGAAAATAGTTCACTTATTGTCTTATAGCACAGGGCCTACGGAGGATGTCTGGTACAGTTTCTTGATAATTCTTTACAGGACATACATATAATTATACAAGTAAGTGACCATTTTAAAACAAATTTGTTTTCAGTATTTTTTAATAAATCAACAATTAAGATATTTATATATACATAATAATAACAAATGGTTAGGTATAGACTATAATAGTATAAAAACATAATAATCGTGTCACAAATTTATTTGAATAAATTGTATAAAGTTTCACAGCATATATTTAAAAATAAATGAGTTTAAATATGCGATTCACATGCTAAGTATATATAGTCTATTTATATATTAAAATATTGAAGCATTCATTAATGAAATGATCTTCCACATTGCAGAATGGATTACATAGCACTAGTCTATTATCTGATGAAAGCAACCATGCACTAATTTGGCGATGTATAGGCATGTTCTATCTACAAAAATACAGCAAACACTGCTTATTTGTATTTCTTCGAGAAACATCAAAAGAGGTTTAGAGATTTGTTTTTGACTGGATGATAATTCACAAAGAATTAAGGTGAAATATAACATAGCTGGGATAACTGTAAAAAGATCTATACATGTAATTTACTCACGCGAAACAAAATAACATTTTATAATCTTCAGATTTAAGTTGCTTAAATATTCAAACTTGGCATATTGTATAATAAATTTATATGTATTTATGATATAATAATATTTATAAAAGAAACACCACCATTTATACTGACTAAATATAATTAGAAAATGAAAAGACCATTTTCCATATCACCAGAATTATAGTGACTGCCAGGGCGACCTTCGGTTGCACGGATTTTCGTACTATAGTTCAACCTGTGGTCGTGACTAGCCATACCATACAAAGAGCATAGTCGCAACGATAGTCTACATCCGAAGGTCGCCCACGTATGCAAAATATAGGGGTAACATAGTATATGAACAGATTTGACTCCCAACATCACCATTACAGTGAAGTCTTAGTATAGTCTGTAAGTGTTTCAACTGCATGCAAGATTTTGACCTTCGTGATATCACACACTTTGCCATTGGACATGTACATTGGTTACGTACTGATGTAGTTTAGCCTTAGGACAAAGGCTTTCCAAGCAGAAGAACCTTTACTTTGATGATTTCAAGCCCAACTGACAAAAGAAAAAAGTATGTCTAGTTGTTCGGGTTATATGTGTATACCAAAATTTTTACCCTGGGAATTCCATGTCCATATGTGTATAGTCTCAAAGTCAAACTGAAGTATTTTGTTGATGAGACTTTATTATTAAACCCCATATCTTTGAGCAAAAACTGTCACAATGTATATTGTGTCAGCATGAGATGAAACTGCACACAAAATGACTACATGTACATGGAAACTAGCCTTAAATAGTGAAAACAATGTTTAAAACAGAGTCTAAAATATATTGATAACTATTTGAACAATTTTCATGTTCATGTCTCTTGATTAATTTGAAGTTTTTGAACAGCTATTTGATCAAGCTTGAAGGCAGCATCTTTTGGTGAAGGACAGCCACCAGGTTGACGTTGAGCAGTTTTCATCTGAAAGAAACTCTCTTTACTTACAGTTCTAGAACCATAACAACATGCTGTATGTGTTCTGAAATAAATATGTAATTTTGTTTAATATTTGAGTGAGTTATAATTGTTCCATAAAACTCCCTAACTGATCTTATATTGCCATTCCATTCCTCCATCCATCCCTCAATCCATGGTCCACAATTTCTTGTGAGGACTTAAGACAACATATACCTTCGGAGTTTTTTAAAAATTTATATAAGGGTATGTTGTTTACATTAGTGAGACAAGAAGTCTATTGACTTTAGGGATTTCTGTCCTGATAATAAGTCCCAGAGTTATTGCCCTTGATCACTTTGTAGAATCTTGTGAATTCTCTTGCAACCAAAATTATCATCCGATCTGTTTGAAATTTATGTGCATCGTTTAAGTTTATTAAATATGTATTTCCTTGATTATGTCAAAGAATCTTTTTACCAACCCATTGATATTATACAGTGTAACGATTTTGATTTACCTAACAATTTAAATGCTACAATCTTTGTGGGAGACTTGTACGACTTAGCTGCCTGTCTAGTCATCTTTGAAACTATGAAACATGTTTTACTACCCTTGGCTCTACATAGCTTAATATTGTTGGTAGATGTGTATCTGTACCGGGGGGTGGGGATGGGGGGCGCATCAGCCGAATGGTTAACGCTGCATGAAGGATCAGACAGACAGTCTGTCATTGTTAATCCTGTCCTGAAATGACCTAGTTTGTGTCCGTGGACATTAAACCCTCCTCTGTATGTGTGTGTGTCTCTCTCTCTCATGATTGCCTCTGTATGTAAACAAACTAGGATTTGCCGAATATGACCACAATCATCCAGGCACCTCATGCTACTGAGCTGTTCTGAATCGCAGGTAGTAATGATATGTTATGCTAAGATGAAGACTTACAGAACTGGCTGTCAACTACCTAGCTTTCTGTTAAAGAGCTTTTCTAGAAGTTTTACAGTATACATACCTAAATAATACTTCATTTGTAGTTTGAGAGGAAGTAAAACTATCGTGTATTTTACCAGCAGTATTAACATAATCATAACCAATACTAGTTATAGGATCTAATGTGTTTCCTAAAATTAAATTTGACAGATATTAAAACCCAGACATGTCAAAACTAAGGTTAAACATACAGCTTCAGGTCATACACAATCCCAAAAACTTTTGTTAAAAATCATTTAGGTCCCGAAATTATTCAAATCGATTCCCATAATTCTTTAAGTTATGTCAATTTAAAATTTACTTTGATATCACAGTCCCAGCGGGTTAAACTAATTCCGCTATCTTTTTGTACCAATCAGCCCATTATCCATGCAGATTTTTTTAATACAATAATTTCAAATTTAAGAAAACTTTATATGTGAAATATCTTTGTTGCAATTGGAAATTCTTCACACGTTCCATTTCTAATTCCTTCAGAGTAGAGATTAAGGACTTGTTTACTTGCAATACTCATATCTACACAGGAACTTGGGTTTTCAACCCACCTACTAACTACTGGATGATTATTTATATACATGTAAATGTCTTTTTTTTTCTAATAAAAACAGCATTATAAGTCTTTAAAAATTAGGGTTAAAGATACATTATGGGAGATTCGATAACGAGTTGGCAGTTCACACTATAATAATTAAAAACTAGATAACGTAAAGGCAATTTGCTGAAAATTTCATTCAAATTGATCCACTATGAACCGAGAACTAAGCGAATGAAATTTCTGCCTAGCCTTGGTCATAATTACAAAAATCAGTACGATAAACAGCATAGTCTCGATTATCCACTTAATCGTTTAATCAAGAAGGAAAGTTATGCAGTAAATCGGGTCACAATCCACTTAAGATCGCAGGCTAGCGATGCCATCTAGAGTTGATTATGGTCTGGATAGGTTAATTAATGTCTAATTAATAATTTAGATAACATTTCAGGCCTAAAGAAAGACCTGCAATAAGCAGATTTAGCTCTTGCATAATGTATGTTTCATCATTAAACATTTTTAGTATTCCAACCACTTCAGAGAAATGAAATAGTTTTTAAGGTCCTACTTTTCTGCACCAACTGGGCTAATGAAGACGGACATATGCCATATAGTGTGCTGTGAGGAATATTTTGCCCGGACACGACACTAGGGCCTACTCTTACACTGAATTCCAACAATCAAGGGTTCTTTTATGTACATGCTAATGTGCACACGGGACCTAGTTTTTTGGTCCCATCCGAAAGATTAGACACTGCCCCAACCACTTTAATATATGCATATATAAATTACCTGCTAGTGTTTGCATGAAAGAATCGTACTTCAAAAAGTGGTAACCCTGGTGTGCTTTTAACTGAAAAATTTAAATTACCAAAAAGTATAGAAACTTTGCAATTGGGACAAATACCATAAACACACAATTAAGATAAGGTTGATGCTGTTCGAAAAAAAACACCAGGGTTAGGATTAGGAAGCGTACGTAACTAACGTACGAAAATTAATTGGTGGCTAGCTTTTTTTTCGCACGTATACAGTGAATGGCCATTTTGCTCAGTAATCCCAGCCAGAATTTGGCTATTTTCTAAATTTGCGTTAAAGTTTAAAATATTTGTTTTAGAACTGAAACACATTAACTATTAGTCAATCCCAACGCTAAAAACATCAACAAAATTGATTGTGTATATCTGAAATAGACTCAAAATAGTGCAATATGGCGGCCTCTATGAACAACCCTCGCAGACGCTGTCATTGAAGACAACATCTTATTCTATGAGTTGTAGATGTTATTTTTGTGAAAAATTATTGGAAGAAGAGAGAACATGTTGGGACTGTACTAATTATATAGTCTTTATGGGTGCAACAGACACAATGCTGAAGATAAACCTATTGTTTACAATGTTGACCTCATGACCCATTGACGCCAATGTCATGACCTGTGATGTGTAGATCACGTGATATGGATATCATGGCTATGGACTGTGTCTGAGATACTTCTCCGCAGGTAGCGTGTCTCAGATGTTCAGAATGGGTTAGGAAGGTGACCCTACTTTTTGTCACATGCAAGCCAGGGATCACAATGACAACACTTGACTCAATCACAGACTTTAAGATCTAAAGAAAACATACATCATGGGATTTAAATATTTTAGAAAAACACAAATTTTTTCAATTTTTATGGCATACATTGAAACATGGTCATATATTGCTGTTGCCAGTGTCCATCCATTATTTGATCTATTAAAAAGTTATTATATTTTTCACAATAGTCATATATCGGATAATAACATCAAGGATTATCGCCATTGATCACTTTAAGACATCAATGGTCTAAAGAAAAGAGTTATCCTCTAATCTGCTTCCATTTTCATTAGCCCAGTCGATGCAAAAAACAAGGTCATTTCGAGACTAACATGGTTCAATTTTATTTAAATAAATTGAGCAGTGGGAGGAAACCTGAAGAACGTAGAGAAAAGCTACATGATTAGACAAATGACCCAGCTCTTTGTCACGCACAAGTGTGGGATCGAAACCACGCCAATTGACTCGATAACAGACTAAGATCTAAATCACCACATGCATTAGGCTAATCGTCACCCAACCCTCCATTTACAGTATAAGGTTTTGCTTATTAATCACCAATAGAATCACAATGCAACAACAGTTATGGATTGCTTGAAATGAATTCCTCAAAGTGAGCATGGTCTTGGACCAAAACCGTCCCTTTAAAATATTAATTTAATAAAATTCAATATTCACTGACCTGGGGCTTAATTTTATTTACTACAATATATATTCAGTTATCATACCTGTCTCTCATTCTTAGCTTTATTTAAACATTCTTTCATCTCAAAATCTAGTTCAGCTAAATGTGATAATGATGATTTCCACTGAAATTTTAAAAGACTACTATAACATCATCTTCCCATTGTCATGTATGAAAAAATACTGTTAGTATAAAAATCTGTATAGTGGGTACTGGCCTACTCACTAGAGGATCTTCCCAGAAATAGAAGAAAAATATAGCTTATTCATTACATGTATGAAAAAATACTGTTAGTATAAAAATCTGTATAGTGAGTACTGAGTAGGCCTACTCACTAGAGGATCTTCCCAGAAATAGAAGAAAAACATAGCTTATTCATTACATCATCTTCCCGTTTTCAGAGGATCATCCAAGAAATCAAAAGAAGAAAAACATAGCTTGTTCATTACATCATCTTCCCATTCTCAGAAGATCTTCTGTGTCTCCATTTGATTATCCAAATAGAAGATAACTTTTGATTTCTATAACATGCAGATACAAGTGTTAAATTTAGCCTTTTTTCTTTAAAATGGGAAAAGATGAGCCGAAATGTAATTGGGTTTAAAGTCCTACTTTTCTGCACTGACAGGGTTAATCGAGACGGGCATTCGCCATGCACTACGGCCTACTCTTATTTGGAATTCCAAATGTTGGGGGTTCTTTTACATGCACACCGATAAGTACACAGGACCTTGTTTTTTATCCAATCCAAACAACTAGACACTGTTCATTGTCAGGTCTTCCATTCTACAGCACTGACAAGGTGAAACCACATCAGAAAATCCAGAGGAATTTTCTCAGCCAACACCCTGGTGGAACTTGAGAGTTGAGACCTCCTGGTTAGCGAGCCACTGCAGCTCCCATTAAACTGGTGAATAGACACACCTCTTCGGACAATAGAACAGCGGACACTAAGAGTAGAAACTCTGTACCATTTAATGTGTCTTTCTTCTGTTAAGCCCATTTTCATCCCAACCCTTTTGGTCTTTAAATAGCTCCATCAAAATTTTGAGATAGTTAATATTCTTATCATTTCAATCGACTTTTTAATGGTCATAAATATTTTCTTTAAAAACGAATTATGTAAGATTTAATAAAGAGCTGTTCATTTCTGCTATAATTGTTCCAAAAAAAGGTAATGAGCGAAGTTATGAGCGTTTTTAGTTTTGACAAGAAATAGTCTTGAATGTCAAGTACCATTGCTACGATAATAAACAACTTTTCGATATTCCATTTCAACATTAAACTTTTATATCTCGGCCATCTGATGGTCTAGAGTTGATTTTGAGCCTGTCATGTGAATATATGTCTAAAAATATTCCATATAACATTTGAAGACAGAAAAATCCTTCAGTAGGCAAATTTAGCTCTTGCATAATACATCTTTAAGCAGTTTAAGAAAATACCATTTAGAGACCCATAAGTAGGAATGGAAAAGGAGAACAAAATAGTTCTGCCTTCCAGTCTCCAATTATTTCGATTTTAAGCCTAAGGATTCTGAAAAAGCTCAGGTAAAAGTGATAAATAAGCTTTCAAATTTAACCTACCAGATTTGTTATATTTTTTTCCTCACATTTTGAGTCCTTTTCTAAAAACATCAATAACATCATATCTGAATGGCCTTGAACGTACAGGACAACCTCTGTAAGTCCATCTGACGATGAAGGACTAGCATCACTATCAGAAGTATCAATATTGGAAGTTGAAGAACTAAAATGATTGTCCGAACTTTGTGGTATTTCTTCACTAGTTTGGGATTGATATGAAAACGTCACAGCTTTTAGGGTGGCAGGAATTGGGGAAATGGAATCAAACGATGCCATAGAATCTGGATTCGATAGAAATCCTAAGGTATCTTGATTGTGCGAAAATGTCTCGTCGGATGCTATAGAACTTCCACTGCTTTTCTGCAGTTTACTGTCCACATCATCATCATCCTCTTCTTCATCCTTTTTAACATTTAATACAATGTGAACAACATTCTCATCAACAACTGCAGGCGGAGAATGAGTTTTACTAGCATTCTCGTTAACAACTGCAGGTGGAGAATGAGTTTTACTAGCATTCTCTTCAACAACCGATGGTGAATGAGTTTTACTCGCATTCTCACCAACAACTGGCGATGGAGAATGAGTTTTACTAGCATTCTCACCAACGAGTGATGGAGAATGAGTTTTACTGGCGTTCTCTTCATCAACTGATGGAGAATGAGTTCTATTGGCATCCTCACCAACAGCTGATGGCGAATGAGTTTTACTAGCATTCTCATCAGCAACTGATGGAGAAGGAGTTTTACTGGTATTCTCGCTAACAACTGGTGATGGAGAAGGAGTTTTACTCTCATTCTTGTCGACAACTGCTGATGGAGAATTACTTTTTCTAATTTCAGTTCCTTCTACTTTAATATCTTTGTCTGACTGAGATTTCTGAAAATCAGTTGAGGACGGAGTTTCGTGACTGCCTTCTGATGTTGTAATGGGATCTGATTTATTAGGTATGAAATGTTTTCTACAAGAGCGCATGGCTTTAGTGTCTACAAAACTTTCACCTATTGACAATTCCTCGGATGAAGTTGTATCCATAAAGACTTTTTTTTTCACTTCAGGACTTTGTGATAGAGTAATCACCTCTTGTTGCACAACTTTATCATCCAGTTGATTTATTTTAGAATCAGTCTCATCTTTGACTATTTGAGTAACTAGATCAGTTTTCATATTAGAGGGTAAATCGGCTGACACATTTGAAACATTACAAACAGAAGTAGAGGCCATTTTGGTGTTGGTCTCCTCGCTTGATGCTTTGTCTGACTTGTCTGCATGAGATTCATCTGTTGTTTGAATACTAGAAAATGATTCTCCAGTCTGATCTAAACCTTCTGCGATCTTTCCACTAGAACATTCTAAAAATGATATTCCAGAAATATCAAGTGATTCACCACTGATTTTATTTAAATTGGTTAAATCTGTGGCATTATTTTGAGATTTGCTTTTTCTTCTTTGATCTGGACGTCGGGTTGGACAAATCTGTTCATACTCCTTTAAACTCAAATATACTTTCAAAAGACTGATACCTTCTGGTAACTCAAAATCTGAAGTATACAAATTACACAATTTAAAATATAAATTTACTTTATATGCAGCTGTATAAACCTGTGGGCAGAAGTACAATTTTTGTACACATTACAGCTCCTGTTTGGATTTGAATTTATGACCTCTAATACCATCCAATCAGGGGTACCCTTCTATACACGTACCATTATGTTGGGACTCTTATTTGCGCCTCCGGGGGTTGGGTGGCCGAATGGTTAATGCCGGTGCGTTGCATCATAAGGACTGTCATTGAGTCAACTGGCGCTGTTTCGATTCCTCTGGTTTCCTCCCACTGCCACGCAAGCAAATTAATGGAAATAAAATTGAACCATATGTTAGTCCCGAAATGCCATAGTTTGTGTGGAGTGGACGTTAAACCTCATTTCTCTCTTTCTCTCTATTTGGGTCTCAGCATGGTTTTCCCATGTCAGTGGTGCAGGAAGGAGGGCCTTTGGCAAGTTGTCAAGTTGTCATGCATGCAAAAGAGATCTTGATGAAGAGTAAGCAGAACTGTCCTGTTAAAATTTCCCTCATAGCATACCGCATAGCAAATGCAGGTCTTCATTATTGTTGGCCTATATCCGGTTGGTACTAAAATATCTGACTGAGAACTCAATTTTTTAGTTATTTTGTATGCCATAGAATTCAAAAGTTGTCATAGAGAGATATAAAAGAACTTACCAATTTTAATTTTACATTTAGACCACTGAAAACCAAATATAATATAAATTAGTAAAGAAAATTTATGATAAGTTCATACAATTATGGTATTTGATTTAGATTCAAGTTTGGCTTTCAAAAACTTAATTCAATTTCACTCCTTGAGTAGTTGCCCCGCTGAAATGGATGCCCCTGATTGTCACCCCCCGTGTCGTCTCTCTGCATGCACACGTGTCTACCTCCCAATTTTAAAAGTCTATACAAATTACTCAAAATTTTCGTCCATATAAGTTATATTTATAGCACTGCTTTCATAAGTTAACAGGTTTAACCACAGAGGCCGTAGGATGAGGTGTTAACGAATGAAGCGTGCTATAAATGATTTGTAACATTGACACCTGCTTAACATGCTTATTGTTATTGCACAGATAACCCACCCCACTTTTCTATATGATTTCTACTAAAACTAGCGTAAACAAGCAAAAGTGTGCAGTATCATTGAAAATGACTAGTTATTGCACAGTTAAGCTTCAGCCAATCTGCTAGAGGGAAAACAATCTGCTTATTCAACGAAAACAACAAAGGAAGATTTTCTGTTAATGTTACAATTTTGATTAATTGGCAGATCATGTGTAGAACGTGGCAGTTATTTTTGATGTATATGTACTTTTAAAATATGTTACTTACATGAGATTGTTTAGGTTTTAATAAAATATGTTACTTACATGAGATTGTTTAGGTTTTAATAATAGCAGATGTCTGGTTATTTTTGGAGGTAACTGAGTACATAATGACTGATTACGATATAAAATAGCACCAGCTAGAACAGTAGGATGACACACAGACCGTTGTAAAATGTGAGATGCGTGAAGAAAAAGATGAGAGCTAGTCTACAAAAAAAAAATAATACAATCAATATTGATCACATTCAAACAAAAATCTTACAGCTCTTATTACATCAAATTTAATTCTATCAAGTCATCAATATTCAAACAATGACAGCTGTTATATCCATTGAATTAATAGGACTGCTGTATTTCTTCAAATTTGACTTTGGATTCCAGTTGCCACGGATGTAAATGTGTATGTAAACACATATCACTGCCAAATTTTTTTTTTAATGCATATAATGTGTGGACTTACTGCGCAATGGTGTGGGGGCGGCGGGCGTGGTCATTGTGCTAGTAGAGAAAAATGTCTTGGGTCCATACAAGAATGTCCTGAAGATGGGAATTAAGTGTCGTACAATTTTATTTTTTATGTTAATTATTTATCAAACATTAAAAAAAGAAATGGTCTCAAGGGTGGATTATTGAGGAACCTTTGTACGTAACCAATATATAATAACAAAAAATACCCAAATTTTTTAACCTACAAATAAATGCAGAACTCTCCAAAATATACACAAGACATGGGTTTATCTTAAATTCACAATCTAAAAGACAGTTAGGTGGGTTGCAGTTGGGAAATGCCATGTCATACACCTGACTTTGGTAAGTACGGTTCTGTATTTACCTGAGGAAGATCTACTGTGGGTAAAATTTGAAACATCTGACCAACAACATCACCAAAATTATTACAAAATCGGATATAGATATCCCATATTCTATTTAGCTCAGGTACAAATGTAGACTTTAAATTCTGAAAAAAGCATCATAATATTATATATGTTGTACGGTATTTACAGTAATATACATCAAAATAAAATAAATCAATGGAACAAAATTGTGTTTCCTAAGATCATAAGGATGCTACATGATATAGCTACAGAAAGGACATGCTTTGATTATTTCTTCCTGGCTCAATATCCAGGAGGTCTCGGGTTTGCTCCCGGTTTTAGTTGTGAAAGTGCCTCAGGAACATCCGTTGTGGTTTCCCTTTTTCAGTGGTGCAGGATGGAGGTCCTGGCAAACAACAGTGTCTAGTCATTCAGATGGGATGAAAACTTGAGGTCTCATGTACACATTAGTGTACACTTAAAAGATCCCTTAAGAGTTGGAATAATTTGCCATAGCAAAAAATTTCCCTCATAGCACACTGTATGACAGTCGGTGCAGAAAAGTAGGACGTTAAACCCCATTTCATTTCATTTCTTCCTTCAGGTCTCCAACTGAATTTGTTCTTTTAGCAGAACCCCATTATCTCTATACCAATGAGAAAGTAAAATGGTACTTACTTCTTTCATAATATCTAAACTACCCTGGTAAAACACAAACGTTTCTAGGAGAAAGTCCAACTGATTTTGTACACATCTATCTGGAAACGATTTTTCAGCACCTAAACTCTGTTTAATAGATAAATCTAAGTCAACAAAAACAAAATATTATGTGTGTTATCTTGAAATCTTACATAAATGAGAAAATACCAGTCATCAGATTAATACAATCCTTGTTTGACCTGGGACTCTGATTTTTTAAATCACAATTTCATATTTTCTAAGAAAGTCAAAACATAATTATTTCTATGTCTTTTGCTCAATAGGTTGTCAACTCACTATTATATGATCATAGGTTATCTTTCTCACACTTAAAAATCTTCACACCGGAAATAATAACACAATTACCTCCCTTGTTTTCCTATTTCCCACCATGGAATAACTATCTTCAAACGTTTGAATTTGAAGTTGAAAATGATATTTTTGCCAATTCCTCAACTGGCAATAGTGAATTATAGGATTAATAGGATTATTCTTTAAGAAGGTAGGACTGTTTATAGATACCATCTATTTTAGGGCTTTATTTTAATACATTTTAAAAATATAACTTAAAAATATGAAATTGTAACTTTAAACATTTTCCCATTTGATAAGAACAACAATCCTAGATTGAAAAGATAATCTCAGAAACACTGCCTTTAGAACATTTAAAAGGTTGAAGATGCAGTTACAGGGACAATAACTTCACACTTGATTGATTCATGACACTCACTTTCAATAGGATTCCTCCTGATGACCACCTGAATAATCCAAGAAAGATCTCAGAAAAACACCTCACAAACTCTGCCCTGTACAACATTTGCAAGGTTTCAGAAACATGGACAACATTTCCACATTAAATTACAATATGGTTTGTTCTTCTAATTACCAAAACACGTTTGAAAACCGATCTCAAAAACATTGACGTTGAGAGCGTTTATAAAAATCATGGATGTTCTGACTGACAGACATGGGTGTCAACAATATACTTCCACATTAAATATGGATGTATAAAAAGCATTTACCAAAGTATAATCCCCTTTCCTTCTCAAGGCAAATTTATGGTGTTGTAATTTATACAGGGTTGGTAGGGATCTGGGTATAGTGTTGTGGAAAAACTCTGCCATTCCGATTAGCTGACCTACAAGAGCACATTGTGTATCAGCATCCACCTGAAGATAAGAAACAAATAAAAAATATCTAGAAAAGATACAATATAAAAACAAATATTAATCTTATTCAATGTGGTCATATAAATAAACTATCTAGTGTATATTGATTGACTCGGTCTATAGTACATATTATTTTGATAAGATTAATTATTTACAGTGATAGATCAACATGTATATGTATTTTAAACCGAAAAATCATCTTTCTTTAGTCACATCAAAGCTAAAACAGACTTTGAACTTTTAAACAAGTAGAGAAAAAAATTAAACAGCAAAGGAGTGTTGAATTCTGTTATCTATCTGAATCTTATCAAAATATGACTACCGGGTAGATATCATCATTAAAATAATTATTTTCATTTCATTATTAAAAATCTTTTTCCTTTCATTTATCAATTTAAAATTTTTTATTTTATTATAAAAAAAGATTTTTATAGAACAATTTTATTTTTTCAAACAACAATGCAAAATTCTATAAGAATTTGATTGTTATTGTCTATAGATGTATGAAGATGTCTTACAGGTGGATAGTAGTAGATAATAGCATCCTTTAAGTCATCCTCCTCTTTTTTTAACACTGTATGATCAAATATGAAGAAGGTGAAGTGACTCACACCACTGAAATAAAATAAAGTCAATAACTAAAATTAGTAGGCAAGTCTAAATTTCGATATAGTTCCTCCTTTTGATTAGACAAACAAACCCTAAGAGTTGGACAAGGGTAGTAAATCTGTGAAAATTTGTTACATGATTTTGAATTTCAGTAGAATTCCTCCATGCAACTAGCCAAATCCTGCCAGTAGGTTTGAAAAAAAAAAAATCCAAAAGACTCTGACCATCAGAGCATTTACATATGGTTCTGATGACAGGGGCAGGAAGACTGTGAAAAATAATTGCACAGCCACAGCCCTGATTTTCAATAGGACCGTTGGAAAAAATAAACTACTAATCTCTGGCCTGTGGAGTATTTAAAAGCTTTCAGTTACAGGGGCAGTAACTTGAAAAAATTCTGTATTTCAAACTGTTTCTTCCATAGGACTAGCCAAACAATCCCAGCAAGCTTAAAAATAAAATCTCAAATACTCTGACCAGTGGGATGCTTAAAAGAAATGTGAATGGAGAGGAGTGATGACAATATACTCCTGCATGAAATGTAGACCTATAAAAATTGGCAATATTGTATAGGATCTCATATCTTTTAGTCTGAAATGCCATACTCTTTTCTGTAACATTTTTGATAACTAAAATTGCAGAAAAGGGTGAGTCAGACAGAAAGATAACCCACTATTTTGTCAGTAGTTTTCTAAACTCTCAAAGGTTCTTTATATTGGTAAAGTATGCAATAGTTTGCTCTCTAACTGAAACCAAATAATAGCTGATGAGTTTTTATGTTTAGTTGACTGGAGTGATTTCAAGATCAGTACAACAAAGTTTCCTACCATACATGTGTATATTAATGCTAACCCGTATTTGCCATTGATCTATGTGGTTAATATGAATACAGGTAATGGAAATTTTCGGGAAATACACCCCACCCTTTCAGAACCGGAACCAAATTTCTCTATGAAATTAGTTATGTGACACATATTTTTTTCTTTTTCTTGTCCTCCACTAAATCCAATTGCAACATCTCTGGAACTATAAATTCCAAATGTGATTATTAATGATAGTGGTGTGTAGATTCTTGCATCTCGCCATGCTAGCCTGGAAATAACAATTTTAGCTGTAACTGAGTTTTTTAACTTTGTGCCAAACATATGTTTCAAAATATTGATATTAAAAATATTTAAGAAAAGAAGAAAAATCAGCTCCTGGCAAAATAACAGTAGGCCTACCTGACAAAAATGGAATTCATGTCTGACAATGTCACTGACAGGTAGTATATTTCTAGGTCCATCAACCCAGTTTGTGAACTCGGGGTAAATAAAAAGAGATAATATTAATGAAAATGTCTTAACCAAAAAGATCATAAAATGATTTGTACATGTACCTCAACTGTGTCAGCTGTTGTGTCATGATTTTAAATCAGAACATATTATCAATCAACATTAACCGATGCTAATACTTTTCTTTTTTTTTTTCATCAAGTCTATAAATTTCAGTCATATCTTCACTGATACGAGTGTGTTGATAATATTATTGATTACAGATTCGTGTTTTGTTTAACCACCATTTTGCATCTATCACATGACTTTAACCACGTGATTTTATTTGCTTCTTTCGTATTTCACTAGCTTCAGAATGAATATATTTAAGTGAAACTATACGCCGATGAAAGATATTTTCTCCGTAGGTTATTGTCATTACGAAATACATTGACGTCTTATATAGAATGTCAATTTATATGGAAATACGAAACTACTTGTTCAATAAAAAATAAATATGGCGTCTTTGGAAACATGTGCTGATACTTCAAATGTAAAATCTCAGAAAATAGACGAAATAACAGAAAATATGGCAGCGGCTTCAGTAAAAGATAAAGATAATAGTTCACAGACTAAAACCTGTAGCGGTCCGATTTGTGTCATTGTTTTGGGAATGGCTGGATCGGGTAAAACCACCCTAGTTCAGGTTGTTTACATTTTCACCCAGTTCATCCAATCCATGTTCTACTTACACATGTATACTAGTTATAATACTAGCAGACCAAAAGACCTGTTTAATGGCTGTGTATTAGTATTTGCCAGCCAAAGTATGGTCATAACTATAATTTTTCGAACTGATACTGGTCATGTTTACTATTTAGCCACCATAATAAGAATCATTGCCATTAGATTTAGATAGATCATTAGATGATTACACATAGGTTAAAGATACATTATGGGAGATAAGATAAAGAGATGGCAGTTCTCGCTATAATAGTTAAAAACTAGATAGTGTAAAGGTAATTTGCTGGAAATTTCAGTCAAATTGATCCACTATGAACCGAGAAAGAAGCGGGTGAAATTTTTGCTTCGTCTCGGTCATCATTACTAAAATCATTAATATAAACAGCATAGTCTCGATTATCCACTTTTTTGGATTTAATTATCAGTGGCATATAGGAATCTAATCCAGCCAACATCGAAGGCTAACCTTGACATCGAGAGTTTATTATGGACTGGATAAGTTAATTAATGTCTAATTGATAATTTAGATAACATTTCAGGCCTAAAGAAAGACTTGTAATAAGCAGATTTTGCTCTTGCATAATGCATGTTTAACATGACATCTATAAATGGCAACTTGCTTAATTTGCAGCTTGCAATTATTTCATGTTAGATACCAATATATGAACCAAATGTTAATCCAATAAAATCTAGACAAGTTTCATCGATGGCATGGTGTAGATGTCAAACTTAAGATTCAGTCTGTAATCCTTTGAATTTTTATATATTTAATAGAGACTAACTGCACATCTGCATGCCCTGAAGACACCTCCATATGTAATTAATCTGGATCCAGCTGTTTATGAAATCCCTTATCCAGCTAATATTGGTAAAGTAATATTACATACAATTTACTACATAAATGAAATTCATTATTAAAATAAATCTAAAATAGTTCCCAGCAAAAAGACTGGCTAAGATAAATCTATATTCAAGTCTTTTGTTTTCTCTTTTGTTGCTGGGGATTATTTTATATGAATTTATCATAAAGCCAGTTCTTACATTGCAAGACTAGAAACCTATATTTCTGTCCCTTTCTTGCTATTTATTATTAGTTTGTGGATACAGGGATTATAATCATGAAAACTTGGAAGTTGTGGTGCTACAGAATCTGTAGTACAGAGGGCTAATACACACTGCCTTGTTTAAATTTTACAAATAATTATACTATAGGTTAGATGCCAACTTGAACTTGGGATGGCCTAAACTTATTTTAGGATTACCGGTAATCGATTTTAATCTTGACTACTTTATAATGTGTTTGGACAGAAAATCAGTATTTTCCTTTTAGTCTGTTACTTTTTAATATACATATTTTAAGAATTACTGTTACAATGTTAGCTTGGCATAGATTTAAAGAGCTATTATATATCTAACTTTCAGATATCCGAGATACAGTAAATTATAAAGAAGTTATGAAACAATATTCACTTGGTCCTAACGGTGGAATTGTCACATCACTTAATTTATTTGCAACACGATTTGATCAAGTTATAGATTTAATAGAGAAGAAAGCTGATGAACATAAGTAAGTCTTGTCTCTGTTCTATATGTTGTATAACATGGACATTAACTTGAGTAATCGAAAATTTTCATTATCTAGAGATGAAGTGCAAGACTAGAAAATTGTAGCTTAGATGATTATATGCTGGACATCTTACTGATAATCGGTTTCCATTAACTAATTGGGATCCTCATTAGAATGGGATTCTACAATATGTTACATAGGGGGTTGGATGGCCGAATGGTTAGCGCGTGCACGCTGTATCATAAGGTCTGTCATTGAATGAACTGGCGTGGTTTCGATTCCCTAGTTGTATGTGACAAGGAGTAGGGTCGACTGTCCATCCTTGTGGGTTTTCTCCTGGTCCTGCCGGTTTCCTCTCTCGCAGTATGTTACATGAGAGTCGCAGTGGCTCAGTTAGTAAGACACTGACTTGCTAGCCACAAGGTATCCTGTTGTTCCTGGTGTTGACAGAGAAAGTTTCTCTGGATTTTCCATCATGGTTCCCCATGTCAATTATTGAAATAAATTTGAATCATATAACCTTTTTTGTGTCGAGTAGATGTTAAACACATTTCACCCTCTCCCCTCAAAGTACACTGTATAGTGTATGCCTGTCTTCAATAGCCAGGTCAGTGCAGAAAAGTATGTTACATAGCCTGTCAAACTATATGTAGACCCATATCTTTTAATAATATTTTAGGTATGTAATAATTGACACACCTGGTCAAATTGAAGTATTTACCTGGTCAGCATCTGGTTCTATTATTACAGAAACATTGGTAAGAATTATTGTCAATATGTCATGTCATGAATTTTATTGTAATATAGTGAATATTGTGTTTTATCCGCACTCTTACTAACACCCATTTACTGGGATGAAATGTCTGATCCAAGACCCGTCTTTATTAGCCTAGTTGTTGCAAAAAAGTAGTATGTTAAACCTTCTGTAATGAAAATGATGCATAATTTGAGTCTCAAATCTGCAACAGTTTGGTCATAAGTATTACATTCAAACCATGGAACCAAATTGATCCCTTGTGTAAGTCCAAATAGTTTTAATATTGAACATTGAACAATAAATGGATGCCACCAGTAAAGTATTTACCTGAAGAAAACTACTTCAAGTTGCATGAGAAAAATGTTTAACTGGTTGCTCCGAGCTTTGAATATCCATCAAAAGTCTTCTTTGGTCATTTCATTTTCAGGCACATAGAGTTTTGTGATTTTAAAATTTACACTAAATGGAAACTATATAACTATGTATATTTTATTAAGACTTTTATAAACAATTTCTATTTCAGGCATCTAAGTTTCCTACAATAGTTGTTTATGTTCAAGATACTGCTCGAAGTGTTAATCCTGTTACGTTTATGTCTAATATGACGTATGCTTGTAGTATCATGTATAAAACTAAACTACCATTTATAGTAGCCCTAAATAAGGTACATATAAAATAATATTTTTCATCTGTTTCATTTTATCAGTGTTGATTGTTCAACTACCATCATCCAGTATTTTGTAAATACATGTACATAACAGTAATTTTTTGCTATGAAACCTATATTTCTCTATTTTATAATGTTGCTGTCAGAGTGCAACATTTACTTCATAGCACACTATATGGCGTATGCTCGTCTTCATTAGGCTGGTTGGTGCAGAAAAGTAAAACGTTAAACTTCATTTCATTTAAAAAATAAGCCGAGTCAAGGGTTATTTTGGATATGATATTATTTTCTTATTGAAAGTGCAGAGGCTTTGATGAGATAACAGAACATATATATACATTTATTCTTACAGATAGATATTGTGAGTCACACGTTTGCTAAAGAATGGATGACAGATTTTGAAGCTTTTCAAGAAGCCATGGAACATGAAACCTCGTACACATCAAATCTAGTTAGATCTATGAGTTTGGCCCTAGATGATTTTTATAAAGATTTAAAGGTAATTTGAATTTCAAAAATAAAACAGAAAAATAAATATAATACATACATGTATAAATAATAATATTAGATACATGTTTGTATAAAAGTTCTATTTGGCAGCAACCCAAATCTTATCTTTATCCTTTAGATGGTGAACTGTACAAATGTTTACAGCTACCAATACTCTTACAGATGGTTTAACAAGTGCAATTTAGATCATAAGGTCTGTCATTGAGTCAAGTGGTGCAATTTCGATTCCCCACTTGTATGTGGCATTCTGTATGAAATGTTCTATGAAGGCAACTTATTATTTATTATATTTGATCAACTTTTAAAATCTGACGGTCATTCATTCAGTCTATTTTAAATTTAGAAACTAGATATTTTAATATCCCTGCCGTACAATATCAGACTTTAAATAAGATAAAATGAGAGGTGGTTTATTCATCATTATAATGTTTCTGGTTATAAGACCCTTTATCAAATGATTACTATCACTAACGAAATGTTTTGGTTTGTATTAAATCTTCCATGTTTTTGGGGTTTTTTTATTAACAATAATTTATTCAAGATATCTGAATGAGATTGGGGGAAAAGGCCTAGCCTATGCAAATAAACCTGCTTCTATAGTTCAACATGATGTTAAAATAAATTAAAAACAGGAGATGTGCTGTCAAATAGCACACTTTTTTGGAATAACGATTACTATGGTTTATTACACGGCATCATTTCAACAAGATTTAACAATTCATTGTCAAGTATACATGTTGAAACGTCTAAGTGTAATAAACCATAGAAATTATTATTCCATAAAAGTGTGTTATATGACTAAATATAATTGTTTTCCTACCAATGATTGATTTAATGTTTTTAGAATGTTGGTGTATCTGCTATAAATGGAGAAGGTGTAACAGAATTCTTTAAATTAGTAGATGAAGCTGCTGTAGAATATGAAGAGTGAGTCTTTCTACTTATTTATTTTATTTTAGCTAAATATCAAACTCCTCCATTTTTATAGATAACTCTGTATAACAATTGGTATCTTCATCTTGGGATTTTTTCAAGTTTCAAGATAGTAATGTTGTTGGGAACATATATATAGATTCTTTTGGGGTAAATAGATTCCTTTGCTGATCAAAATGAATAGAAAATCTAACAGTTATTTAAAATAACTTGATATTATTAAAAGACAATAGAACTTTAGAAATATATTTTATTGATATATGATGAAACATATTTATTCTACTTTCATTTTAGCTAATCTCTTATTGATTTCAGCTATATATATGAATCATTAATTTGATTCAACACTTATATTATTGATATATTATAGTACATTAAATCAACATATTTATTCTACTTTCAATTAAACTAATCCCTATAGTAATTCTTATTGACAAGTATAAGTAGTGAAGTGAATTCATTATTCGTTCATCAATATATTATATATTCACCAGGGAATATAAACCCATGTATCAGAAACTAAAGGAAGAGCATGAACAAAAGAAGAAAGAAGAAGCTGAGAAAGAAATGAATAAAATAAAAAAGGACATGGGAGTTGGTGAACCTTTGAAATTAGGTGCTTCAGGTAGGAAGAAGAATAATCCATAAGCCGTAATAAAAGAATAAACAAGTAAAGAGATTTATGTTGATGTTAATGACCAGACAGTAATAGGCGTTGTATAAAAGATAATTATAAATATAAATATAATAGTACTTGATAATAATAAGAAAAGGGTAACTTAGTTCAGTACTTTGACCCAAGCCCTTTCCAATCAACTGAAATGAATTTATATGAAATTTGGCTTAGTGTCTTACTTTTTGCACCAACCAGCCTAATGAAAACAGGTATATGTAATGCAGTCAGCAGTGTCCTATGAGCAAATATTTTACCAGTATAGTAGCTATAGCCTACTCTTATTTTGATTTCTAACTGTCAGGGGATCTTTAATGACATGTTGCTAATAGTACACTGTATTTCCATTTCAACCAAACTACTAGACACTTTTCCTTGCTAGATTGAAGCCATGGTGGCTAAGTGTATAAGACACTGGCTCGCTAGTCTGAAGGTCGCAGGTTCGCTCTCGGTGTTGATCGAGAAACTTCATTGCATTTTTCCAGCGTGATTTCCCCTTGTCAGTGGTACATGATAGAGGGCCTGACATGGACAGCTGTCTAGTCATACGGATGGGATGAAAAACCAAGGTCTGGTGTACACATTGGCGTGCACTTAAAGATCCCTTGGCAGTTGGAATTCAGTATAAGTTTAGACCTTAGCTCTGTTGCCCTGGCAAAAATTCCCTCATAGCACACTGTATCGTGTATGCCCGACTTCATTAGCCCAGTCAGAGCAGAACAGTAGGATGTAAAACCCTATTTCATTTCATTTCCTTGCTAGATCCTTCATACTTCATCACTGACAAGGGAGAAACTAGGCTAGAAAATCCGGAGGAACTTTCTCAACCAATATTGTGATGAAATACCAAGCGCTAGAATCAAGATTAATTTAAAATTATCCGTTATATCTATTTTCCACATGACAACATCCAACTAATTGTTGAGTCCACATTCAAGTGGTATCAGGTGTTCTGGAAAAGGAAGGTTTACATAAAGGTGTACATATATAATTGTAGGTAGTGATCTGTTATATACAAGATCTAGTGGAATGGCTATTCAACCAGGTTTATATGAATCAGATAGTGATGAAGATTATAATCAACATCTTGATCCAGAAGATGGTAAGTTAAGGAGGGAGGGAAATGGTATAGCATTTACTAATTACATTGTTACCACATAGTTGGTTTCTCGTCATTTGCAATTTTCAGACAATATCTAATTGATCAGCCCTGAAAGGTACTTAAACAATCTGATTAAAATACAGATCTATATTTCGTTTCGTTTTTTTATACTTTCGAAGGCCTACACTACATGAAGATCTGACCAGTTTTACTTAAAGGTCACGTCAGGGGTCGTACGAGCAGCTTTTGTCCCTGTGACGTCAGACATTGATTAATCAATCAGCATTGACGTTTCTAGTGGTTTACTCACAGTTCCATGCATGGCACACCAAGAAGTCGCCGTAACAGATGGTTTCATTGGCTAATACCTCACGCCATTCAGATCACATGTTATATAACAACTTTTCGGGATTCTAGTGTACAGATTGGTACTTAAATTCATTATTTAATTCAATTGTTATATGGGTTGAATCAATGATTAAGTGAAAAACTGAAGAAAGTTCATTCTTTCGTGGTAAGTAACACATAATAATATTATATTGTTAGTCTTACAGAATTATTTTTTTCATCTTATTTCAGAAGCAGATGAGAGAGGTGAAGCTGAATCTTTAAAAAGATATTTAAACAGTCAAAAAGAAAGACAACAAACAAGACAAGATAAAAGAGAAAATAATCCAAACTCTTAGCAATATTTATTTTAATTTCATTGAATCATCATCATCATCATCATCATCATCAATTTTTGACACCTGGAAATCATCATAAAAACAAAGAAATACTGTGTGTAAAAATATAGACAACTTTAGTGTAATAAATCAGGAAATGCTACATGTCTGTTTCAAAATGAACTTGAAACCAGTTGGCGAAATTATCAAAATACATTGGTCAAAATTCTGTGGAAAATTACTGCTTATTACTGAGAAACGTTTCGACTAGGCTTTATCAAGCAGTGTGACGAGACCCTATATACATGTAAAATAATAATTGGTTAATGCTGATCAACCAGAGACAGCTCTCTAATTATCTTGAAGAAAACCTAAATTAACATTGTTAATGATGGGTTATTGGGGTTGGCCGTAAGTAGCTGGCTTTCTGAGGTTGTACAGTACTTGTCAACAGATCATTTAGATTGATGTGCTATTATTCTTGTTGGGGTTGGCCGTAAGTAGCTGGCTTTCTGAGGTTGTACAGTACTTGTCAACAGATCATTTAGATTGATGTGCTATTATTCTTGTTGGAGGTAACTAAGATAATTATTTTATGCTAGATTGTGACGTTGTTTCGGTTCATAAAAATAAGAGGATAAGAAACACAATTTATATGGAAAACAATTCCTGGTTTATACTCATATAGCACAATGTTTCGATATTTGTGCTTGATAACGATAAGAGAATACTTGTCAAAATGTTGTGCTATGTGTGTATAAATCAGTGATTGTTTATACATATAAATTTTGTCATGTTTTTTATTGTGCTCAATCGTTAAATGCCACTCAAGGATTAATAAAAGGATAGTATGTAGACAGAGGAGATGGTGTAACACCTGTGAGAGGGTTATAAATCCAAAGTTGAAATAACCAGAGATAGGAGATTGTAAAATATAGTCTGAGTACCCAAGTTTAGATTTTGACATTGATTCCATGATGTAGAAAGATTTTTAAACATACATTATGCAGGAGCTAAATCTGCCTATTGCAGGTCTTTCTTTAGGCCTGGAATGTTTTCTAAATTATAAATGAAACATTAATTAACTTATCCAGGCCATAATCAACTCTCGTTGGCATTGTTTTTCTCCGATATTAAATAGATTAGAACAGTTCAGCCATATTTTGATTTAAGCTAAAAATGGAGGAGCAAGACTTACCTTTGAACAACCAGTACGGTGGTTGAAATTATTGTACACGTCTTGTTAAACCTTCAAAAGCTAATATCTTCGCTCGCAATAGAGTAATTTGAATGAAATTTTCAAATTATTCAATATACATTATCTATTTTCGAACTATTATAGCAAGAATGGATAGCTCTTTATCTAAATCTTACATAATGTACCGGTATCTTTAAACTATAATTTCGGTGTAATTCAACATAGCCTTCAGAGGTGGATTAGCCAACTTTATTTTACTTGGTGTTACATAACAAGTTATCAAGACTTATTGACCCTTTTTCCTGAAGCTGATAGTGACATTTAGTGACTCAATTCTGCCCTCTGTTAACCCAAACTAAAGATGTCCCACATGCACAATTTTGAAACAGAAACTTAGATTTCAGTGCTATGTAAGAACATTACAGATCTGTCTTTTCAAAACATTCTATGTAACTGAAACCCCAGACTTAAATTATTTTTTTTCACGTCTTTCTAACGGTTGATTTTTAAGCACATGCCTTCACGTTTTATCCTATTTACTCAGCAGGAAAATATTTCCTGAGAAATGTGACCCCTTAATAGTTTACTTTTCTGACATCCACAGAAACAATTCAAACTTTATTAAATTTAGGAAACAAATTAGAACAATAAACTATTCTTATGGCCATTTTTGAATATTTATTGTGTATTCATTGATGTAGACAGAGTGGTGGGGTTGTTCCAATATCATTTACACTTTTAACCCTTTAGAAATTAGACCAAACTAAACCGCCCCAGCTAAGGCTCCTTAGACCTCCCCAAACCACCTGTCATGTAATGAATGGTCCTATAATATGGAAAGCTATTCACATATCTCAGAGGTTTGAGCCTTGAGGTGGTCTAAGGAACAGTTGTTTCGGTCGGTTTCAGTTTGTTCAGGGATGTATCTGTATTGATATATCACTTTTCTCTAATTTTCTTCAAGGAACTGTTATAGTCGATAATTACATATATCAAGTGTTTAGCTTACAAGGGTGCTTGAACCCAATAGCACCACCTGTGGCTATACTACTGTGTATATTTTATAACACCTAAGTTACTATACTTGTATAAACAATGTATTATATGTAAATAAATTAAGCTTACATCAATGGTTCTATTGTTGTTGAATATTGTATATCTTTAATAAAGGATAAGAGCCGCAGTGACTTGGTGAGAATGGCACCATTTCACTAACCAGGAGGTACCAGTTGGATTCTCGTGTTGACCAAGAAATTTCCTGAGGAATTTCCAGTCTGGTTTCCTCTTGTCTGGGTATCATTTAATGTGCTGTCAATGGCATAAGTGTCACCTGGGTTTTTGGACCCATCCAAAGAACGAAGTACTGTTACTTGCCAGCACCAGTGACAAGGAGTAATCAGGTGCATTGGGCATTAGACCAGAACTCAATTCATTCATTTCACTATTTTTATATTGTAAGGGTGGCCTTTAGACTAATTTCCAGTGGTAGGCATTTTAATAAATAAAAAAATCATAAATAATTATATTGGATATACTAGGCTCAAAAATAAAAAAAAATCCACAAGATAAAGAAGGTTGAAATGACACGAAATACAACAAAAATATTAATAACAAAGCCGACTGCGTTCGTAGTAATGGTACTACCTGACGAGAGGCTCGGCTAATAGTCCATATAATTATATAGAAATACTATGGAGTCATTATATTATCCTTACGGTAGTTGATTTATGAATACCTTGTCTCATAGAAGATAATTAATGCATATACCATTTGTTGTCATATTGATTAGCGGTTATAATTATAAGCATTAATCCACGTGACGGAAGCCTGTCTGCTTATTAAGCACGCTCTATTGATGTTATTGATTAATCTCAATAGCCCGTAGACAATATCATCAATAATTTTCGCCAAGAATTATTATTATTATAATAATATGTTAGGATAGATTTTTCCACATGAATAAAATAGGCTAGAAAAAAATAATTCCATACTCTTTGATTAATTTCGTGTAATAGAAGTGCTTAAATGAGGTGATTAAAGGGGCCGGATTCGGCTGACTATAAAATCTCAATGAATCTGTATTTTATTTGTGTCATGGATTATGTCTGTTTAATTGAATAAAATCACATTGTTTATTATGTCCTTTTAGTGAAATAAAGAAACTTGTATAATGCCCTTTTAATGGAATAAAGACAAGTGAGCGCCGCACTTCATTCGCATCTCAGGCGGATTATGAAAGTGGTCTAAAAATCTAATACAGTTACTGGACCCAATGTTAATAGATCTGAGTAGTCCAGGAACGTTTTCAAATGAATGTGTGTGCTTAGTTGCCAAATAGCTAAAGAAATAACGTTTTTCAAACGTCAAATTTTGAAAATGTTCTCCGAAAATCCGAGACACCGTGTACTAATTGGCAAATTTTGAATTCGATATAAGAGTAGGCCGTAACATTTCTGTCCGTGCAAAATTTCCCTCAGCACACTGTATGCGTATGCCCGTCTTCATTAGCCCAGTCGGTGCAGAAAAGATGACGTCAAACCCCACCCCGTCTTCATTAGCCCAGTCGGTGCAGAAAAGTAGGACGTTAAACCCCGTTTCATTTCATCGTTTTTCATTATGGTTATAGGCTAAATCAAAATAGAATAGAAAAGACTAAAATTTTCCATCTTTTCCTGACAAACAATTAATCAAATAGAAATTCCGTTTAACAGACGAAGACTGTTATCAACGCGATAATGTCCCATATCTCAGCTATCGATATGAACAGACAATCGTATATGGAGACACGAACCTTACCTGTAAAAAATTCTATAAAATATCACGTATAGGCCTACAACTAAAATACCCTTGCAATTTCATTAATACCAGTAATTGAATAAGTAATCTTGTATATGTGTTTATTTTGGCTACATGCATGATTTATATTGCCTTTCTATATAAATATAAATACGTGATCGTGATCAGAATTTGTTCTATTAACATGAAAATTCTACACAACTTTTGACATAAAAATCGTTGAAAGGTTAATTATTAAGCCTTAGATGAACGTATATAAGCTGTGGATTGTGTCAGAGATGAAAAATCCGTGTGAAACTTATAAAACCCGTCAAAGTTCAGAAGACAGACAAAATGAAATGAGGTGTAATGTCCGATCTTTCTGCACCAACCGGGATAATGATGTCGAGAAAATGCTACGAAGTGTGCATTGAGGGAAATTTGTCCAGAATAGAGTCGTTTCCGCATGCTCTTCATCAAATTCCAACAATAAATGTGGTTTTTTTTTATGTACATGCCAACGATTTATCGTCCCATCCGAACGACTAGACGCTAGCTCACCCCCTCTTCCCCATTCCGTTCTGAGCCACTGACACGAAAAATAGACTTGGAAATCTCAAGGAACTTTCTGAGACTGTCAAAACATCGGACCTAATCCTTCAGCCTCTCACGAAAGAGGTGGGGTTGGATGGCCGAATGGTTAGCACGCGCGCGATGTATCGTACGGTCTGTCATTGAGTCAACTGGCGGGGTTTCGATTCCCCGGTTGTACGTGGCAAGGAGTAGGGTCGCCTGTCCAACCTCGTGGGTTTTCTCCGGGTCCTCCGGTTTCCTCCCACTGCTAAAGACCCCTACGCGCAAGCGAATTATTGAAATAAAATTGAACCATGTGTTAGTCCCCAAATGACCTAGTTTGTGTCGAGTGGACGTTACACCCCATCTCTCTCTCTCTCTCTCGCTCTCTCTCCCCCCCCCCCCCAACGAGTCAGATATTTTGGACTGTTCCAGAATGAGACCAAAGGTGTAGTTATACTCCCTGGCTTTCAGAATCTTTGACAACACTTTAGTCAAAGAAAGCGTGACACGACAAACTGGAAAAACTATCAATTTAATGTAAAAATTGTTGCTAGTATGTAATTAAGCACCTGCACATCCGCGTATTTAAAAGAAAACCCTTCACCCTTCACTGCAGAATGCTGGCTTTTAACGAAAATTTAAAAAAACCCAACAGAATTAATACTACTTTAGTTTTCTAAGACATATACATGGTGGTGTAAAATCAATAGAAAAGTATGTAAACTTAAAAATGGCCACAGCTTGCACTGATAAAATTAAATAATTATGGAAAACAAAAATGTTTTGTATTTTTAATAAAGAACTTCGGATTATGTATATGGTCTTAACCTCCAAATGTAACCTTTGTTGTATGCCTGTAAATTACTTAACTTGTATTCTTTATTCATTAGCAAAGGAAAGCTGTCTAGTCGTTCGGTTGGGACGAAAAACCGAGGTCCCGTGTACACATTGGCGTGCACGTAAAAGATCCCTTGGCAGTTGGAATTCAATTTAAGAGTAGGCCGTAGTGCCGCTGTCCGGGCAAAATTTCCCTCATAGCACACTGTATGGCGTATGCCCGTCTTCATTAGCCCAGGTTAGGAGCAGAACAGTAGGACGTTAACCTCCATTTCATTTCATTTCATTTATTCATTAGCAGAGAGAAAGAAAAAAAACAATCGATAAAAATAAAGTTCAAGTGTGTTTCTGTCTGGAGGTTTTGCTTTAGTATTTTTTTTTAATTCCTGATATTATTTCTATTAGGATTGTGCTATGTATAGACGGAGACTCCCGTTATATAATTCTATAGTCATGAATTTTAAAAAAGAATTCAATCACCTTGAGTAAATAAGATCTCTACATTAATAATGCAGTTGAGAATATTTCTCATATCAAACTAAATAAATTTGTCTTGACTGATCTATAATACAAAAGATGTTTTGTCAACGGAAAGAGAGATTAGTGGTTAGTGAATGTATCGGCAGTTTTCTGTATGGCCTTAGACATAAGAAGTATACGAGTCGATCATTTCTCTGAAGTTCTTGATCAGTTCGTTTGACATTTTAATTGGCACGATTAAGACCAGGATCTATAATGTACGGTTCATGGTTTAATGATTTTACAGTTTAGCTTACGTTCACATGAGGATACTAAGCAAACATTATAAATTGTGTATGTAAACGGCGAGGAGAGACTTAAAAGTGTCGTGGTAAACACTAGTTATTGTCCGAGGCTTGGTCTACAAACATTCAAATGACAGATTATAAAGTCAACAAGGGGAGTGATACGATCTATGGTATATCACACCCCTCGTATTGAACATTAATAACTCGAGGGTTATAACAGTTTATAACGTAAATAGTTTATTTAGTCGAGATAAATTCTCATGCGCGTCAAGAACACTTGGATATTTTTGAGAGTACATAATAATAATAACTTGACGACAGTCTGAGCGTCTGAAGAGTGGAATTTTCTTTGGGATGGCGGTGTAGCTCTAAACTTCGTTTTACAATATGTGTCATTATAGTCTGATGTATTATGGGGACAGTGTTTAATTTCTGAAACCAAAAAGGTTACTTGGAATTACATATACTTTGGATATTACCCATTTTACTGTGTAAAAAATCTGCCAACATGGATGAAAGATATAAAGCCATATTGGATCGACATCGACAACTTCTGATTAAGAATATTATATTAACGGATGAATTTTATGAAATGCTGCAAAAAGAAAGAGTTTTACCTGATGCAATGATTAAAGATGTTAAGGTAAGGAGATCCAGAACACCCCATGCTACAGAGAGTTTTCTCACGTGGCGGGTTCACAAGCTTTTGTATTATACAGATATTGCCTAATTCTTGAACTTCATGCATGGAATGGATCATCAGCTTTTATATTATAGGAATGGATGACCAATCCTTGGCTAAGATCATTTTGATACTTGCATATAATATTTTCATATGATATATGATATTTACCGTTTCCGTATACTGGGGGGGGGGGGGCAGTATATAGTACGCACCTGATATGAATGTGGTGCGGTAGGCACAAATCTTGAGACTTACACATATGGTTATGAGATGAGCCGTGAGACTTGAATTTTACCACTACCTCTACCCCGAACGACCACACAGGCATCCTTACGTTTTATGGTTGTTCAACCTGCAACAATTTCACGGAGAATTGAATTTTGTTCACTTTAGTCTATACTTATTACGGTCGCTCTCTATAGGCCTACTTAACATCTGACTGACATAAAATCTTTTAGTTGTTGATGTTAGTAGCAGGAAGATGCCCATATCAAATTGTAGACTTTATTACTAATTACTTATGACCATTTTTAGTGTTTTGTAAAAGAATCACATTGCGGCAATCATTATGGACTGTCCCGACGACTTAGCGGCTGCGGGCGCCTGTTTCGTTGCCCGGAAACCTATTTTTTTTTTTAATTCGGGTGAGTGGAGCTAAAATTGATTGGAGAATGGACCATTTTAGCCACGATCTTGACGATATTCATCTCAATTCTAAAAACTATAAATGTCTGACCTTGCTGTTGTCAAGCATGAAAATCAATAGAATACTTAAATCAATAGAATACTTCAATTTGATATTTTAAAAGCTAATGATAAGGAAAGTAATCGGATTATCAACAAGAGGTTTGCTTTTACAGGATCTTAATGTGATGGCCTCACTTACAGCAAGAAAATATATGTAATTTTAATTAAAATTTCATATCGCATGTCTCAATTGCAACTAATGATTACATTCGAAGCACTTACGAGCTTTAGATTTTTGACAGATTTCCTGTACAATCTTATTTGAACCTCTCGGCTGTCCAGCCTCGAGGGTTTTCTCCGGGTACTCCGGTTTTCTCCCACTGCTAAAGACCCCTACGCGTCAGCGAATTATTGACATAAAATTGAACCATGTGTTAGTCCCGAAATAACAGTTGGTGTCGAGTGGACGTTTAAACCCCATTTCTCTCTCGCTGTCTATTTAAACCTCGTCGGTGTCAATATCGAAACTTATTTTTGTACCAATAATTGGAAAAGTTCTCCAGAGCGATAAAGCGTCTTTAATTCAAACTGAAAAAAAATCAGTTGACATTTACAAGAACTAATTCCTTGCTACTTGCAAATGTCACATTAATGTATTGGATATTGGGTTTCCCAGCAACTAAACGTGCAGACCAGATGCTAAAATCATTGAAATGAAATAGGGTTAACCTACTTTTCTGCACCGACTGACTAACGAAGAAGGGCATACGCCATACAATGTACTATGGGGGACATTTTGTCCTGACAGCGGCACTACAGCCTACTCTTATTTCGAATTCCAACTGTCAAGGGTATTTTTTACGTACACGTCAATGTTAGAAAGCCAACACCCTACTCACTAAGCCACCGCGGCTTTCGAATCGAAAAAAAACATGACCGTGCAAATATTAGTAGAAAATACCTGTAGCCTGGTTTAATGGCAGAACTACGAAATCCATTACTCGTGTTTAATTTCTGCGTAGTCTTTTATTTCAAGTAGGTCTAGCGGGTATATTGTTTTTAATTTCCTACAAATTATCGTTGAAAGCTTTTTGTATAAAATTCTATAGAAACAGAATAAGAAATCAATTTACACGAATCCATACTTAATTATTTACGTCATTTGTGCTTTGTTTTGCCATGAAGCAGATGATAAAAGCGATTTTGTTAACCGTGTTATTCAGTTATTTACTAAGTACACACGACTCAGATATAAGATATGCGCAAAAACAAATATAAATTTATTTGTTATATATAAATCAATGTTTTTAGAAGCCAACATGGAAATAACATCGTTCTAAACCGAGCACGGATGCTGCTATATTTGTTTCCTAGATATCAACGACATACTTTTCTGAAGCAATGGTTAATGAGCTGATAATTCTCTTCGCCACATGCAAAAATAGTCTACCACTCGGCATGTACCTATTCTCAACCGTTATCGCATACTAATCGATAATCGATTTTTAACGAGTTAACTATTGACGAAGAGAACGATGAATGACGATAAACTGAAGCTAAGCAAAACCTTACTCTTCAATTCTAATGAGTCATTTTGTTTCTGATAAAAAAACCCAAACTCAACATGACGAAGATATAACGGGACGTAGCGATATTTTAACGCGATATCTTGAAGCAGAGAGAGAGAGGGGGGGGGGGGGTAATGCCCACCCGACACAAACTAGTTCATTTTGGGACTAACATATGTTTCAATTTTATTTCGCTTTCGAGTACCGGTATTTAGCTCGGGGGGTTGGGATGGCTTAGTGGTCTGGAGTGTCACCACTGGCTTGCGGTTGTGGTTTCGACCCCTAGTGTGAGCTTACGTGGCTTGGAAATAGGGGCGCCTTCTCAACCTCGTGGGTTCACTCCCGAAACTCCAGTTTCCTCCCACAGGAAAGACCCACGCCCGTGCGCTAAGATAGTGCACCCTAATGTGTAGACCTATACGGGATCTCGGTTTTTTCGTCCCACTCGCAAGACTAGACACTGTTCCTTGCCAGGCCATCCTCCTTGAACCCCTGACGAGGGAAGTCGACAGATAATCACCATGGATACATATCTTAGTATCAACGACAACCATTCATTATGTGGTTTTTATTCTAGTATTGAAATCATATTCTTCTGTTCTGTATTTTGTTGATCAGTTAGGTTGAATAGATCGTGATGGCATGCAATAGTTATAGAATAATATCACAGTAACCTGTTAAATGAACAATAGTAGTTATGTGTTGTCTCGGAACAATAATCAGACGAATTTATATCGATTTACACATAAAATGTGATCAGTTGAATAACAGGGAAAATACCTTGCTATAGAATATACTAGTCTTTTACATCAACAAGACCGGTTAAATAACAAAAACAACCAAAAACAAATAACCTTTGCCACGTGATTAAATAAATAATATCTCTAAACCCGCTTTACTTTCTTTGGAAGGGGGTGCGAGTGGAGTTAGGATTTTGTTGCGGGGTTTTAGGGGGTGGAGTGTCTTTGTTGGGTATTTTTAGAGGGAGGGGTGTTTTTGTTGTTGTTTGTTCACGTTATTAAAGTTATTTAGCCTACCGACCTGCTTTGTTCTTTCTTTTTGCCGCTGTGGCTGGCAGTTGGATTGATTGGTTAAATTAATTCGTCGGACGTAATCGTCATTGTCCCAACCTCTCCTTCCTGCAAGAATTTGGTGAAAGGCATCATCTGTTCGTTATTTGACTGGAGGAGGGGATGAGAGGAGGAGTATTGGGTCCCGGTGTTGACTGGAAAATTCCAAGGGACTTTCCGTCAGGGATGCAAGTGCTGACAAGGGACAGTGCCAAGTCATTCTGCTAGCACGAAAAAGCCGGGGTCTCGTGTATAGGCGACGCGTTGGCTTGCGCGTTAAAGTGGCAATGACAGTTGGAATTCGATAGAGAGCAGGCGGAAATGTATGCCTAGTTGGCGCAGAAAAGTAGGACGTTAAACCCCATTTTATTACCGAGTGACAACACGATTATGACAGATTTCATTATCTTTTATTTTTAATTTGTGTCTTGTAGGAAGGTTCCAACCAAGAGGAAAAAAATGAGAGATTGTTAAACGCCCTGTTACTCCGTACGTCCCTTACGTTTAGACGTTTCAGGGATGTCTTATTAAAATCTGGTCATCATTTTCTAGCCGATTTATTATGGGAGGAAGGTGAGTTTATTAAATTTCCAATTGGTGTTTGGGATTTCATGGAATTGTCTTAATTGTTTTGTTTTTTTCGGGTTGTTTTTTTTTTTGGGGGGGGGGGTATAAATTTCTTAGCGTGATATTCATCCTAACATTACTGTTCAACTTACTGTTTCTCACATTACAATTCATAGTATTTTCGGCGATTTCGAATTTTCGAATTATTTATCTTAAATGTTAGTTACAATTTTTAAAACAAAGTTTTATATCATCGAAATAATAAAGATCTATTATTGACTTTTTACGATTTTTTTGTCTCTTCAGATCTTGATACATTCACCTTAGATGACAACATTTTACAAAAGTTTCCGAATACTTTTGACAAATTAACTGATGATGTAAAAAAGAAGTTAGTTCTGTTCATTGATTCGAAGGTAGGAAAACCCCCAATCGTCCATAGCATCCAGCAATAACATTACTTAGAAAGTAAATGTTCATCTATTTAGGTTTATTTCTCCACTAAAACAATTTTATAAGTGAGAAAGATTGAATATTTGGTATTGATTTGAATGTTTTACTACCATTTATTATCTTTATGGAGTAGCGATGACATGGTGATTAAGGTGCTGGTTCGCTAACCTGGATGGCTCCGAAATTTAAGTAGATTAGAACATCACTTCCATTTAAAGAATGTAACGATAAAATAGATAAATAGAGACTTAGTCTCGATTGTCAAAATTTAAAACACATAATAAAGTAATCTGACTGAATTTTTATCTGTTTTTTAACTATTATAACAAGAACAATCAACTCTTTATCTAAATCTTACAATAATGCATTTTTTTTATCATACACTGATCTGATTCTGTATTTATGTATAATTTATTTTATTTTTAAAGGTGAGAGAAAAGGCCTTACAGATAACATGGAGAACTACCTCTATAGATAGAGTCACCATTTTAAGGGGTAGATCTTTAGATTTTAAAAACGAAAAGAATTTACGTGAGAATCTGGATGAACAAGATAAAAGGGTAAGATCGATTAAGGGCCTACTTGTAAATGGAATATGAAATGGGGTTTAACGTCCTACTTTCTGCACCCGCTTTGCTAATGAAGACGGGATGGCATTTAATGTCATATATCTTTCTGCACCAACCGGAATAATGAATGAAATGGGGTTTAACGTTATCTTTTCTGCATCTGCCGGTTTATGAATGCGGGCATTCGCCAACAGTGTGCTATGAAGTAAATTTTGCTCGGACATCAATTCAATTTCAACTGTCAAGGGATCTTTTACGTGTCCACCAACGTCTTCACGGGACCTTGATTTTGTTATGTTTAGTGGTGCTTTTTTTTTAAATATATATTTAGGTTATATTAAATTTTTGTTCCCAAAGATCATTATATCTATACAATGGTTTTATCAATAAATGTAAAACGAAAGAAATTAACATGGGCCCAAATCAAAGAAGTTTAACCATTTTATTTTTAGAGTATAGTTATCTTATTCATGATCAATTGTATTTTGTTTTTTTAAAAGACATATTTGTTTGTTTAATTGACAGTTGCTGCATTTAAAAAATGAAATGTGTGCTAAAGATGAGCGGATACGACTTTTATCCATCGAAAACCAAAGCATACAGAGAGAGATAGATCAGCTAAAATACAGTCACAAAAAGGAACTTGAAAAACAGTCTAATTTTAACAGTGCCAACAACAGTGCTATATTACGTCTGAAAGAAAAGTTTATAAGCTTTAATGAAAGCGTAATTCAAATGAATCAAGTCGTGAGAAATTATCTAGGTGACGAACCAGAAAGTTACAATACGGACCCTGATAATATAAAATTATCATACCTGGAAAAGAACTTGAAACGTGTTTTACAAAACGCCAAAATATCACAACAAATCGCAGATAACTTCATGAAAGAGAAACAGGAAGTTGTAAAAATATTCGGTAAAACGACGACGAAGACGTCATTGAAGGAGATCATTGAAGACTACATTGATAAAGAGCAAAAATCGAAAATAAGTTTATGGCGGGACATCGAAAAACTTGCAGACGTGATTCGTGGATTACCCAAAACCGGCATCTTACAGAAACGGGTGTCGAATGATAGCTTGGCGACAGACTTTCGTTTTCTTAAAAATTATGTAGCGACACTAAGAGTTGAAGTGGAACATTTGCATAAACGTATGTTGTGGAAGGATAATCAAATTCGCGAATTATCGTCTGATGTTGAGAGTTATAAACGTCAGTTGCCCAAAATACGTATCAGTAAAACCCCACCACCTTCTCCCGAGTCGACGTATGCAATGGACGTAGCGTATAGCAGGGTGGACGACTATATAACATCAAATAGTGTTAATAAACCAATCGAAACCAGTATTGACGGGAATAACGAATTCGGTTTAGAGACATATCAAACAATACCAGTGCATTCCTCTGAATTTTGTCTCAAGAATAAGAAAGAACGTCATGTTGTGTTTTCAGACCTTCATAAAGACACACCTAGTAAAAAACTGTCATCAACATCGTATAAATATACTGATCTAGCTACATTGCCACCAGTATAAAATATTATAGTGTATTCAATTCAGTAGGCACCCTTGCATGAAAGGAGTGAATTTACCAAGTACCCAACCATACTCTCTAGTAATCCCAGGACCGTATTTAGGTCAGTGCAATCACTGCTATTGTAAAAGGTTGCAAGATTTTAAAAGGGCCACCTAAGCACCTCTCCCCACTTTCATTAGCCTAGTCAGGGCACACCAGTAGGGTGTTAAACACCATTTCATTTCTAATAATCACCCATGCTAGTTTAACGTAAAAAGCATCATGCTCTCTAAAAGTATGACTTAATAAACATCCACCTTTTCAAGTAGTTTGACCATGGACCGTATAATACATATTATAAGGTCCATTGTTTGACCTACTAATTATAAACATCCATGCTCTCTAGAAGTTTTACCTAATAAGCACATATGCTCTCTAGAAGTTTGAGGTACTCCATGCTCTCTAATAGTTTGACCAAATAAGCCCCATGCTTTCTAGTAGTTTGACCTAATAAAACGCCTATGCTCTCTAAAAGTTGGGCTTAAACAACCAAGCTCTCTAGTAGTAAATTCCCCAGCCATTCATTATTTAAGAACACAGTCAATGAAATGATGCCTGATTACAGACTTATTAATTAATTTCAACTTATAAATAATATTATGGGTGTTATAAAGTCAAATGGATGTAAATTTAAAGTGGAATAGGGTATTGCGTATGGATGCCTATTCCAAGGAATATGTTTTAAGTGCCATTACAGAAAAAGTTGATTGGAGATTGTGTACATTCGTGAAGAATACTATTTCTTAAAACTGATTTAATTCCACTTTTAAGGACATTATTACATCTTTTTACAATTATTTTCATGTGTATACTATATCATGATTCATCTTTATATTGTTTTAATAACTTATATAAAATATTTATTCGATTAATAAACATATACAAAAATTATCTTTACTCTTCATTTCCCAGCAAATACCACAAAACCATAACCTATAACTAAATATAATCTCCATAACAAGAGGCATTAAATTAACTATAAATCAGGCTAAGGTAATCCAAGACTTAATGAAATGCTAAAGTGTTCTTTAATGTGCCTTACATGATGGAAGCCATCTTATCCTAAGTCCAGATTCTATTTTTTTTCCTAAGTAAGTTATTGAGACCATGGCTGAATCTTGTGAGTGGCAACTCTTGGACCCAATAAATAAACACTGAATTTCCAATGTTTCGGTCTATTTTATTAACAGCCTTTCTTCAGGGTTTGTTTAAGTCTACTCATCATTAATATAAATATTTGAACATTAGTCTATTTTTATCAGCTATCTTTTGACTTGTCTATCCGATGATAAATCCTTTCTTCACGATTTTCTTTCATTGCAGCATATCTTGCAGCCGTAAATAAGTAATCACTGAGTCTGAAATGGTAAAACTTGTATATTAGTCCACCGTATCCAAGGTAAAAGCTGCCTTATATTCAGCTTCCACCTGATCATTAGTCACACCCTATACCCACTGGCATCAATCAGGTAGAATATCAATAAATTGGATGAAACCAAAATTAGACTGAACAATATAGTTACAACAGTTGGGTGGCCGATTGATTAACGTGTTTGATCAGGTCTGTCATTGAGTCAAATGGTGTGGTTTCGATTCCCCGCCTTGTACGTGGCAAGGAGTAGGGTCGCCAGTCCAACCTCGTGGCTTTTCTCTGGTTTCCTCCCACTGCAAAAGACCCCTACGCGCAAGTGAATTATTGAAATAAAATTGTATCATATTTTAGTCCCGAAATGACCTAGTTTGTGTTGAGTGGATGTTAAACGATTTAAATATGAACATTTTTATATATAAAAATTATCATCCATTTTGGCTGAAAAAAATTGAAAGCCAGTGTGAGCCCTGGTTAAACCCCATTTTTCTCTCTCTTTAATGTCAAATTGCACCTGAGGCATACACAAAATATCTATATGAACCTCACTAAAGTGAAACCTAATTCATTTCAAAAACACAACCGGTTTCTTATATTATGTTTTCTGCTTTCCGAAAACCAGAAAAGGGCCATCTTTTGCAAAATTACACTCCATGCCATACATTTTACATACCTATTTATAAATTTCAAGACTTCTTCGTCAATTTCCTTCTCTCTAGCAAGAGGGGCTACCCTTAAAATAAATGTAGATTAATTTTAATTATACCTCATCTTCATATTTAAAATAACTTTTGGCCTTGGTCTGATAATAACAGATACTGAATAAAGCAACAAAACAGTTGCATTTTATAGCGTAACCATTGTCAACAGATCAGTCTGTGCACAATATTTGCACAGTCCTTGTTAAATTTGATGAAACTTATTTGGATGTATTGTAAAATCATAAACATTAAACTTACTTAAAGACCCTATTTCAAAATTCCTTGCAAAATACTATATTGTGAAAGTTGAATCTCTAAAAGGAATTACAGCCCATAAATGGTTCCATTCCATTCAGTATTTAACAAGATATGACGAATTGAAAATTTCATTAATCTATGCTGCTCCCTATATGTATGTAACAAGACGGCTGCCATCTTTATTTTCTCTGAATTGATGGGCCTGTTTTTAATCCAAATGAATTCAAGGTGGTAGATTATCTAGCGTTGATATTTTGATTTTCCTTAATTATATGTTAAATAATCAATCTGAGTATAATAGTGTGGATTAAACTGTGAGAAATTTGATATTCTCCAACAAAATGCCAATCACACATGGTTACTAAAAGGACCTACTTAAGTTTTCATTCCTCCTTCTGACTAAGATTATGCATATCATTTTATGAAGTACACCAATATACAAGTAGGATATCTGTCATTCATAGAATTAATGATTGACATTTAGTGTAAATATCTATTTTAGTCAGAGGAAATTTCATGATCGCAGGTCCAAATATAGAATATTTGAATATTAACATACCATCTCTCAGCTCGTCTACAGATAGATCTTGATAAATGTAAACATGATGCTGCTTTACCTCCAGACTAAAAATATATATAAACATTGCATAAATTCATACCTGAACATAAGTTGGAGGGGACGGGGACATTTTATTAAGTAGATACTCTGAGAGGGTGTTTTACGTCTGCTTCACACCTTGGGTGTATCAAAGACAAATGAAGTTAATTTATCTTCTAAGAAAAAGCAATAATGTCTCTTTAATGGTTGCACAATATATTAAACATAAAGTATGCAAGAAGAGCTAAATCTGCCTATTGCAGGTCTTTCTTTAGGCCTGAAATGTTATCGAAATTATTAATTAGACATTAATTAACTTATCCAGACTTTCGATGTCATTGCTAGCCTGTGATATTTACTGGATTTGAATCGGATTTGCTGCTCAACGCTCATTCATAATTAAATCAAAAGATAGGTTGCCAGGCAAAAAAACATACGCCAACAGCAACTAAATTGTCCGGGCAGTCAACAAGGGTTGTCGCATATTTTTACTTTTTTCGGTAATGAAACATTTATAATACACTAAAATCTGATTAAGAGCAAAAACTCACAAAATAATTATCAGAAAACTATTAGAATTTGTTTGTTTTTTATAAAGTTCTGCCCCATGCTAATGTTTTGTATGCAAAGCTTTTAATATCATGGATTTAACTGTTCAAGTCATAAAAATTCATTGAAAAACAATATACTTGTTCGTCTCAAGATCTTAAACTCTGTGTATCAATCTGAAGTCAATCCGATGATAACTTTAGCCTTTAGAGCGTCACAAGATTTTGCAAAGTGATCAAGGGCCATAACTTCGGCAGTAATTATCGGAAATCGTTGAAAATCAATAGGAATCTTTGTCTCATGAAGTGATCAAGGGCCATAACCCTGGCAGTATAAATTATCGGAAATCGCTGAAAATCAATAGGCTTCTTCGTCTCATGACCTTAAACACTGTGTATAAATTTAAAGTCAATCGGATATTAACTTTGGCCTTTAGAGCGTCCACAAGATTTTTTGAAGTGATCAAGGGTCATAACTCTGGCAGTAATTATCGGAAATCGTTGAAAATCAATAGGCTTCTTCGTCTCATGACCTCAAACACTGTGTATAAATTTAAGGTCAATTGGATATTAACTTTGGCCTCTAGAGCATCCACAAGATTTTTCAAAGTGATCAAGGGGCATAACTCTGGCAGTAATTATCGGAAATCGCTGAAAAAAAATAGGCTTCTTCGTCTCAAGACCTTAAACACTGTGTATAAATTTAAAGTCAATCAGATATTCACTTTAGCCTCTAGAGCGTCCACAAGCAATTGTGGACGCCGGACTGACGGCCTGCCGGACGGACGGGGGCGACGACAATATACGACCACATTTCAATGTGGGTGTATAAAAATGGATAATCGAGATTATGTTTATGATCAAGGATAGGCTAGGTGAGAACTGCCAGCTCTTTATCTAATGTCCCATAATGTATCTTTAATGCTTAAAATATGAATGACCCCTGGACACAATAATAAAACATGACATTGGTCATTGGCTTTACAACACTGACACACACCAAATCATATTTCTTTCTTTTTATGTTTAGCAACAAATTCCTGCTAGAAATTACTATTAGAGCTGCATGAATGATGATTAAATAACACATTAAATATATGGTGGTAGTGGCATGGTTCATTAACTTACAGAAAGCCATTAAATATATAGTGACAGTGGCATGATCCATTAACTTACAGGAACCCATAAAATATATAGTGCCAGTCCATTAACTTACAGGAAGCAATTAAATATACGGTGGCAGTCCATTAACTTACAGGAAGAATAAATTTTGTAAGAGGAGGTAACTCTTCTGTCATTTCATCAATCCATTTTTCTAACTGACTAACATAAGCATCACTGAACACAGTTTTTTCTGTAAAGAGTAAAAATCTGTATCACACAGAGAATATAATGGCTATATTACTGGTCGCCTAATATATTATTAGCTACTTTCCATAAGTTTGTGAGAGCCATGGTGGTTCAGTGAGTAAGATATTGGCTCGCTAACCTGCAGGTCCGTGTTCACTCCAGGTGCTGACTGAGAAAGTTCCATCTGGATTTTACTGTATGATTCCCCCTTGTCAGTGTTGCAGTACAGAGGGCCTGGCAAAGGACATTGTATAGTTATTTGGATGGGACGAAAAACCGAAGTCCCCTGCACACATTGGCGCACACGTAAAAGAAAACTTGGTTGGCAGTTTGAATTCGATATAAGAGTAGGCCACAGTGTGAATTTGATATAAGAGTAGGCCACCACAGTTCGGCAAATTACCCTCATAGACCCATCTTCATTAGCCCAGTTTGAGCAGAACACTAGGACGTTAAACCCCATTTCATTTCATTTCCATAAGTATGTGTTATAGTTTATTACCCCATACAGTTACTAAATGTCAATAAAAAAGATTATTAAGTACGATTAGTTACATCCTTGGTATCCCCAGTGGTCTCATTCAGATCCACTCCACTAACCTCTGGGAAGACACATATTCAAATTATCTGCCGTTGATTATTGTGCTATTTTTATTGACCAATCAAAATAATCGTTAAATACATAAAAACTGACATAAAAACATCTTTCCCATTACATAGTTAGTTAACTATGGGTTTAGAAACGAATTAACACAATAGATTGCTGCCAAGCAGCCAAATAACAATTTATGATCTAACAGTGTCTACTCATGGACTTTTTAAAAAGTAGAAGATTAATAAATCTTACTTAAATGAGCTTCACGAGCTGAACTATAAGGTGTAGCAATATTAGATCCCACATCTTGAAGAATACACTGTATCTGAAATATATCAGAAATTATTACACATATTTTACCTTATTTATATCTGTAAAACAATGTTCCATCCTAGTCAAGTTATTTGCCCTTGTATTAAAATATCGGTTTCAGACCAGTTATTTGATAATCTCAGTTAATAACATGACAGTAATAGACTTTAGAGATTATACTTAGTAACAGCTTAATGTTATATTTGAAAGAGATTTTCCAAGTTACAGGCATCTGTGTTAATGAACAGAGAGTCGGTTTTAATGTGTAAATGTTTTGATCTAGCTTTAACAAATATGTATTTTACCTGTTCTAACTGGTCTATCAAACTAACATTGGAGTCTCTAACAAATTCTGCAGCTAAACTAAAATACAAACACACAAGTATCAAAAACTGTTTTGCAATATACTCAATAAATATTACATGCACTGAAATAGTCTAATGTAATATATGCAAGTTTTAAGTTATTCCACATTACATATGCTACTTTTCTAAAATAATATTTTTAGTTTTCATGCTGGAAATTGTTATGCTAAATATTTTATAGGTTGAAACATAGATTGTAGAATAAACCAAACAGAAAAATTTAACCATCTTGTTTATATCTTAAAATTATGTTTTTATAATTGATTAATTTTGATACCGTATTTGTATGAGCCAAACGGTGCTAGAATAGAATAAGAAACCAAACTAGTTACCCTACAGCAGATGATAATTCATCTGTAGCTCCTAAAGAATGAAAAACGGCATCATCCTTTGGTCTTCTTTCACCAGTAAACGTTGATGATTTACCTGGAAAAACATAAATAGTAATATTTTTTCTAATAATTTATATGTTTCATATCCACAGATGTAATTAAATTTATAACATAAATAATCATTGAAAAATAAAACTTCTCCACTAAAAACTTGTTCTTAAGGGCAAGAAGAGTTAAATCTGACATAAAAATGGATGTCTTATGTAGAATTCATATTTTTTCACTGAAAATAGAGCATCTTATAAATTATACATCTTATTTCATCAAGTATAATAAGCATTAAACTAAACCTTTATCTCCTGTTTTAGTGTATATTTTCAGGTGGCGCTTGGTTTGAGATATACTTGCTAATTCAATTCTACTGAAATATAAAGTTTAATATTTTACTAAATGAAATGGGGTTCTGTTCTGACTAGGCTAATGAAGAATATGCCATACAGTGTGCTACAAGGGAAATGTTTTCCAGAGAGCAGCGCTACAGCCTACTCTTATGTGTACATGGGACCTCAATTTTCCGTCCCATCCAGATCCGTGAGCCAGTTAACGTCTTACTCACTAAGCCAACATGTCTCCTATTTCACTAAATGTCAAACTATTTTGATTTTGAACTACAATGATATAGTTAGTAGTCAATGTCTTATATTTAATTATGGCGCGGCAGCAATGGACAAAAAGTTGTTAACTCCTCAAATGAGAAGAAATATCAGGTGTTCTACAAAGGGAAAGCATACCTTGTCTTAGGACCTGTCACTGATTTACTGAGCCTCAAATGTGTATCAGATGACATATTAGGCTACATGTATTGTAAATAATAGGACAGACAGACAGATAACTATGAGTGAGGCAATGAATAGCACTTGCACCAGCTCCAGTAGTTCAGCTCTAGCTACGAGAACGTAACTAAAAATGCTGAGATATACTGATGTGCTTGTTTATAGCTACGATTGGATGCGTTATAGTTCCAAGTGGCAAACTCAATTTCTTTATTAATGCATGTACCATCTTAAAAATAAGTTAATTTTATACTATTAGTACTAATTATTACACATATACGCAGTCCAATCTACTGAAACAACATTCATTTATCAGCAAATATTAACAATAAATTAAATCAAGCGTTGTTTTTATCAAAATTGATCCGGACGTTCATAATTACGTCGTATTTATACTACTGCACAACTCTCGATCAGATTTGTACTTTGATTGGCTATTGCACATTCGGCAATGTCAGAGAAAGCAATCTACTGTCGCTTTGATTTAAAAAGAGGGGATATGTATTCGTGTCAGGTAGGATTATATGCTTAATTGTAGTTGGGTACGCAGAATTAAATATTATAAATAACAATAATCAATCATTGTTTTCATGAAAAATATTGTCAACTTGTTTACTAATGCCGGATGCGAATTGCGCCTGCATTTGCACGTTGGAGTTAATAGGACCAACTCTTATCTCGAAACACGAGGGTTGAGAGATGAGGTTTGTTTATTGTTATCTAGTTCAGTTCCATATTCCAGCTACTCAAGCAGATGATTCGTGCATGAGTGACCTAAAGGAACTAACAGTGACTCTTTACTTTGTTATTACCGTGATTTCTGTTTTATAACCGAGTAAACCAAACAACTGCATCGTTTTAACATGCTGACAATTGATAAGAATGTCTCAAATTCTATTAAATTACAATTACAATGTTTTTGTTTACATGGGCGCAGCCATCTTGACGCATGCGTTAAATGGATAAAACACGTGCTTCCGTAAACAAATGTGGCGTGATGAAAGCACACACGCACTGATCAGACCATTTATCAATGATTGCCTTCATTGAAGAAGTTTTATTTAGCTGTTAATATGGAAGATATTGTAGTTTCTGCACCAGGAAAAGTAATTTTACATGGTGAACATGCGGTTGTGTATGGAAAGGTTCGAATTAATGTCACTTTGTTTTTTTGGAAAAGTAGAGAAATTCACTGGTAGTTTAAGACATTAATTTAATAATTTTTTGTGTTTACCTTTTCACTGCATCAAATGGGGTGTATTGGAGATTTCCCTATGTCCAGCAAACTGGTGTAAATTAAATTATGGTTATTCGATTTTATTGACAGATTATAGATAGGCCTATAAGATTTTGCTTTTTTTCTAACTGTACAACAAGTTGTGTCAACAAGCCAGCACCCCATTCATGATTTTCATCATGAAATAATGTTTATACTCGGATGTGCCTTAATAAATAATAACAACAGTCTTTACATAAAAGAAGTTCAAGTGTATATCTTTGACTTCTCTAAATAGGCCTAGGGTAGGGACTACTAAATTCTTTTCTTTCATTACAGGTTGCCCTTGCCTCTGCTTTGAACTTAAGAACTTTTTTAAGAATCAGAAAGAAAAATGATGGAAAAATTTCATTAAATCTTCCTAACATTGATATAAACACTTCATGGGAAATCAAAAACCTGAAGAATAGATTACAGCTTCCTCTTTGTAAGTTATACTATCCACTGTGTTTGTCCATACTGATATAGACTCGATCAGTAATTGCCTCAAGAGTTTACTCTGGATTCATCACTTTTAAAGATCCCTGTTCAAGGCAGCTTCACATTTTCAGGATATTATTTCAGATAAATTTACGGCATTGGTAAACTTTGTTGGATTGCCCTTGATTACGTTTGACACTCACCAATCACAGTGATTGTTACCAAGCATTTAATGACACACACGCTGTAATTTAAACTTAAGAATAAGCCTCTGTTATGATTGTTAAAGGCTTTTAAATAAATGTGCTGGGAGTAGATTAAAAAACTTTGTAAGACTTAAATGTCTATTTCCTTCAATCTGGCAAATATAATCATGGATGTTCTGGAATTTGATCTCCTTTTTATTAATTGTGTCACATTAGACCTATTATGTCATTTGATCATATATTTTTCATTTATATAATTTATGAACTGTTGTGATTTCAGGTGATCCATTAAAACCTAACTGTGTAGAAAATGAAGTATTAGACCAGTTAAAAGTGATAGCTGGAATAAGTCCTGATTCTTCTCAAACAACTGAATTAGCTCTCATAGCATTTCTTTATCTCATGGGTAGCATAACAGTCACCTCAGGGTCAGTATCAATCTTATTTTACTGTCTACCATATTTGAAGTTAATTTACATCAAATATTAACTGTTATTTTGTTGGATTGTGTTTGCTATCTCATAATAACCTTCTGATCCTTTTATCAACAAAGGATGGACAGATCTTCGATCCAAATACATCTTGATATAAGTTAATTTTTATACCAGTAGTTTATGAAGAATTAAGGAGGCATAATTCAATTGTATAGGATATTCTGACTGAAATGACCTAAAAGTGTTTTAGTTCTTGCCTATAAGATGTATAGGCAGAAGATGCTTTAGGATCTAATGTAGGTCTATAGAAGATAGCGCATGAAGAATATGAATGTACCATAGATTTACACAATAAAATTATATTACATATAAATGGAGTTCTACTGGATATCAGGGCCCTTATTCACAAAAACTTAAACTAAGATAAAATCGAAATTTTAAGAAATACTGCAACTTCATTGGATATATGCAAATTGATTTTACTGGTCAGCCAATCGAATTGCAGTATTTCTTAAAATTTCGATTTTATCTTAGTTTAAGTTTTCGTGAATAAGGGCCCAGAAGAATTATTGTTATTGATTATTTCAGTGACTTACCATCCATTGAGGTTACAGTTTCGTCTAATCTACCAATAAGTGCTGGCCTTGGATCTTCAGCTGGTTATTCAGTCTGTCTAGCAGCAAGTTTGTTACATTTAAATGGCTTTATAGCTTCACAAGGCAGTGGAGATACTACTGGATGGTCTAAAGATGACATGGCTTTAATCAATTCTTGGGCATTTCAAGGCGAGAAAATTATACATGGTAATCCTTCAGGCATAGACAATTCTGTCAGTTCATATGGTATGTGAAAAAAACTGTTTCAGATGTATTTTAATTTCTATATTAAATACAAATTGGTTTTAAAACTTGAATTGATAACACTACAAGATCAATGTTTGGTTGGATATATATTTTTTCCCAATCGACATGACAAACTTCAATTAATATGTAATTTTGAGTAACAAGTTTTGTTTAGTTGATTAATAAATTATCAGTTTAAAATTTGTTTTCTTCTTTTTCTAGGTGGTGCAATAAGATTTCAAAGTGGTAAAATAATGCCAATAGAAAAGTAAGTTTTTGACATTGATACTTTTGTCTCGCCATTTTATTGTACTTTGTGCAGAGTTATTCCCCTTTAGTGTGTTTCTGGCTTTCAATACTCTCTCACAAATTCAATATTAATTTTAAAAAATATCTTTAATAACGATTTTTGAATTTCAGAATGCCAAAATTAAGAATATTATTAATAAATACAAAAATACCTCGAAGTACTAAAAAACTAGTTGCTGTTGCAAGAGATCTCTACAATACGGTAAGTTAAAAAAAAAACATCTACCTGTCCCTAATAAATTTATCATTTAGTTAAATACAACAAAGATTTCCTTAGTGTTTATATTTGATATGCTCATTCATTACTTACATACGTTGCCTGTCCAACCTCGTAGGTTTTCTCCGGGTCCTCCCACTGCTAAAGACCCCAAGATATTGGACATTGTTGCAAAATATGCTTAGCCTTATTACAACTCTAAAATGATCTTTATAAACTTCAGCTTCCCGAAAAGAAGAAGTCTATTGATTTTCCATGATCTTATTTTTTAGCTTCCCAATATCATGCAGCCTATATTGGACAGTATAGAAGCTGTAACAGAAAAATGTCAGACAGTTCTAGCACAGTTAGTAAATGATGGTACAGATGAAAATTATAAAACATTAGAGGTAATGATTTTGAAGTACTATGCAGTACATCGAATTTAGTACTAATTGATAGATGAACAGTATAAAATATTAGAGGAAATAATTTTGGAGTACTATGCAGTACAGCTAATTTATTACTAACTTATAGATGAACAACTGAACATTATAACATATTACTATTAGAGGAAATATTTTTGAAGTCGGGCTACTATGCAGTACAGCCAATTTAGTACTAACTTATAGATCTTATGCATTATGTAAGAGCTAAATCTGCTTATTGCGGGTCTTTTTTCTGTCTTAAAATGTTATAGAAATTATTATTTAGACTTTCATTGAGATAACAAGCCCATAGTCGGATGGTTTAGATATTTAATGCATTAGAACCCTCTCGCCATTTAAAATTTAATCATAAAATGGATAATCAAGACATTATTGTTGTTTTATTCATTTTACCTATCTTTCAGAAATTAATAGATATAAATCAACATTTATTAGAAGCAATGGGAGTCAGTCATCCAGCTTTAAATAGTATCGTCATGGTAACTTGTAAATATGGACTCCATTCTAAATTAACCGGTGCTGGAGGAGGCGGATGTGCCTTTACGTTATTAAGACCAGGTAATAACTAGATGTTGTACAGCTAATGGGGAAATGGGGAGGGGAGGGGGCAATTGAACTATGTGTTAGTCCCCAAATGACCTAGTTTGTGTCGAGTGGACATTAAACCCCATTTCTTTCTCTATCTGTACCGCTAATGGCACACAGTCAACAAAAGCTTAAACTATAAATTGCAGTCACTAGTTTTTCTCTGAGATAATCTCAGAGTGCTGCCTGCACAAAAACCCTCTCTAAATTAACTTAACACAAGAAGTAACACACAAAGTAACACAAACGTGTGGCTATGGCAAGATTTTCACTCACATCAAGAAATACCATTCATGCCTTCACATGGGCGAGATCTTCCAAGGATTTGCCAATTAGTCTTCTGGTAAGTTCACCTTTATTGAAGATTCAACAATTTAGGTAATGAACAACATTTTTTGTTTTAATATTTTAAACTTTTAACTATTGTTAATTTGTCATCTATAGATATACTCTTGCCTTTATTTTCAGATACTACAGAAGATAAAATAACAAATATAAAGAAAGAATTGAATATATTGGGTTATGATTGTTGGGAGACATCTGTAGGAGCTAATGGTGTTAACAGACATCTAGATCTTAATAGTTCATTGTTTCCTTCAAATTTATTATAATCTTTATAAATCCTTAAGATTATATTTCTTAGTCTTTAAGTTAATGTTGTATAATCATTGTCATTTCTTCATCACCGATTTTAAACACTTAATTTTGTATTCCCTGTATTAATAAAACGCAATATGTATTCTGCAAAGTCTGATTAAGAGGTTAAAATAGTGTTTAAACAGATATTGTCACAGGTGACAGTACTATGTTTAAATAGAGGTCAAATGTGTTTTTCTAAGCAGAAAGTCACATGCCAGGGTACAAACACCGACGATCCTAAAACACATTTGTTTAACAGAGTGCATAATTACACGATTCATTATATGTGTCATTTATATAACTATATCCTGTTTTAATAAACTAAATTTTCTATGTTAATTTATATTTTACTGTTAACATTTATTTTCTGGTTGCGTGTTATAACAATTTCATACGACATCTGTTTGTTAAAGTTTGTAAATTTTAATCGTCAAAAATAATTATGTTGGGTTAAATACCCCTCACTGAACAAATTAACATTACCATATTTATCATTAAGGATATTAACTGTGTTTTTGTTGAGAGGTGGGGGCACGGTAGTTGGGAGAAGTCTATTTTTTGTAATATTGATATATTTGCCTATTAAATATGTTCACGTTTTATATTTGTTGTATTCAGAATGTATATTTTAATAAATTATTTATTATTTATTCATTTGTTCTCTTATTTCTTATGTTTGAAGTCCCTCTGCATGTCATCTTCTATAGAGAGTGCAGCAATAACTACTTAACTACAAAATAGAATACCACAATATCCAGAAACAAATGACAAAGTCCTTTAAGATAAACAGAATAAACAGAGTTTGGTCAGTACTCAATGACCTTAGTTGCCTTATCTTACTGTAGTAAAATTAATTCTTGCTTTGACAAAATTGCTTTTAATATGCCACACTGATGTCTTGTAACTTGCTGGTATTTTTGGAATGTTCCTAATGAGGAGTTACTGTACCTGAAGCCTTTTAAATGCTCTACAGGTCAAATTTTATAAAAAAAAATAAAATTTCAATCTTGCTGAGATTGCCGTCTTATTAAGAGGAATCAAATCCAAATTTTATTCCTGGCAATGGTACTTTTTCATTGTTAAACACTTTTTTGTTGACACTTACAAACTGGTCGAAGCCTGTGTCATTACAGACATTACCTTGATTTGATTGATCTTAAATGGCTTACAATGGCCACATATTTTCCTCATCCTTGTGTTTTTTCTCTGGGTTTCTTATTAATTGTTACATGTGGTGCAGTCCTCCTACACTTAGGTCACTCCAATTTTATTTTCAGTTTTTCGGGAACAAGACTAATCTAAAAGCAAATAGTACTTGATTGCACTGTTCAAAAGCTTTTCATTTTAAACCTTGAAGTCTTGAACTTTTTAACAAAACATCTGTCAAGTAAGTGGCTATTGAAAATTAAATAGGTTTGGCCTATTATTTGTCAATATGCAACATGATGATTGAATGGGACAATCTGCCACAATTAAATACTCCATCAAATATTTTATTGCAGATTTTATTTTATAACATTTATTTATTAGATTTAAAATGAAAGTAAAATGCCTAAAATCGAGCACTAATTACACATAGATAGGCTTAATTAACAAAATCTACATTTCTAACACAGTTCCTACCATACTAAATCGAAATTAAGCTATCAACTAATTTTTGATGTAAAACAAATAATTTGTTTAAAAAAATTCAGATTACTATCAAATAAATACTAGAAGTAGTAGACTTAAAGTGACATTAATTAAGAGAACTGGCAGTCTAATTTATATATAGCAAATTTTGAGCCCTGTGTAGTCTAGTACTAGACTAATAGTAATTATAGTGATAGTAATTATTTTTTTTGTTGTTCCCTTTATTACCATCCAAGTTAACTTTAGATTTTTCTTTGCTGTAGAATTTGGATTTGGTGGTTAAAACTTGGAAATTTATTATTCTAATTTTTCATCTCCTTCCTCTATTTCTTTTAAATTCAGAATCTCAATTTTTCCTTTGCCTTTGGTATCATGTTTGACGAGGTCATCTATTTCTCTATAAACACCAGGATCAATTAACACAACCTTTAAATACAAAAATATCATCCAATAAATACTGGTGTACCTTCATACTCTTTACAATGTTTCATTGTTTACCAAGTAGACCTGAGGGATATCTTTGGCCATTGCTTCAGGAATATGGTGTATCTTATACTTCATAACTTATACAACAGCAAAATACATTCATAACTTATACAGCAACATACATAGATAACTCATACAACAACAGCAAAATACATTCATAACTTATCCAACAACAGCAAAATACATTCATAGCTTATATAACAACAGCAACATACATTCATAACTTATCCAACAATAGCAAAATACATGTACAAACTGTATTCATAATTGACAACATTTCTTTAAGGTAGACAAAACATTTCTTGAAAACAGACAAACATTTAGACAAACATTTCTTGAAAACATTAATTGGGATTATGCTACAGTGTGCTATAATGGAAATTTTGACTGGATAGTTACATGTCCACAATGAGTACACGGCTGGACCTCAGTATATAGCATCCAAACAATTAGACTCTTATTCCTTGCCAGGCCTCTTATCCTGCACAAATGACCGACAGAAACCAGACCAGGAATCCAGATGAACTTTCTCAGCCAATATGTGGTTAGAGAACCAGTGCCATACTCGCTGAGAAACAATAGTCACAAGATCACTGTGCAAAATTACATTTGATAGGCTTTATCTATGATTACTCTAACACACTCTCTTAAACCCTATTTGTTTTGGTGGTAACATGTTCAATAAGTGACAATGCCATCTTCATTTCCTGTGATGGAACTGTGAATTTTCGACAATGCTGAGAAGCTTAGGAGATTGAAATTAATAGTAGACAAAATATAATAAATCTATTCAAATTGACAATTGACATATTTGGTTACCTGTAAACGATAAACAAGACATTGTAAAAGCGTACATGGAAAAATCCCTACCGGTAAGTCTATTGATAAATAAGAACTTACCATTTCTAAATCTTCTTCGAAAGTATCTTCTTCAATTTGTGTTGCTATCTTTTTTATTTTCTCTCTTAGCTTTTTGCCTTCTTTAGCTAATTAAACATAATCATAATGTATTTATCTTTCTCTGTTTCATAAATTAAAATTATAAATGATACGATTATACTAATGTTTCACTTCAGTATTAAAATCAACATTAAGAAAGTAAGGATATCAATGATAAATTAACAAACTTTCAATAGGAAGTTCATCATTTGAGGAATTTGAATCTATTGCAATGGGAAAGTTGAATCTCTAAAAATGGTTCAATTCCATTCTGTATATACAACAATATGCAACATTCAACATTCTCTAAAGACAATACACATATCTATATATGTGTTTGTAAAATTTTGATGGCCCTCTTTCAAATCCAATAGAATCCAAGTCTGAAGCTTTAATGGAAACCAATGATAACATATGAGCCATTTCATACTTTATTTCTATTCTATACGCTGTGATCAGATTGGTAGAGAATCATTTTCCAAATGAAGTTAACCCATGAATTTTTAAGATACTGTACTGTAACATTAATTCTAATACTAAGGGCGTATCTTACCTGGAATAGTAGCTCTTAATCTCATTTGAGCCCTTTGTATTTTGATTGTTTCATTTTCTTTAAACTGTTTAATAACTTCTAATGCCTAGAATTTGAAAATATGAATCTTAAGAACTCGTTCAAACATTGAGTGAAGTCTGTGTCACCACAGGCCCGGTATTGTACAGCCCAGTGGACGCTTATGGCTAGCCCCCGGATCCATTCACTTTTTTTTTTTTTTTTTTTGAATTGTCTGTCTGTGTTTTTCTGAGTATGATGTCTTGTCCGTGTATTTGTTTTTGTGTAAATTTTGTGTGGTGCAGTCCTTCTGCACTTACTATTAGAAATTAAGCACATATTAAACCTGGAATTGAATTTAATTTAAAAACCTGTTTGGCCCCCTAGCTTGTACATTCTCTACTTCTGACAAATTTTTGTCTTATTTTTTTTATTTTTTTTGTCCACAATAAAATTCATTAAATACCTGTTGTTTTGTGTTTTTATTGGGTTTCACTGAAAAATGAAGATCTTTCATGGCTTTCTCTATCATAGTAACAGGATAGGGACGATTTGTATCTGGATTTACACATTTATCTGAAACAACTGTTGCAATATCTCGAAACATTGATTCTGCATTTGCTTGCCTTTCTTTTTCGGAGACCTGCAACTCCCCTTTGGTAAGAATCTACAATGGAATAACAATCAAATCATACAGTTTTAAAACAATCTGCAAAGTTTAGGTTTAAAAGGCATTGTATTCAAAGTCAAAATTGTTTTAATGTTCTTGTGTAAAAGAAGGGTTCAGATTTGCACACTGCAAATTATAAATCAATAAGCTTATTACCTAACAAAAGTACAGGTATATAGACACCATTACAATAAGAGAACAACCAAATTACAGAATTTCTAATAAAAACAATGACAGAATAAAGACTGATAAATGATAAATACCTTTAAACAAATTTCTGAATGATTATCGGTATCAAAAACCTTCTTTAAATCTGCAGTTTTTGCAACTTCACCTTTTGACACATTGGTGAAAACTGTGTGACTCTGTAGTACTTCATCTATATCTGTTTCTCTAAAAATAAACAAACAACAAATGTTAACCTATTAACTTTTAGCCAAGCTCTTGGAACCCAGGAATCCTAGAATTTATTTAAAAATTATTATTCGTAGAAGGTAAGGACTCAAAATATTCCTTGAGTAATTATCATTTTAAATATTTATTTACAGATTCTGCATGCCATGGACAAGACACTACCAGATCACAATGCGTTAGAAGCCTTTGTAGTGTCCTTACAGCGTGGTTTTGTAGGGACAAGAATACAAGGATGTGAATTCCATTGGACACAGGGCATGTTTAGAAAAATCCAGGAAAAGGGATTCCAGGTACAAAGTGTTCTTAAATATAAAAGTATATCTGCTACAATATATCTCCAACAATATAAAAATATATCTTCTACATTATAGGGAACATTTAGACACAACATTTCAATAAAACACCATGTCAAATTTCGTCTATTTATATTTTCTAATATTTTAATTTCAGACAGTTTTAACCAAAAGAGTAAGGCATTCAACTACCTCAGAAAGCTGATGACTCTCCCCTTTCTACCAGAAGACCATATTGAGGGGATGTCTCGCAATTTAAAGGACAGAACAGTTCAGAACATTATTTGATTATGTAGAAGAAACATGAATCAACTCCTGTCTGTTTCCTAAAGAGAGAGAGAGAAATGGGGACTAACATATGGTTCAATTTTATTTCAATTTTAGGGGTCTTTAGAAGTGGGAGGAAATCAGAAGACCCAGAGAAAACCCACAAGGTTGAAGTTTCCTAAAGAAGAGTGTTGCGTATTCATGCAGTCTGTCAGGACAAACAACGGCATCGGGGGTTGGCATAACAGACTCAATTCTCATGTAAACTCCAGGGGTAAGGTACCTTTCTCCCTGTTAATCTAGAAGATATGGCTTGACATAATTGTGATGTCTGGTGGTTTGATGTGGCGTCACTAAAGAAAAAATATCACCAAATGGAGGGCCAGCTGTTCTAAATTTGGGAAGAGAACAACAACCAGGAGATTAATACCAGTAAACTACTAAAAACGATTAGCCGGCTGTATGGACCACCAGCACAGTAAGATGAAAAAACATAGATGGTACAAATGTCTGATTTGACAAATAAACCACAATTTCTATTGAAACAGTTGAAATAAAAAAATGTATGTCCGATTGAGGTTATTTTTGAAAGTTATTATTTTATCAAATGAATATGACCATTCTTAAACATCGTTATTATCGTTTTATGGTATGTTTTTTTTTAAATTAAAATAAAAGTTATCATAAACTGAATTGGCATTTGTGTTCAACCATTCCTTTCAACTTATCCCTGAGTCTGAAACATCACCTGGCCGAATCCGAAACATCAAGGCCATATTTTTTTTAGTCCGAAAGGTTGTAAGTCCGAAATGTTGTGGGACCGAAATGTCATGTAATCGAGTGGGGGTAGAGCAGTGTTTTCATTTTGCAGTTTATAATAAGGATGGACAGGAACTGTCAGACAATTCTGTCCGTCCTGAGACTGTTCCCAAAAGAGGAACTACCACTAGTAGTATAGCTGCAATATTTGTAGCGGTGATACTGTGTTCACCACTATAATTGAGACAGTCTAAGAGGCTTTGCGCAAGTAAAAAAAAAAAGCTTCAAATTCATAATTCTAAACATATACATGTATCAATATCATCACAGTTTGTATTGAAATAAGTAATTCTATCACAAATAGTGAAGATTGGACCATTAAAATAGTTACTGAACAGTTTTTCTTTGCGGTAATGAGTTCTACATTTTCGAAGGCATATTTTTAATGATGTACAGGACGCCATGACATCACCCAGGTGAAATCTTGGGATATCGCACAAAATATTGTGTCGTGTTCACCCCGCCCATCGCTGAAGGAAGTGTTACTACATACTTACTACTACCAGATAATACTAGCATATAAATATGGACATGAATTCCATATGGAAAGTGACGTATGATCACATGCTATTTCTGGCTGGGCAGACATTTTTGCGGTAAGGTTTCACGTCTTTTTCAATGAAGGGGCAGTAACTTTTTTGTCATAAAATGATGACAAAACCTGCCCAAAGGAAGTCCTTAGAACGATCTACTACTGTGGCTGGAACAAAACGGAAGACATCAAAAGTGGAACCATTCTACTAGTACTACCGTGTAGTAGGGTATAGGCTACTCCGTGGTTCTACTTTAACTTACACTTTATTTCTCCATGACGTAACCTTATTTGGATAACATGCGATTTCAAATCTTTTACCACCTTTCTTTAAACGAATAACAGCAATGTTAGTCAGGCGTTTCTGACCAGTTGGTTGTTTAAGAGCCATTTCAACGACTTCTTTATCTATTAAATGCACTTAGTGATGTTGATCGCAATTATTTTAAAGAAAAATAAATATTTCACTACATTTTGCAAAACCGGAAGTGCCCCTCAGGCGTCGGAATATGTTTTTTTCGTATTGAAGAGTTCTGTAGAGGGAGCCGTGATCGCAAGAATCATAACAGGACTTCCTGACCTTTCCAGAAATGTATTATTTCGTCGTGAAAACTTATTTCTTCATGTGAATGAGGCGTTGTATTTACTTTCCAAACGTTCTTGAAGAAATGGGGACACTGTGTACAACTGACACAGAATAAATGAAAAAATGCAAACAGACAAGGGCCAACCTATCACCATCACAGAAATGGTCCAGGTGAGTTTTGTTTTCTTCTGCCAAATTCATCATCATCCATGGCATCATATGGCATTGGAAAATTGGTAGTGCCAATTTTATTGCTTGCCTAGGGATAGTTCTAATTCTCTTTCAACTGAGACTGCATCAATTGTATTGATGTATGCATTAGAAAAAATCGACAGTAGCCTACTTCTACAACTGTAGAAATAAAATCAGCAGATATTTAGAAAGAATGATTCAATGAAGTGGGCGGACTCCATATTACAAACAACTTTTCACATTCAGTCTGACGACTTTTCAGATTTACTTAATAACTTGATTATAATGAGGTTTTGGACAATAATAAATGGTGAATATGTAAAACATTCTTTTCGTAAACTTTCAACATGTAGGTCTATATTACAGTGTGTGATCCACGTGCTGTACTTGATGACAACAGTAAATTTGACCTGCATGTTTTTTTTTTATATAAAATTGTTTTTGGCTTATTATAAACTGATTTGGCTTTTGTGTTGAACTTTTTCTTTCTTTCAACTTATTCCTGAGTCCGAAACGTCACCTAACAGTGTCCGAAATGTAATTGCATACATCAGCGGGATGCTTGATTGTCAGTCCAGAATGTTTGGATAGCAAATTGACAGATTGCAATCAAGTGACCCAGAATTCAACCTGTCGCAGTTCTGTCATACTCAATAGTGCGAGTAAAAGTGTGACAGAAAATGTGTTGTGGTTGGTTAGAATATTTTCTTATTTATTCTGCAAATTCCAAATTCCCCTGTTTTCACATGATTGTGACTATTCTTGGGATTCAGAGTATTAAATTCCAGAATGATTATTTGAGTATCCTTATGTAATTGTTTTAGTTTACTGCCGTCTAAAGTAATATTAAAAATATTGAGAAAAACTGAAGCTATAGTTTATGTTGTTTCTATAGCTTGAGAGTGTTCTACTATTCCAAATTAAAAGTAATGAAACCCATGATTGAAAGTTGAATGGTAGGAGTTCAGAGCCTTCCAAATTTTTATTGCTCTGACATTCTTTGTAAATAAAATGATTTGTTTTGAATTTGTAATGCCACAACATTTGATTTTCCGGTAAAACAGACAAAACCTTGATGGGGATAGTATTCTGCTTAAAATTAAGTGCTTCTCCTAAACTATTTTTTTTTAATTTATTAATTTTGAACCCTGTATTCATACTTGTTTTATTTTCAGTTGGCACATATCGGAGTGCCTCTGGATCAGGTGACATGGGCAAGAGTTACGATGATTTCCGATCGATGGATTGCTATCCGGCATGGTAATAGAGAAGAAAACAGTCAAAAAGCAATGGTAATTATTTCATAGTTATTGGACATTAGCTTTAAAACAATGTCATGATCATACCCACATACATACATGTAGTACCAGTATATAGTATGTGTAGAGCAAACTCCAACAAGGAAATAAATTTAATTAATTTGATGTTGAAAAATCACCATGAGTCTTTGACTCTCTGCTCAACTTCCTGCTGCCTTCATCATTTGCAACTGATTACAAAACCCCAGCTAATAAATGAATGTCACATTTCTTCACTGAAGCAAAATTAAAGGAAGATAAAGAAGATTGAAAGGGATAATGTCTTGTTAATATAGTTTGTTCAACACAGAGAAAACATGTGATTAATATACATGTACATGTCTTGATTAAATATGTTTATATTGGATATTTTGAAATCAGGAATAATTTTCATGCTCTTTTACAGGTGACAGTTTTAAATCCAAAAGATGGCACAATATCATATGCTGGGCAGACAACTGCTGATTCTGTCATAATGAATCCAAGTCAGCCAATAATGGCTCTCAAAGGTATGTTATTATTAGGGAGTTATTATCATTTGACTAATTAAAGATTTAATAAATAATAAATGAGTATAAATGATTATGAAACAAGTATTATATGACTATTGAATATTTTCATAGAGCTACTTGTACTTTTGATCACTGAATAGAACATGGTTATAAATACAATGTCTATACAGTCACCAAGCAATGATTACAATGAATAAGGCCAAACCTATTTAGTTTTATTTTTGGGGGGGTCTTGATAAGTTAATAGTCTCTTGAGTCATGTGAGCTATGTTTTGTTGATAAAATTTCCCGAAGATACTAAAATTCAAAATGGTGTGGCCTCACTTAGAGATTATTATACATTGAAACTAAAAACTGAAAAATTGAAAAAATTCTTCAGAAGTTTGTGAACTGCAAGGGGGATTATGCTCCTCTGACCACCCCTTGATTTCAGACTGTGTCAACTCAAAAGCAAAACAGAAATGGCATCATATGGGATACTCGTGGTTGTGAGTACGGAACGATCTCAATTGACAGAATTGCAATCGTGTGACGACGTAATTTAGTAGTCCTGTCACAGTTCTGTCATTCTGGACAACTGAGGTGGTGTGAGTAGAATAGTGAAGTAATTAAACACAACAAATATGTTGCAGCTGTTATGGTTGAAATATTTCATATAGAGTTGACACATGCATTGTAGCCCGAAATCCCCATTTTCATTTTTTGGGGGATTGAAAATTATATTCTGGAACGTTTAATCGAAAATCACCCTTATCAGTATATATATTTTAATTTTGTAATAGAATAATTTGATTGAATTTTTTAAAGCTGGATTGAGATTTGAAGTCTTTAATTTGGATACAAAAGTTTTGATCAGTAAGACAAGATTACATGAACCTGTTGTATATTGGACGTGGGTTAGCTCAGATGTTATTGGTATGGTAACAGAGACAGCTATTTATCATTGGGATCTTTGGCAAGGTAAAATATTGGGGTGTAACTAAAGCCTCACGATGAATATTTGCAAAGTTATTTCCTATTGAGTCACACATGGGGATTATTTGGTTATTCCTTAGGAGAAACCCTATCCTAATTCAGAGCCACACAACTGAATATTACGGCATTCTGTGAAATCCATCATCATTATAATGTCCTGATTTATTTCCTTATTACCGGTACTTCAACCCAAAAAGTTGTAGCGTGACCGGTTCTATTTATAGCAACATAAATATTAGATGTTTGTCACCAAATAAAACATCGATATAGGCCTACAACCGAAGAAGATTATACTTCCAGTATTCAGTAGACCTGTACAATAATACTTCCGACATTGAGTATTCCGCCATTCTGTGTAATCCGGCATATTTTAATAATCCTGTACGATGTCGGAAGTGACAGATTCCACTGTAGTCCCAAGGATGAAATTCAGACTTACCAATTAATTTTATGCATAGTTATTGCCCCTGAACCTGGAGTCTTATCCCCACCCTTCAAAATGTCGCAAGTGGATATATATTCAATGCTATATTAATCCCAAAATTTTTTATTAATTATTGTTTTTTATCTATACAGGAAACTGTCCACCAGAGAAAATGTTCATGAGACATACACGACTAGCGTTTAGTGAGATTGTGAGCTATAAGGCCGATCCTGGTTTAAAATGGTTGGCTGTTACGGGTATGATCCCAGAGGTAATTAATATTAAATTTGTATAACCCTATATATACCTACTACTGGATTGTTTATTGTACATACATTTCCACAGCAACATCAGGAGATTCTTGGAAATTTTAGTTCTATTACATATAGATTCTAGAGAAAGACCACACCCACTCAGTTTTGCTGCTCAGATATCTAAAACTTAATCTACACAAGTACTATATTTGTGAAATAGACTGTACACTGTAATGTTCATTGGGACACATGCCAAGAATAACATTTATACCATTATGCCAATAACATCAGCAACAACAAATATGTTTTCCTCACCAGGTTCCTATGAATCAATACTCTTTTCTACATAAGTCACATCTTTGTCTTATACTCCACTTTGACTTGGGTGCAGGTAAAAAAATGTTTATATCCAGAAAAAAAGTTCATCTCAGAAATTGTCACTCCATTTTCATAATGACAAATGACATTTTCAAATTAATACAGGTTAAGTTTTGAATGGAATTGTTTTGTACCAAATCTTTTTTATATTCTATAGCAAATTAATTTAATAACTACGATTATACCCATACTTTTTCTCGACTCTTTGATGAAAATGGGAGGGTATACAAGTTACAACTATTACTTCTTTTGTATAAAATAATGGTTATTAGATTAAAATGTATGATCAGTTTTATATTCTATAAAAAAATTAATTTGAAACTAAGATTCTTTTGTATGAATTAATGGTTATTAGATAAATATGTATTATCAGTTTTACATTCTATAGAAAACTAAGATTCTTTTGTATAAATTAATGGTTATTAGATAAAGATGTACACGTATTATCAGTTTTATATTCTATAGATAAATAAGATCTTTTGTAAAAATTAATGGTTATTAGATACAGATGTATTATCAGTTTTATATTCTATAGATAACTAAGATTATTTTGTATAAATTAATGGTTATTAGATTAAGATGTATTATCAGTTTTATATTCTATAGAAAATTAATTTGAAACTAAGATTCTTTTGTATGAATTAATGGTTATTAGATAAAGATGTATTATCAGTTTCATTTTCTTTTGAAAAGTAAGATTATTTTGTATAAATTAATGGTTATTAGATTAAGATGTAATTCCTATGTATTTATTATGTTTATAGGATGATAAAATATCGGGTATAACACAACTCTATAATGCTGAGGAAGATATTACACAATGTATTGCTGCCCATGCTGTTTGTTTCGCTAGTTACAGATTTAATGATAATCCCTCCCCTTCAACTTTATTCTTTGTCTGTACAAGAGATGTACAAGATCATGGAAAGGTAATACTTCAAATCTGCAAGGAAAATAAATTTGAAAAACATAAATTGTCTTTCATGAAACCCACAAATTGTTAACGGGTTTGGATTTTATTTTATGTTACTGTCAAAAGTCTACAACAAATCTTGGCTATTAAAACTTTGATTAGAATTTGAAAGATGTAAATACATGATTATTTTTATACGCCCACATTTTCATGTGGACGTATTATGCCGTCGCCCCTGTCCGTCCGTCCGCCCACAATTGTTTGTGGACTCTCTACAGGTCACAATTCTTATCCGATTTCGAGGAAACTTGAAATATAGGTTTATCCCCAAAAGATCTCGGCTGCTTTCGATATTGGCATGTATCGGATCGAAACTTCATGGATTATGGCCCCTGTTTGTACGAAAAATCACGTTTTTAGCTTGTGGACCCTATAGAGGTCACAATTTTTATCCGATTTTGTTGAAACTTGAAATGTAAGTTTATAACCCAAAGATCTCAGTTCCTTTCGATATTTGCGCATATCGGACAGTAACTTCCTGAATTATGGCCCCTGATTGTACGAAAAATCACGTTTTTAGCTTGTGGACCCTATAGAAGTCATAATTTTTATCCGATTTAAAAAAACGTTCTATTATATCACCGTTACACTCTAAGGATGACTGAGTTCGAATTTCGTGAAAATCGGCCAAAAATTGACAGACAAAATGGCCGCCGTTCGTTCCCAAATAGCGTAAGAATATGGTATATCAAGGTTGTGGACCCTATAGGGGTCACAATTTTTATCCAATTTGGTTGAAACTTGAAATGTAAGTTTATAACCCAAAGATCTTGGTTCCTTTCGATATTCGTGCATATCGGACCGTAACTTCCTGAATTATGACCCCTGATTGTACGAAAAATCACGTTTTTAGCTTGTGGACCCTATAGAAGTCATAATTTTTATCCGATTTAAAAAACTGTTCTATTATATCACCGTTACACCCTAAGGATGACTGGGTTCGAATTTCGTGAAAATCGGCCCAAAATTGACAGACAAAATGGCCGCCATTCGTTCCCAAATAGCGTAAGAATATGGTATATCAAGGTTGTGGACCCTATAGGGGTCACAATTTTTATCCGATTTTGTTGAAACTTGAAATGTAAGTTTATAACCCAAAGATCTCGATTCCTTTCAATATTCGTGCATATCGGACAGTAACTTCCTGAATTATGACCCCTGATTGTACGAAAAATCACGTTTTTAGCTTGTGGACCCTATAGAAGTCATAATGTTTACCCGATTTAAAAAAACGTATTATTATATCACCGTTACACCCTAGGGACGACTGAATTTGAATTTCGTGAAAATCGGCCCAAAATTGACAGACAAAATGGCCGCCGTTCGTTCTCAAATAGCGTAAGAAAATGGTATATCAAGGTTGTGGACCCTATAGAGGTCACAATTTTTATCCGATTTTGTTGAAACTTGAAATGTAAGTCTATAACCCAAAGATCTCGGTTCCTTTCGATATTCGCGCATATCGGACCGTAATTTCCTGAATTATGGCCCCTGATTGTACGAAAAATCGCGTTTTTAGCTTGTGGACCCTATAGAGGTCATAATTTTTATCCGATTTAAAAAAACATATTATTATATCACCGTTACACCCTAAGGACGACTGAGTTTGAATTTCATGAAAATCGGCCCAAAATTGACAGACAAAATGGCCGCCGTTATTTCTCAAATAGCGTAAAAATATGGTATATCATGGTTGTGGACCCTATAGAGGTCACAATTTTTATCCGATTTTGTTGAAACTTGAAATATAAGTTTATAACCCAAAGATCTTGGTTCTTTTCTATATTTGCCCATATCGGACCGTAACTTCCTGAATTATGGCCCCTGATTGTACGAAAAATCATGTTTTTAGCTTGTGGACCCATTAGAGGTCATAATTTTTATCCGATTTAAAAAACCGTATTATTATATTACCGTTCCACCCTAAGGACAGTTGAGTATGAATTTTGTGAAAATCGCCCTAAAATTGACAGACTAAATGGCCGCCGTTTGTTCTCAAATAGCGTAAAAATATGGTATAGCAAGGTTGTGGACCCTATAGAGGTCACAATTTTTATCCGATTTTGTTGAAACTTGAAATGTAAGTTTATAACACAAAGATCTCAGTTCCTTTCGATATATGCGCATATTGAATTGTAATTTCCTGAATTATGGCCCTTGATTGTAGGAAAAATCACTTTCTTGTTAGCTTGTTCTCTATCCATCTCTCGAAAATGTGGGCGTATCCTGCCTGGCAGCCGCTGGTTAATTTTATAATATATTAAGGCACCCACACAAAACGTGTGTTCTTTACTGACCATGAAAAATAAAATTTATTGACATTTGACACGTCTAGAATTTACATATTTCACACTCTGGAATGAATAAGTGCAGCAGTGTTTAATAATTGTTTCTTTATTTTAATGGTCAATGTGTTGCTTTTTCTACTATGAGTTCACAGCACATGCTGACACTCTGTATAGTGTATCAAATGTTATTTATAAGTAGTCCAGGGACAGACGATGTAACTTGTGAATACAACATAATATTTATATTCCAGGTACATGTGATAGAATTAGGACCATATAAACCTGGTAACTTTGCTCCCAGAAATTGTTATGATCATGTGCAATATTTAGATGATCCAGATCGCTATGATTTTCCTGTATCATTGCAGGTAATAAGATTATATATAGATATGTGTGTTTGTATGTACAGTTAAAGGGGATTACATGTGTTTTATAGAGACAATGCTAGTCACACATTAAAGCCTCTATGTGCCAGAAGGCTGATGGACATTTTTCTTATATTTAACAAAGTAAGGGATGGGTTGTTGTCTGTAGATGGTAATCTAGACAATTAAACAGGTTAGATGCCATTTTGAGTGTATGTTCATAGAAAGAAACAAGTTATTCTTTCATAAAATACTATATTCTTAATCAAATAAAGATCTTGTCATTTAGGCCGTAAATGTCAGATAATAACCAGTTAAACTGGATGCAGACCACCAATTACTTGACATTATCTACTGAGGAATTTAATTCCTTCTATTTATTATAGACTTTCTCTACTTTTTCTTGCTATTTTTCGCATAGTTATTGTTGTTGACTTTAAACTGCCAAGATTTGGTTAATATGCATCCTTCAGAGGAGGAAGGTTGGTTAACAGTGATACATGTGGTGGATAGTTATCTCAAATTTTCCATGATCAACCCCATACAAACTTTGAGCAGGGCATTGCCATATTTGGCTTCATCTGTGATAAAGAGAGTTAACCCAGCAAAACTTTAGGGCAATGTTAGGGCCAACAAGGAAAACATTCAGGTCATTGAGAAATGATTTTTTGGTCTGCATCCAATTGATGGAGAAGGTGGTATTGAGTAGTCTACCTTTACCTTTACTGATAATATTTTGCCAATTTTTCTTGACTTTTCTGAGATAAAGAAGATTGAATCCCTTCATTGTTAAGAAGCCATTGATATGTCTCATCTGCTTCTCCAACTTAAAGGCATGGTGAACTGCGTTGATGGAGGTAAAACTATGGATTTGAAGGGAACAATTATTTCAGAAATGTTTAACCAATAGCATATAATTTATCCAAAAACAAAGCAATTAAATGTTAATTTGTAATTTTTTCAGGTGTCATCAGAATATGGGTTATTATTTGTAATAACAAAATATGGTTATTTATATATTTGTGATATTCAGACGGCTACTTGCCTATGTTGCGCACGAATCTCAATGGATATAATATTTGCTTCTGCTCTAAATACAGATACACAGGGTATACTAGGCGTTACACGTGGTGGGCAGGTAAGTTGTTGTTTAAACTTATATTGATATCCGACAAACATTGTCTAGAGGTGCATCACAATATCAATTTGAGAACAGTTCTGTCCGAAATTAGGCATTGTTCTATCACACCTATTGCTGAAAAGTAACCAATTTTGCAAACAAAAATTTTTATTTTCTTTTATTAAACAAATTATTATCTCTCTTTGAAAAACCACCCATGTTGGAGGTATATTAACCATCAAAGTCATCAAACCATCAGTTTTTTTATAGACCAGGGGAGTCAGTTCTCAGAAATATATGATTTATATGCAGGCTCTTGGCCTGCATACACTCTATGCTTTGTGTTTCTGTATGAAGCAGAAAAATGTGATAGAGGAGATAACTCTGCACGATTTTCAGCGATACAAGACTACAACGGTTTTATTAGACTAAATAATTCAGACAAGTACCTCATTAAAGGCCTATTCTTTCCCCTAATAAATCCATTTAAAAAGACATGTAGATATACAGTACCTACTAAGACTGTCTGATGGAAGTCCATTAATTTTGTCTGTATTGTTACAGTATCTATATAAATATAATCAAAGATGTGTGTATGTTCGCCCATCACCCTTTGTGTGGTATCAAATTAACCAACAATGCCCTGTGAATGTTTAGGCCATGATTTATGAAGGTCAAGATCATTTATTAGTTATTATAAAGAAAGAAATACTTAAAGATACATTCCCGGGTACAAACTTGGTGATTTGATGATATACTATTCAAAAAAAGTAGGGGATATTTGATTTTTAAGTGTTATTAAAGTCACCTAATGAAACTGACGAAGAAACAAATGACAAAATGAAATGAAGTTCACATTCATCGATTTATTCCAAATGATCGTTAGACTAAGTAAGGCACAGACTGACCATTATAAGGGTAAAATGATACCCGGGGTCAAACAGCAAAGTTACCACAGCATCACAACCAAGTCAGTAACAGGTAAATCCTCCTCTGTTTGCCAAACAAGCATTGATCCGACGTGGCATACTCCTAATGAGACGTCTAAGGTCATTTTGGTCCAGATTGTCCCATTCCTGTTGCAACGCAGCAGCAAGTTTTTGGACATTGGCAGGACGTTGTTGACGTTGACGTAACCTCTGTCCAAGCATGTCCCAGACATGCTCGATGGGGGGGAGGTCGGGACTCAGTGCTGGCCAAGGTAATGTGGTGATGTTCTGTTGTTGGAGGTAACCTGTAACGATCCTGGCCCTGTGACATCTTGCGTTGTCATCCTGGAAGATGAAACGGCGGCCATGACGTCGTGCGAACGGCACAACATGGACTGCCAAGATGTTGTCCCGGTAGTACTGGCCTGTAACACGCCCTGCAACAACATGTAAAGCCGTTCTTCCAGCAACAGTGATGCCTCCCCACACCATAACAGAACCACCCCCAAATCGATCATGTCTGCTGACGTTAACGTCTTGGAAGCACTCGTTTCGACGACGCCACACCCTCCTACGTCTGTCCAAAAAATTAACAGTGAACCTTGACTCATCTGAAAACATCACATTGTTCCAGCGTCGATTATCCCAGTGTTGACGATCCCTACACCAACGACCATAGCCTGCTTATGACAGACTGAGAAACATTCATCGTCAGCGCCACAACCGCCTGTGTTGTGCCGATCTGTAGCATGCCAAGGGCACGTAACCTTTCATTTTGGTCACTAAAACAATTAAACTGATGTTTCCACCCTGGAATTCAATGCCACAATGACTGTAACATTCAAAGTCAGAGTCGTGCAAATCTTGGGTTGGACCCCCATGATGATCCCAAGCATCACCTGCATTCCATGCGGTAGCTATTGGTGCGTTTGGGCGTCACATGTAACTGGAAATGTTTCTTCTGTTAGGTTCTATAGTGACTTTTTTCGTAGTCATTTGCATATTTTAGTATTATGCCCCCAAAATCAAATATCCCCTACTTTTTTTGAATAGTATATATTTGGACTAAAAACATATTCAAACTAATTAATTTATCATAATTTTGCTTCAAATCCTTCTCAAAACATTGCAATTGTCAGGGAATACCCGACTAAAAAACTCAATCAAACGAGGTCATGTTTGTGTCACGTGACACAATGGGTGCGATGTCGGAGGAGAATTCTTTGCATACAAAAGACAATGTTGCCTTTATCGCTGACTATTTATTACAAATATCGACCCCTAATTAAATTCTCTGATTATCCACTGCCCGCATCTTTTTCCGTTATTTTTATCTCAGAAAGTGTTGTACGTCTAACTCTTCATAAAGTTTATCAACATGTACATCAAGCGCTCAATCTCCGCGCGCAACCTTTGACGTCATGCGTGCAGAAACTCCTAATCGTCGGGGTGTCGATTAGGGAAACCCGTACATTTTTGTCCTGTATGCGCTCCATGAGTGTTTTTCAGGGAATCCAGTATTTTTCTAGTAAGATTGGATATTTCTACTTTCCATTTATACCAAAATTGCCATACTTTTATTGGAAATAACCACCCGATAAGTACTTTTCTGGGAACGTAGCTTTAACTGAATAATGGTAGAGGTGTATCATATTTATTTGTAGTGTTCTCCAATACCATTCACAAATTATTTCATGAAAAATGAATAAAACCTACCAATATATCGGTTTTCTAAATTAATGACATGAAAACATATTTCCAGTATTTATATTAGAAATATGTTTATTGAAATTGATGACTAGACAGAAATTTATTCCCCTAATATCATACCATTTTTTAGTCAATGCTGATCAACATTCCTTTATACAAAATTTCCAGATACCATATTCAAATTAAAACTGATTGTCATCTCTTTTAAATCAATGGTCTTTGTTCATTGATATTGAGGTCAATACACATGTATATAACAGTCTCATGATTTGACATGCATTAAACTCCCTAAATAAATATGATTTTAGTTGACATACATAGAAATCAATGTCTTTATTTGCATTGTGAAAAAAATAATAAAGAAACGTATTGATATGGGCATACGAGGGCTGGCTGAAAAGTTCTAAGCCTACAGGTTTCGAATCCCCGGTCGTACGTGACAAGGAGTAGGGTCGCCTGTCCAACCTCGTGGGTTTTCTCCGGGTCCTCCGGTTTCCTCCCACTGCTAAAGACCCCTACGCGCAAGCGAATTATGTAAATAAAATTAAACCATATGTTAGTCCCGAAATGACCTAGTTTGTGTCGAGTGGACGTTAAACCCCATTTCTCTCTCTCTCTCTCTAAGCCTACATGTATCTGTGAAAGACCTGTACAAAGTCGATGGTTTTCATTTAGTTATGTACATAGTCCCCATCGAGGTGTACACACTTTTGCCAAGTGACATGACGTCATCACTACTAGGAAAATGATGACCAGCTAGTTCTTTTTTTCATTTTTGGAAACGGGTCTCATCCATGGTTACAAATCTGGCCAAAAAATTATCAGGATCTGCTTCCAAGTGGCCCAGATTGTCACTGGGCATCAGAAATCTGACATGTTTCTGATCTGCAGTTAAGAGCTTTTTGTACTCATCTTGCAGAAACTTTTGTCCTTCCTAACTTGTTGGTGATAATGTGCTCAAACCTCTCATGAATGATGACCACAACACTGGCAATATGTCGAGTGGTCAATCGTCGATCAGCCATCACCATGCCATGTAACCGGGTAATGTTTTCTTGAATGGTTGCTGTTAATGGCCTTCCAGGACACAGGTCATCGTCACTCTGCAACCTTTAAATTCTGTTGCATCATCCACTAAAGTGAAGACCATGTCAGCATATATCTGTGTTGGGGTTAGTCCTTTGAGTTGCAGGTACTTGATGACTGCACCGCAGCCAGTTTTGTCCATTTTTGGTGATTTCAATGAGTAGGTTCACAATAATAGCACTACAGTTGCAGTTCTTATGTCTATGATTCATTCAATGATTGTTGGTGTCAAAAGTTTGTTTCAACCTAATTGATTTGTCATTTTCAGGCAGCCCTCTTATGTCTGTTTATTTTATATTTAAAATATTATGCCTGCCAATGTTTGATGTTAGTTTATTTTCATAATAAGTTAATGATATCTGCATTTTAAACTACCGTAAGGTAGAAAAAAATAAAATTCACAGAAAACAATAATGTACATCTACATGAAATGTTGAGCTGAATTTAAATGTAGCATGGGGGCAGAAGGGTTTAATTAACTGTGTTCAACACTTCATTTCCAACCAAGGCATTTCATCAAACAAACTCTTGGGCAGTACTGTATTTTAGCCCACAGTAAAATATATGACCTTACAGTGTAGTGTATCTGAATTTTGAACAAAATGTTTTATTTATTACAGGTTCTCACCATCGACTTGGAAAAAGACAGTTTGATATCGTATCTACGTGAAACGGGCAAAAAATCCTATCAAGCTACACGTCTTGAAAAGGCTATAAATACACAATGATCAAAATACTTAACAGATATTAATATATGGTTAACTCTACGTGTTCAACTCTGTTGAAATATCTTAACTAAATGAGGCACAATTTGTCGTCATAGATGTAGATAAATGACCTGAATAGGCTTTCTCAGACTATGCCTCTGAGGTTGTTGTGACACCTTCAGTGTTTTACAATTACTTTTAGCTATATCACTATGATGGGGCTGCTTGATTGTGAATCCAGATCATTCTGAATTGACAGAATATCAATCGAGTGACCTAGAATTGAGTCATATTCTCAGTTCTACTAGTCACGATGAGGGGTGAGAAGAAATGTGACATAATCAAACATAAGGATAGTATTTATAGTGATTTGTAGAAATAGTATCATATTTATTTAGTTCATGTTGTTTGCTTGAATACTATGTTTGCTGAGATATTTAATTGAGTATCTTGCACTTCAGATATACCTCGATCCACTAAGCTTATCTTATGAGTAATATATTTATCAAATAGGGCTATATATAGTTTAAACTTTAAACAAAAACGGGCCATTACAGATTTTTTTACTCCCCTTTGTTTATTCTCTCGTCTCAGATATTTTATACCCAGTAATATGATCCTTTATTAGTTGATTAGATTAGAAAGGAAGAGGACATAGTTCAAGGGTCTTGATTTGTTTCTTTTTTTCTTTTCTTATATTTTCCTGAACTGAAAATCATATTGATTTAATCAAATAATATCAGATACAAACATGATTATAAGGATGTTTGTCAATATATATATGGCAGAGTTACATATACATGCATGTAGATTTATATTATCAACCTTACTTACTGTAACTGTAACTTATTTGTCAATCAAAGGAAATTTTTCTTTATTATTAATTTTTTTATGAGATTTTTAATCTTAGCAGTACAAAGATTTCTTGGCTGGAGAAAATGCATAATCCATTTGTCGATCATCCTGTACGTAGCAGTAGTGGTTTACATCCGGATCTTTCAACGGAGTTGAACATCTAACATAATGTGATAGATATTCTTTTATATTTTTACACTGTTTCAATATTTAGTCCATATCATAGTTGTAGCTGTTATATAACATGTTGCTATATTTTATTTTGAAAAAAAAGATTTAATAGTGGTATGTAGACCTATTAAAGTACTACTAGATTGCATATTTATTTGCTTTACAATTTGCTTACAATCTGAGATTAGTTTAATATGACAACCAATATATAGATAATTATCTTTCATGATTGCTTTATTAAATTAAGAGTCTTAATTAGATGTTAAATAATCAGTTTGAGGACATTTTACCGTGGATTAAGATGTGAAAAATTACTTATTTAGTCGGAAATATGCAAATGACGATCAGCGGCTTTTAGAAAAAAAGGAAAAAATATTTCGTCTTTCGGTGTGTTGACTTGAATTTCGAGATGTAAATTGGCACTTGCACTGTTGAACAACCCTAGAATGAAGCAACGGTTATAATTCGAAAGCCACTCTTGACCTAAAAGATCTAACATGGGTGTGTTGTGTAGAAGCAAGGGTGATGGACAGTGAATGCCAGAAATAAATAGTATATTTTATCTGTATGATTGTAAAAAGTAATATTATATATGATTGACAGTCCAAGTTCTGTATAATATAATTTAGTATGATTGACGTCCAATTTCTTTTACATCGGAAAGCAATGCTAACAAGCATTTATCAGCTCATTAACCCTTACCGGTAATACATTTGGATAGCAAATATTGGAGATTGTTTAAGCTTTTTGCCTGAGAAAAATCCTCAGGATTTTCCAGCGTGGGTTCACCCTTGTTAGTGGTGACGGGCAGAGGGCTAGGTCAGGAACAGTGTCTAGTTATTCAGTTGGGACAAAAAAAATCAAGTTCCTGTTTGCATGTTGGCATGCATGCTGACAGTTGGAATTCAAAACCTAGGTAGGCCATAGCGCCATTGTCTGGGCAAAATTTTCCTCCTACTCCTAGCACACTTCATGGCATTTGCCCATTTTCATTAGCCCATTCGGCGCAGAAAAGTAGGATATTAAAACCTTTTTAATTTCGAGTTCCTATAGAAAATCGGTTAATGTAGACTCTACATCTAATGATACATAGAAACCCCACTTTACCATCGCAAATGTAGTAATGGTTAAATGAACTAATATTGCTTGTGACATTGCTTCAGGAATATGCTTACCTATAGGTAAGGATATCTTGTTTAGAAACAATCTACAAATAGTATATATTTTCTCTATATGGTTATTTATTATTATTCAAGGTGTAGTATATTAATATAAATAATAAAAAAAGATCTCACATAAATATAGTATATTACTTATGTATTATAGAAAAGTCTCTGAAAGATTTGTAAATAAATCAAAGTCTGTATTCTTTATATATTCTCCAATACTATGGTTTTCTCATGTTATTTGGTCAAGGTGGTCAATGTTTGGAAATATATCTCAAACACATGTAGTAGATCTCTAGGAGGAACTTTAGCCATTTAGCCAAATAAATAAAATACACATGTTTACGGTTACCTGGCCAAAAAAACATGGTTGGTCAGTCGAAAGGGTTCTGGGGGTTTTTTTTGGGGGGGAGGGGGGGTGTATGGGGTTTGTGGATTAAGATTGGATACAACTAAATGAACTAATAAATTAATCATTAAATAAACATCAATACTTGCAGTCTGTAACCATTGTGGTGTTTATTATTTATTTCCTAGCATTTCTGTAAAATAGTGCTGCATCAAACTGTTATAATACTCAAAGTTCGGTATTTGCAGGAAACCGCGCCAAGACCGATTCTTAGGATGATTTTGGCTGATAGAATTAGGTCCTTTTGTATAACCATAAACACAGGTAATTACTTTTTTAGCCTTAGAGAAATTAATATGAGATACGAGCAATTTAGAATGAGAGTTAATTGTAAATTATAATAGCTATTAAAGACTTGATTATATTTATTATCATTTTGATTCTAGTCTTATTCATGCTACTAATATACAAGTCGTTTAATACTATTAATAGAATATTTTGATAATTATAACTACTTATGTATATTTAATAAATGTAATTAAATCATGTTGCTATTTACAAGAAACAGAGTGTAATCTCTAATAATAATCCACAATTTTTTTTTTCTGTTTTTAAAAGTAAAGTTTGTAATTGATGAAATGTTCCACTAGTAGGTCATTTATGTAAAACTTATTTTTGTGATTTTGATGCAGGCTTAAAGGAGAGTCTGACAGTTTTCATTAATAGAGATCTAAATTTTGTTTCTTTTATGTGGTAATTTTGATAGTCTCTTCAGCATGTCTTGTCTGGAGCAACTAAATGTATTTTAAACAAAATCTGAAGGATTATATTTACGAAACAGAAGATGATCTATGTTTTAAGTAGTTTGAAATTTCACAAATACATTTGGCTTTAATTTTTCCCCCCCAAAAATAACACTTTTGTGAAATGCTTCAGCTTGGTGGTTATTTGCTATTTCTATGTTTATCAATTGATATTATTACATGTATATTTCTATATCAATGGCATTGTCTTTATTTTTTGGGGTCTTCCACAGCCTTCCAAATTCTCTTATCACTATTATATGTAAAAAGATTATTATACATGTACCTTGATTTATATATATACCAATATGTGCCATTATTATTGTTATTGTAATAAATGTTGCTTCCCGTGTTATTGATATATTGTTTTGCTTATTGTTACGCTAAGATTTGTTATTAGGTTTAACATAATTGATGTTGTTATTAACACTTGACTAACATAAGAATATAATCATGGATATTTATATAGGATTTTTATTAAGTGGTTTACTAATAATGCTTAATCTTATTATAGTATTTTTATGAGGAGTTTCCACTTTAATTATATTATTATTATTATTATTACACTTCACATGCTTGTTATATGTAGGTTTATACATTATATATATATATATAGTATAATACTCTTTATGTAAATAGTTGTAAAATAAAGATGGAAAAATGATATTATGGTATATGTAACTACAGAGAGTTAAGACCTGTGGTGTTGCTCAAACTTGCTAGTTCTCTAAAGAGACCTGTTACCGATTATCAGGTGTAATGGATGTTGAGCATACAAGAAAAGTTTGTCTAGTTGTTCAGTAAAACACTCTTAATAATTCTACAGTACAAACTTGTAGGCTACATTTATTACAGAATGTAAATGTAAAAACTAAATCCAGTGGTATTTAGACCAGCCTTTGTTTTATGAGATTATTAAATGGTTAAGCAATCAGAGAAATCCAACTGAATTTGTTAGTTTATTTCTGGTTTTATATCCAACCTGGAATTGAGCACTTCTTGTCAGTGCATGTGAGAGTGAGAATTAAATGGAAGATACAGTAGATTTAATGATTTGAATTTTGGGTGGGCAAAAAGTTAGAGCCCTGGTTTATTTATGTCAGTTAACTTGTATCCTTTAAGTCTATTACAGTTATATGTGTATAATGTCCTATTGTCTACTGTGATTTATCTATGTAGAACAGATATGATTTATGATGATAATGTCCATAGTGATATCAAATTAACTGATAAATATCTTTATCTCTAGATGAGTCAGTTGATTACTTAAACATATAAATAAGGAACAGTTTGTATGAGACAGTCAAGGATAACTGTTAATCAATATAAATAACACATGTACATTATCTAGTCTTGTTATTAATGATTATTGATTAATTTGTTTATTCGAAATACAATTGTATTCCTTTTGTTCTGAAAAGACAATGAAAAAAATAAAAGAGGTTTGAAGTGCAATTTTATAGATTGATAATCTGCTTTAATGAAGTAGTAATGTCACAGAACATCTATTAGATTTATGATTTCGATTTGTTTGAAATTGGTTCCAATTTCTATCTATAGTTCTATAGTCACTGAGATTATCCTAGCTTGAGCTTACTGTCCAGTGATTGAAATTTTTTGTTTTATTAATCACCTGATAATGTTCTATGTCTATGTAAAACACATCCGAGTGTTCTTGTGTATTGAAATAAGCATTACATGTGTGTCCGTTGTTTGGAGGATCATGTTTTAAGTAATTAAAATAACAGGGAGTCGCTATGCTATTTTGTATTAGCCCGTACTTATGTAATTATTGTAACAGGGAGTCACAAAGTTATTTTGTATAACTAAGCCTATACCTAAGCACTTAATATAACTGTTTTGTATAGGCTCATACCTAAGTAATTACTATAACTGGGAGTCACTGTATTAATATGTATAGGGCCATATAAACCTAAGTAATTAGTATAACTGGGAGGCACTAAGTTATTTTGTATAGGCCCATACCTAAGTAATTACTATAACCGGGAGTTGCTACATTATTTTGTATTTATATATATATATATATATATATAGGCCCATACCTAAGTAATCACTATAAGTACTGGGATTTACTATATTATTTTGTATAGACCCATACCTAAGTAATTACCATAACTGGGAGTTAAGTTAGTAAGTTATTTTGTATAGGCCCGTATTACCTGAGTGAGTAATTACCATAACTGGGAGTTACACTAGTGAGTTATTTTGTATAGGCCTGTATTACCTTAGTGAGTAATTACCATAACTGGGAGTTACACTAGTAAGTTATTTTGTATAGGCTTGTATTACATGAGTGAGTAATTACTATAACTGGGAGTTACTATATTATTTTGTATAGACCCATACCTAGGTAATTACTATAACTGGGAGTTATAATATTATTTTGTATAGGCCCATACCTAAGTCTATAAGTGCTATGGCTTATAAATGTTGTTAATTGTTGTATATTATTTTTAGAATGTATAGTGTATTAATAAAATGAATGTTTATAACCAGAGATAAAATACTAGAGAAAAATAAAGTTATATAAATACATTTTTACAATATTCATAATATTTCATATCCATTAGTTGTCTTTATGAAAACTAAAATTATAAGATGAACACCCAATTCTTTGCAAGCCTGTAAATAAACCACCTGTCACTGACAATGTCTGGCATAAATTCAGGTTATGTCAGGCACAATTCTCTGGGTGCCTGTCATTTTGTCTGACACAAATTTGTCTACTGTTTTTTTGTGGATAGTTTTGATAAATGTCTGCACAAAGTTAGAAATGTAGGCTACTTGTTTTAATAGTGACAGACATTTTGACAGGTACAAGTAATAAGTTTATTTCCAAGCATAATTGGCTGACTATCACATATGTTAACTGTGGACCAATAAAATAACAGATTGAAAATGAAGTAATCTTATTTTAGTTTTAATACATCTGGTTCCCGTGCCATAGCCAACATGTATATTAGTTGGATCAAATTAAAAATAATTATTTTCAATTCACTACAATAAGAAATGGTGTTTCAATAGATATTAATGATGTCATAATGATATATTTAACTGACAGCCTTCTGAAAATGTAATTCAGTTATATGACATATGTATCTGAGAACCTTCAGGTTAGAACTTCAAAAAGAGTTTCATACCACTGGTTATTTACACTAACACTTATGACCAGACTCCTTTGATTTGGATAAAACAATAAAAATTATCCATTTTTAGCTCTGTTCATTGAGGAAGGAGCCATTTTTCAGAATGTATTTTCCGTTGCTTACTGTCCATTTATTTATTTTCCGTTGCTTACTGTCCATTTATTATACACATTGAGGCCAAAGTAAATTCTTAATTATTTTCTGTCAGCAACCTTTTCCGACATTTCATTGCATAGTCTTTTGTATGTTGACACCCCTCAGTGTTCCCAAAACCGCCTAACCATTTGATGAAGAAATAACAACCGTTCCCTCAGTCAAGCTAGCATACAATAAGCTGGCAGACAACAGTCGGGCTGCCAGTTAGTGATACCCTGACATTTTTGCCCACACTGATCCGCAGTAAATATTTGCTAGGCCGCTACAATCACTGATAAGGATGACATCGATGCGGCTTAATGAGCCCGTAATATTAACTTTTTTCCTGCGACAAATTAAATTCTAAAACATTTTTTTTATGTATTGGAAAAATAAATAAAGGCGTTTGACGTATTTGTAGGTAAAAATTATTTCCTATTTAGTGTAAATGGGTATTAAAATGACTAAAATGCAGCATTCTCTCCGAAGCAGTAACGTCTTATGTAAACAATGATTGACGCCGCGTGCTTGTGACGGCACGTGTTAAGGCAGTCATCTTTGACAGAGATATATTACTAGACTCGTAATTCTCTGTGAAACAGATTGATTTTTGCCCAGTGCTTGCCCCATGGGTGTTTTTTGGGTAATCCAGTATTTTTCTAGCAAGATTTGGGGGTCTATGTGTTAGAGATACCGTAGCTGATTTTGTGTCAACAGTTTAAATAAACCATGAAACAAATAGACTTTCGCTTATAATTTTGAAACCCAAAATATTAATTTGTACAGAACTTGTTCAGGATTAGACAATCCTTTCCTATATATGTGACACTTTCTTCTAGGCGTTTCTTTGACTTCACGTTGTGGGATCAATTATTTCAATCATCAATTAACTGACTCTGGAACACCGTTTATGTTGTTACTTAGTTTATAAAATTAAATACA